TTACCCAGAACAAGGTTCTCATCTGGTTCAAGCTGGGTTACTCGACCAGTGCATCCAGGAACGAGGAGACCCCCGTCATCTTCTGGAAGAACACACAGAACGCAGGACTCTCGCTGTACAACCTCAACTTCACCAACACCTACCCCCAGACGAGCAGCACAGCAGCTTTGGCTGGTGACTTCTTTGGCACCAACATGGCGGCTTATGGCTGTGCCTTCAAGGGTTTCCAGGATACTCTTCTTGTGAACCAGGGTGTGCAGGTTTTCAGTAATAGTTACATCGAGGGCAGTGTTGACTTCATCTGGGGTTACAGCAAGGCCTACTTCCATCAGTGCTACATTGCTTCCAACACACCCAACGCCTATATCACTGCTCAGAACCGCAAGACCTCCACTTGGGCTGGTGGTTTCATCTTTGATACTTGCTTGGTTACCTACACTGATAGCTACGGCTCCTCTTTTGGCTCGACTTCTCTTGGCCGTCCTTGGTCGCAGTATGCGCTTGTCGTCTACAAGAACTCGTACCTCGACAAGCACATTTCCGCTGCTGGTTGGGCTGTGTGGTCTTCGAGCACTCCTCAGACCTCGGACGTACTCTTTGGCGAGTTCAACAACACTGGTCCCGGAAACTGGACTTCGTCTCGTGCAAGCTTTGCAAAGGAGCTTACCGAGGCTGAGGTTGCGCCCTATGCTCTGGGTTCTTTCATTGGTAGCACTAGCTGGCTCGACATGAAGGCGTACAACTATGCCCCCAGCTATACCATTGGCGACTCCACTTCATCGTCTACCACGACCCCTACTGAGACGGCATCCGCATTCCCCTACCATCTCACTGATGGCACTGCTCCTCCCAAGGGTGCAGTCCTTGTCTCAGTGAATGGCGAGAAGGAGGATTCCTACTCAAGCGTGACCGATGCCCTGGCTAGCCTTCCCAAGGACTCAACTGAGCAAGTCATCTTCATTTACCCTGGTACTTATAAGGAGCAAGTCCCGTCCATCAACCGACCTGGCCCTGTCACCATCATCGGATACACCGAAACCGAGCCTGGAAAGACCTACAGCAGCAACCAAGTCACCATCACCCAAGCCAAGGGTCTCTCTGTTGCGGGCACCATTCCTGCTGGTCGAAGCAACGCTGATACCGCTACTATCGCTACTGCAAGCACCAAGATTGCCTTCTACAACGTCAAGTTCATCAACACAGACAACCTGGACGGTTCCACTCCCAGCTATGTCGCTCTGGCTGCCAGTGTTTACGGCAACAAGATTGGTTTCTACGGCTGCTCTTTCGTCGGTTGGCAAGATACTCTTCTCAACGGCGCTACAGATGGTTACCAGTACTACGAGAGCTGCTACATCGAGGGTGCCATTGACTTTATCTGGGGTTACAGCAAGGCTTACTTCAAGGGATGTACTCTTGCAGCCAAGCGAGCCAAGTCCGCCATCACGGCCCAGAGCCGAAAGAGCGACGCGGCTATCGGAGGTTACATCTTCGACCAATGTCTCTTCACTGAAGCTGCCTCAGCCACTGTTGATCTTCAGGGACAGGTCTACCTTGGACGACCTTACTCTGCCTACGCCTTGGTGGTGATCAAGAACAGTTACCTGGACAGCATCATTCAGCCTGCTGGTTGGAAGATCTGGTCTACTACTGATCCTCGAACCGACCACATCACCTTTGCTGAGTATGCCAACGAGGGTCCTGGTAGCTGGGAGAAGAACACGGCTGCTCGAGAGGGCTTTGGATATGCCACGCTTCTGACCAGCGACTCGTACTCCCTCACATCTGTCATGGACAGCACCGACTGGATCGACAAGACCTTCTGGGATTCGATCACCACGCCCAAGCCCAGCGCAGTTGTTACGCCTACTCCTGGTACTACTGAGTACAGTGGCACAACTCCTCCTGCTGGCGCTTACATCGTCTCCAAGGATGCCATTGATGGAGTCACTACCTATGCCACCATTCAGGAAGCCATCAACGCTCTTCCTGCTTCCAGCAAGGTCACTCCCACTGTCTTCATCTACCCTGGTACATACAAGGAGCAGATTGTCCTCGCGAGAGCCGGAACTACCATCTTCCTTGGATACTCTGAGTCGCCTGATGACTACTCCCAGAACCAGGTCACGATCACCTATGACAAGGGTATCGACACTCAGGCCGACGCCTCCAACTCGGATTCTGCTACCTTCTATGCTACTGGCAACTATTTCCAGGCTGTCAACATCAACTTCAAGAACACTTTCGGCACGACCAGCAAGTAAGTGACGCATCTCCTTCTCACATGAACATGAACTGACTTTTCTTAGCTACGCCAGTCTTGGTTTCGGTGTTAAGAGCAGCAAGTACGCTTCGCTCTATGGCTGCCAAGTCTACGGTAACCAGGATGCCCTTCTCATCAACGGTTTCTTCTTCGCCTACAACTCGTACTTTGAGGGCAACATCGACATGATCTGGGGATCTGGAGCTGGTTACTTCCTCAAGTCGACCATTTCACCCAACCGAAACGGTATCGCCTTGACTGCTCACAAGAGAACGGACACCACTACGCCAGCTGGTTTCGTCTTTGACCAGTGCACAATCACCCCTGCCAACGGTGCTTCATACTCGACTATTTACCTTGGCCGACCCTGGAACCAGTATGCTCGTGTTGCCTACGTCGAGTCTGACCTTGGCTCCTGTATTCCTGCTGTTGGATGGGATGACTGGACCAACGCTGACCCTAGAACCGGCAACGTCATCTTTGGAGAGTATGAAAACACTGGCGCTGGAGCTTCCACAAGCAAGCGTGCCTCTTTTGCTACGCAACTGTCTGGTGCCGATGCTGCTCAGTTTGAGTTGGGTACTTTCTTCGCTGCCACGGCCTGGATCAACTCGACCCTTGTGTCTGCTACTCCCTTTGTTGCAGGCGCTGTTGCCACTGGAACTTCAAGCTACACCACTGTCTACACCACTCAGACAGTCACCACGTCCCAGACACTCTTCGCCACCGTTACAGCCTCTGACAAGACTGTCACCAGCAAGTCTACCTCTGTCATCGATGTCGGAACCACCATCACGCCTGACCCTACCACCAAGACAACTGTGGAGAAGACAACAACCACGCAGACCTCCAAGACAACCGAGGCTGACGAGCTCATCACCTCCAAGACGACCAAGACTGTTGACGTTGGCACCACCATCACCCCCAACGCTGTCACCAAGACTTCGACTAATGTGGTTGAGTCGACTATCACGTCTTGGGTCACCACCACTGCCAAGGCTGTGACGACGACTGTGACAACTACTGGTGCTACTGTGACTCCCAAGTCAGTTACGTCCAAGGAGACTGTCTTGACCACTACCTTTGCCACCAAGACGTCTACCCCCAAGGCTGTCACTGTTACCAGCACCAAGACTGTTACATCTGGATCTAGCGGAGTCACGACCACCTCGTTGAAGGCGACTACCGTCTACTCGACCGTTGTGACCACCTCAACCGATACCACGACTAAGAAGACGACCATTACTTGCATTCCGACCAACAAGCGTCGTGATCTGGATGGTCTTGTGGCTGTGGAAACGATCAAGCCTAGGGCTGCCGTCGTCTATGGTAACCCGGCCATTGATCTTGCTGCCGGTCTTACACACCGCGACTTCATTGAGCTCCAAGTCCGCGCTGCTGGTCTGGTTACAGTGACATCGACAGTTGTTTCGACCTATACGACTAACGTCAAGACGTCGACTGCGACTGTCCCTGGAAGCACTACCACGACGCTGAGCATCACGACCAAGACGACAGGCAAGACATCTACACTCAAGCCTGCCACTGTCTCTGAGACGACCACCTCTGTGGCTACCAAGTACACCACAGTTACGATTCCGGGATCCAGCTCGACCACCACGGTTGTCACGACCCAGACGGTTGGAAAGACCACGACTCTCAAGGCTTCCACCACGACAGTTGTGCAAGATTCCACCTCGGTCGTCACCGTCAAGAAGACGACTACCCTCCCCGCCAAGACTGTGACCGCCTACAAGACGGCGACCACCACGCTTGCGACGGGAACTGTCAAGACCACAACCACAAGCACCGCCCAGAAGACGTCCACCATCACGCTTCCCGTCGAGACGGTGACGAGCCGGTCTACCACCAAGACCACGCTGACTCCTTCGAGCACGGTGACCTTGAGGAGCACGGTCTCCAAGACTACGACATCGACGGTGAAGGCGACGACGACCAAGTGGGTGACATCGACAAGCAAGGGTGCTGCTGCTTGCACGAATTAGGAAAGAAAGTAGATTAATCTTCGTCACTTGTTTCTATAGTTTAAGAAGCAAACTTTAATAAATACCCTTTTTGCTCAGTTAATATCCTATATTTGAGCACATAATAACGTTCGTCGTGTGCAGTTGACACTGTATAGCTGTACAATCCCTGTTTCTGCATAGATCATCGCTGCCAACACGTAATGCAACCTTGTCTCAGTGCAAGGGCTTGAAAGTTTAACTAGCCGACACGGCACATAGTTAGACACGGTGTTCTTTGTCATGCACTTTTACAAGGATGGGTACTTTGAGGCAAACATTCTGCTTTATCCGACGGTGCATTTTGTTAGAGGTCGACTATGCATGCCACCTGTAAATACGGGCCGCCCCAGAGGTTTGTGAGCGATTTAGTCTCACCGTGCCCCCTCCGCATTCACCTTTGACCTATTTCTTTGTCTAACATAAAGTCAGACGCAACACCTTGTACGAACCACCTTCAAACCACAGCACTCGGGCATGTGCGCCAGTCCAGAACAACAGGCGGCGGGGACAAGCCCTCCACCCGTCCAGGGCAATAATGGCCCGCTTGCCGTCGACGACAATGTTGGAGAGTCCCTTGGCTTGTACAAGATTTTGTTCTCATGATCTTTTTAGGCCGCGGCCCAAGATGACGATGCTGACTCTGCATTCGGAGGGGTGAGCTTTTCATGTGATTGTCTATGACAATGAATTAGCCTGTCTAACTCTGCTAGGACAACGTCAGCGACACAACCTCGATGGGATCTAGCATTCTTGCTTATCGGCAGGAAAATGGCAGGACGTATCACGCTTATAAGGACGGTGGTAAGTATCGATGACTTCTTCATCCGATCGTATTAGCTGATCATATACCAGTCTACGTTCTTCCGAATGACGAGGTCAGTTTATTTATTCTAAATTGCTGTCTGACACATTCTGCTGATACGTCTGTTCCTAGACCGAGAATGAACGCCTAGGTACTTGTGTCATTGCATCCACTCTATCGTCTGTGTGTCTGACTTATCAAAGATCTCCAGCATAACTTGCTGCTATTCACGTTTGACGGAAACCTTCACTGTGCCCCAGCTGACAGACCCTTCAATCGTGTCCTTGATGCTGGTTGCGGGACTGGTATCTGGTCCATTGATTATGGTACGACCCTAGGTCCGTATAAGTGTACATTTTGAGCAGACATTTGACAGTTGTATAGCCGACGAGCATCCCGAAAGTCAAGTAAGAGAAATATACAAGCGTTATCAGACGCTGGGTACCCTGACAACTGAGTTTCTAGGTAACCGGGGTTGATCTCAGCCCTATTCAACCATCATTGTAAGACAAGGGAGGAGTTAGAGCATGATGTTTTTATGGACTTTTGCTCACTGGCCAAATAGTGTTCCCCCCAACGTCAACTTTTACGTTGATGATCTTGAAGACGATTGGACTTTCAGCAGTAAATTCGACTTCATCTTCTCGCGCTTCATGACTGGCTCCATCCGAAACTGGTCCAGATACTTGAAGCAATGCTATGAGTAACAGTCATCTCCCCCAGGCATGGAATCGTCAGCTAAGCTACCGATAGCAATTTAGAACCTGGTGGGACTCTCGAGCTTATGGATATCATATATCCTCTCCAATCTGATGATGGTACACTCAAGGAAGAGCACCCTGCGTACCAGTGGTCGGTGCTGCTCCAGGAAGGGTTTTCTGGTGGTGGTCATCCACTTAACACTGCCCTCTATTACAAAGATTGGCTCAAGGATGCAGGCTTCGTTAATATAGTCGAGGTGAAAGAGAAGTGGCCTTGTAGCGCCTGGGCTAGAGACCCCAAGTATAAGCAAATCGGTAAGTGTTGAACTCTGATCGAGAGATACCTGTTTGCATTAGATACTAACATCCTCATAGGCATGTGGGCGTATGAAAACGGCGTACAGGCCCTGGAACCACTCAGCCTTGCCATCTTTACGAGGCCTAGAGAGGCAGGCGGGCTGGGATGGAGCGTCGAAGAGTTGCAGCTTCTGCTGACTGGAGTCAGAAAGGACTTTAAGAACCTGGGCATCCATATGTACTGGCCTATGTGAGTTTACCTGCCCAACTACTACCAAAACATTTCTAACGCTCTGGATAGATATTCAGTGTATGCCAAGAAGCCCGAGTAAGGCATCCTGCTACTTGCAGAATGCTCTGGACTTCGGCGTTGCAAACTTGGAATAGTTATTCTCCCACCAGCTTGATTTATGTGAGAAAGCGAGTCTATGGCCCTAGTGCATGCGGAGTACTTTATAAATTTGTTCTCGTCTTGGGGAGGGTCCTTAAATGGGGTTTCGTGGTTGTCTCTGGGCGTTGAAGTAGGATGAGAGCTTAGGTATGATGGCATTGGCCTGCAATCCCAGAACTTAGCATGGTACATTCACGTTTCCAACGAGAAGCAAGAGTATCCTCTGACAAAAAGAAATGTGATAAAAACGACCGACGTTGACGAAATAAAAGACCCAGTCAGTGAATGCCCACCAGGAGAGGACATCTTAAGCACACTTGAGCCCTTCTCTGCGCTGCTCACAAAGGAATAGCCTTCCTCTCAACATCAGCAGTGCAAGTACGGTCATGGAAGACCTCGTCCATCTCTTTAAGCGTCTTGCCGTGCGTATCAGGGAGACAATGCGATTGGCATGATGGAGTTCCACGACGATCGGATGGTCTCACTCTTCGCATCTCGCACCATGGCTGCTGATGCAGAAGACTCTACAGAGATCATCGGGACCAAGGGAAAGCTGGTGGTCAACATGATGCCGAGGGTAAACCACGTTCACGTTTACCAGACTGGCGTGGTCTTGCAGGAGATGCCCCAGAATTATTGGGAGAGGTTTCAGGATGCGTTTGTCACGCAAGCCAACAGATTTGCTGAGACCGTGCTGGATGACAAGCCATCGAGGATTGAGCTTGAATCTGCGGTCGAGGTGGCCAAGATTGGTGTTGCTTTGCAAGAGCGTGGAAAAGATCTGGTTTGATGAACAAGGTAGCGGGTGAACAAGGCCCAGCTGTAGATACATAAACGCCTTTAGAATGGTCTAAAATCTGCTATTGAATATTTCAATTGTTTATGTCAATGTTTCTATTGACCATTTTTTGAGGCTGAATTTACGTGTCAAATGCTAGATAGAGAACCTGGCTAATTGGCGTGACGTGGTATCAGCTTATCGGGAATTTACGAACGTGTTAAACGACCACTTTGATCCAAGCCAAATTCAACATCGTGAAGTCAAGGCCTCAGTAAAAAGCCTTGATGGCATCCCCGCAGGATGCGGAACGCCCCCCCTGGCCACTGTCAAGAGCCCGGCCGAGTCTGGAAACATGGCATTAAATCGCCGAAAAATTTCCCTTCAGAGCGCACTCAGGAACCCCGCAATCATGATGTTAATCAAGGTCTTGGCAGATTTTCTCGAATTGGCAATGTCTCGCCGTGTCTCGTAGTTCCACCACCCGAACAGTATTGCCAACCGTATATGAATACCGTCTCCCTCATGATCCTTGTGAAAGCCCTGTAGCAATCTACTCACATTGGACAATGGCGAAAACTCAAGACAGCCCATTGCAGGTTGCCGTTGTTGGATATGGGTAAGCTCCCATCCTACTGCAAGCTGCGGAGATGACCACATCCCTTGATTGCCATTCTAACGGAAAGATAGACTGGCTGCCAAAGTCTTCCATATACCCTTCATCCAAGCTTCACCTCTCCTCGAGTTAAATGCCATCGTACAACGCAAACCGACCAAGGAATCATCAGCCCCCGATGACCACCCCTCGCTCGCGCATTACACTACCCTCGACCCCGTGTTACAAGATCCAGCGATTGATCTTGTTGTCATTACAACCCCTCCAGACTCCCACTTCAATCTGTCAAAGCTCTGTTTACAGGCTGGAAAGCATATTCTTGTCGAAAAGCCATTTGTGCCGACGGTGGAGGAGGCCGACCAATTGATTGGCATTGCCCGCGAGAACAACCGATTGATCTGTGTCTACCAGAACAGGCGATGGGATAGTGACTTTCTCACTGTCAAGGGTCTGATCAAAGATGGCATTTTTGGTCGGATTTACGAAGTTGATACGCATTTCGACTATTATCGCCCTGAGCATTTCGAGACCTGGAGAGGCCAGCTGGGCACAACCGAGGGTGGTGGAGCCCTGTTTGATCTAGGAGCGCACCTGATCGACCAGGCTTACACACTATTTGGTGTGCCTTCTTCGGTGTACGGAGTGCTCTCGAGCCAACGAGATGGACGCATAAGCCCAGACAGGCCGGACAGCGTGCAAGCGCAGCTAAACTACGCTAACGGGCTCATTGTCAACATTCGAATCAGCGACATGAGTGTTGAAACAACACAGAGGCGATTTTGGATTCGTGGAACGAAAGGTTCTTTCACCAAGAATGGGAGAGATTCGCAAGAAACCCAACTTGAGGCGGGATTGGCTCCTGATGCTACCGGGTTTGGAGAAGAGGGTCCTGCGAACAAAGGGCATCTTGTTTGTGTGGATGCGGACGGAAAATTTCAAGACAGGGACTATATTATCGAGGCGCCCAAGACATATGGCGGTCTCTATGAAGGCTTTGTCGAGGCGATCCGATCTGGGAGTGAAGATGCCGTTCCGGTACCGCCAACTGAGGCCAGAGAAGTCTTGCGTGTCATCGACGCCATTTACAGAAGCGCAAAGATCGGACAGGTGGTTGAGATTTAATTTCAAGCATTCTTACTTTACACTGGAGGCGACATGTTGGGCGCCATTACAGCTCGTGGTTCACCTTTTTGGTAGATTAAAATTAGTTGTCTGAGAAATCCACTACAGTAACCTAGGACGCCATTCCATCTAAGCTTGCAATGAACTCGAGGTGCGCTAGCTCCTTGATTGTGTAGTAGTCACGATCTTCCTTGTTGGCAAACTCAACGACAAAAGCGTGAGAAATACCGTTCTAGTAGTTGATGGACACTTAGAAATAAGCATTTGCTGCCCGGCCACCCCTGGAGGAGAGTATGTAAGGCTACCCTGTGACCGGGTCAACGCACTTCTCCTTCAACTAGAACATTCGAGACACGACCTATATACCTGGTTAGACAGAGGAATGGTACCGGGTGTGGGTAGTCATACATCCTCGATAGTCTCACTACTAACGTGGTCAAAGAACTGGAAGAGGACGATGTGCGTAATATTGGTCATTCTGCCGATACAGATAAGCAGCCGCTTGCAGACTTGTGCACGGTGGTCAAGGATCTTTTCGATGTCAAGGGGACAAAGACGGGTGGTGGTTCGAGGGTCTACCTTGAGATGTACCCAGAAAAGAACAAGTCGGCAGTCGCTGTCACCAAGCTTCTGAACCTAGGCGCCATTCCTGTTGTGAGTTCATTAGCGGGAATCACTGTTCTGTATACAATACTGATTCTAGTCAGGGAAAAACCAAGATCTCACAGTTCGCCTGGGGAACTGAGCCTGGAAGTGGAACGATGTCAAGCACCCCTGGAACGCCCGTGGTGACGGATGGCACGAGGTGGCCTCCTCCTCTTCTGATAGTGGTGCTGCTATTGTTGGCTATGACTGGATCGATTTTGCCATGCGGAGTGATACGGGTGGCAGTGTTTGCATGCCTGCGGCTCTTGGAGGTTCACACGGAATCCGCCCGACGCACAACGCCATCGACTTGACTGGGGCTCTCCCCTAATCCCACCTTTGATACAGCCGGCATCTTTGCCCGGGATCCCGTCTTGGTCTCTCGGGTCAGCCAGAAGTGGTCAGTATATCTCATTTTATAACCAAACGTGCATCATTAGAGTACTGACCAACTTGCAGGTACGCCAACAGCAGCGTTCCCATCGCGAACGTTCCCAAAGCGTTTCCTAAGAAGCTGCTCTACCCGGTCGACTACCTCCCACTGAAGAACACCAAGGCACAAGAGGTTTTTGATTCATTCATCTCCACCCCTGAAAAAGAGCTTGGCATGAAGACTGAAAAGATCGACATGACGGCAATCCTGCAAAAGTCGGACAATCCCTACATCAACACAGTAGCCATGACTGAGTCTCTCTTTTCCACGGCAGTTAGATAGGACTCGTGGCAGGATATTGGCAAGGATCTCATTGCCCGCTGGAATGCTACCTACCCAGACGCAGAATTCTCACCCTTCGACCTCGAGACACGCAACGGCTTCATCAATCATGGCACATTCAATCAGTCAGCTTATGATGGGGTGATCAAACACAAGGAAGAGTTTGCTGCTTTTGCCAAGAAAGAGATCCTCCACCCTTCTAAGAAGACCTGCTCCGAGTCCATCAGGATTCTTGAGTCTGGCGCCAGCGGGCTGCCGTCCTACCGCGAGGAGTTCCTCAAACACGAAGAAGGTACTGGTTTCCATTACATGACGGATCCCAAACAGTGGCTGAACCCCCTACTTCTCTCACCACTTCTCTCGGCTCCGCAGATTGGCATCCCCATTGGCCAGGTCGACTACAAGAGTGTCACCAGCTTGCAAACCGAGAAGTTGCCCATTGTGATGGGTTTGATGACGTATCCTGGTTGAGATAATATGTTGCTGGACCTGGTGGAGAAGTTGGCGGAGATGGGGATTATCAAGACTGTCAAGACTGGGCGTACAGCTTTCTGAGATAGCTACTAGGGTGACAACAGAGTCAGATACGGCGGGCCAATTCTTTGAGTTTTGGATTAATCTGTAGCCAAAATAGAGTCTCTACACTGCCTTTACTACGCATGAATAGCGCTTCCTGGTCTCTGTTCTTAGCTCTCTCTCTATAAGAAGGTGTTGTTTATCTACCTCACCTAAGGTCTCCGTCTCCTAGATCTTGGATGCTTTGCCAGACTTCTCGGTAGCTTAAAGTTTTTCTACCTCTCTATGACACAAGCTATACCTTCGCAGAGTCAAGACATCAATTCCCACCGTCTTGCCTTATTACCGAGCTCCCATCTCTTCGCACCAGCTCGGCTTAATGCGGAGCACTGTCCGCCAATATGCAAGTTATATGCCCGTGATTGGCCGCCTGGTTTCTCTTTCAACCCCCGCCTTCAATTGTCGGTTAGCTTTCTCCCCCATCATAAGCTGATACCTTCCTCGATAGTTGAACCTCATCATTTACTCCCGTCACCCACTGTTTCGCAATCGTATCTGTTGAATTGCCCTCATGGATCAGCAACCTAACTCTCGCCACCTATGTGGTCGGTGCCGCATCGGACTCCGTTTCCCAGGCATCGAGAATCCCGAATTGCGTCCAGAAACCGTCCTGGAACAAAATCCTCCTGACGAGGCCGACCCTAATGTACCAACCCGATACTACCACTGGCGTGGGCTGCATAGGCTCAGGTGCAACTTCGTCCTCCGCGACAAGTTGCCGCACACGGCCACTTTGACACTGGGCGTGGACGAGGGTTGTGTGTTCTGCTGCTTCTTACGATCTCTTCTATTAGGTCATATTTCGACAAACCCGCCAAGTGATGACGCAGTGACTGTTAATCTGGAATATCTCTGGGATTCCCATCCCGTGAGGAACCAGACCGGTGACCTCGCCACAAGATGGGTCCTCGAAATCACGTTCAAGTTCTCTTCACCAGAAAGCTTCGGGTATTCCACTAATTATTATTGGCCTATGGTCCGAAAGTCTGGTATGTAACTTCTACAGGTTATGAGATACCCAAGTACTTATCACCAAATGCATAGAAAGTCTACATGGACAAAGGTTGGGAATGCCAGCCCCGAACCCACGTCACAGTTTAGGGCAAAAAAACCTAGAGTTTCTACAATCAAATATTCATCGATGCCTCAATAGCTGCGTGCATCTGCGTCCTGGTTCAAGAGACTTCGTCCCGAACCGCCTCATCGACGTCAGCGACGCTTGTTTGAGGATTATTGAGGCTGTGGGCAACTCGAACCGGAGGCAGGTCAGTGATGCTCGCTATGCGACATTGAGCTACTGTTGGGGTACCCGAGATGAGGGTTTGTCGCAGTTGCGGCTTACCAAGGATTCCTGGCTGCGACTGACATCCGGCTTCATGCTGGGAGAAATGTCTCCCGTACAGAAGGACGCTGTGATGCTTGTAAGGGCATTGGGTATTCCCTATCTATGGATTGATGCCATTTGCATCAGGCAGGACGATAAGTCCGACTGGGAGCGCGAGTCATCGCTGATGCATAAGATATACGGGAATTCGTACCTGACCATCTGCAACTTGAGAACAGAATCTTGTCAACAAGGGTTTATGTCTATGGAGAAGAATCTCGAACTCGATATTCCATTTGACACCGAGTCCCGGAACAACGCAGAAGAGTGTTATGGAATTGGACCGGGGTTTATGTCTCATTTCCTACGTCGAAGCGACGTGGAGACTTGGGGAAGCTTCGAATTCAGTCACAACCAGTGGAACGCGCGAGCATGGACTTTCCAAGAGGCAATCATGTCGACAAGATTGATCTTATTTGCGCCCTCTGGCCTATACTTCAGTTGCAGTCAAGGGCTCGTTTGGGAATACGGCCGCCTCCTCGAACAGCCTGCTCTATTTTCGGCTAGCAGCATCCTCCAAGGATGCTCCAAAGCAGAGCTCTATAGGAAGTGGAATCGAGAGGTCGCTATGCAATATTCGGGACGACAGACCACCTACGTGAGCGATACTCTACCGGCACTCTCCGGGATCGCGCAGATATTTGCGACATTGTTGAACGACGAATATGTGGCCGGCTTGTGGAATGGCGATTTGCTCAGTGGCCTCTTCTGGAGCTTACAAGGCGCGTTGAGCAGTTCCTTGGCTGGCCTCATCACCAAACTCAATGGTCCATATATCGGGCCGTCTTGGAGCTGGGTGGGCAGATCCATGTATCTTGGCTCGGCACGCCAAATTAGAAACTTTGGGCCCGGCGCTTCCTACATTTACGATACAGAAGGCCCGTCGTTGGTGCGTGTTTTATGCGATGAGCTGCAAGCCCAGACTACACCGACCGGCGTGGATAAATTTGGCACGATATCGAGTGCCACGTTGTCGATAACAGGAGCTGCATATCCACTTGCTCTTGGATGCTGCCACATGCCAATTCCGGACGATCAGGACAAGGAACTATTCGAAGTGGGGGACTTCTGCATTGAGCGACCTGGGGGCCGAATACTCGCTTTCGGCTATTCGCTAGATTTTGCTCCTACAAAGGATGAACTAGATCCTGACCAGAGCTGGAAGTATAAATTAATCTTGGTTCTTATAGGAAGCATAAACCATGGGTATTCAGGCCCAGGATCGGATGATGAAATGCCTTGTGGGTTGATTGTCCACGAGGCCAAGGCCGAGAATACATATTGGAGGGTGGGGACATTCGGGCCAAGTGTTGAGGATTGCTCGGAACCAGTCTGTCATCTTGACCTGAAATTCTTTCAAGAGTGTGAGAATAGAAGCTTTAAGTTGATATAATCCAATCATAAGCTGGTTCAGGGCATACTGACGATTGGGTATAGCTAAGGCCTCTTGGTGTATTGATAGTCATGAGCTTGAGTATGTGCGGATAAAATCAAGGGACTAAAAGTCTAGATCTTTGTATTAAACGCAATCGACGTCCGCTGGCTTAAGAATGAGGATATCATTGTTGGCATCAAGGCGCTTCTTGACTCTAGAGGCCTATGATATAGAAGCAGCAGACTCCAGCAGAAATGTCATCGTAAGAGTCGCTTTCAGCGGCTTAGAGGGCCTTGGGCAAATGGGATATCAACCCCAGTACTCAGATACCCCTTGTTAAATGGCGGCCTTGATTCCGTCTTCACGGCCGTCAAGATGCAGCTAAACTCAGCTGCAGTTAGTTCCCGGAAAAGCGGCATCCGTGGGCTTTCTCCAGGCCCCTGCGGCTGTTAAATGAGGCTGATCTGGCTGGCGCTAGAGACCACGATTGGGCTCAACCCGGCACCCATATCCGAAGAATTCCGCCCCTGAGCCTATCAGAGCGAGGCAGATCTCAACCCCATCATACAGCCTGCAGCTTGCTTCCCCGGGTTATCGATGCCGTGTGTTCAGCTCGTTTCACTAGTTCCAGATTGGGCGCTTTCCTTGCAGAAACGAGCAGCCTGCCAGTTGTTTAAAGATGGAGGGGCAAGTCGTCAAGGACCCCTGGATGCTTGGCATCTCGACTTTGGCACAAAATGACCCTCGCAAAGAAGACAACGTTGTTATTGGCAGCGTGTACTTGGATAGCCATTACAGAGGCCCAAAACACATTGCCAGTACTTCCATCGTGCGCGGTAAGCTCTCCGAACTTGATCAACAGTTCACCACATTGACTAACACTCCCCGGCGCTGCAGACATCTTGCCTCTCCACTTTCGACGGCGACTCGCCATCAGCGAACACAACATGCAGCACTTTAGACATCAAGTGTATCTGCCAAGATGCGCCATACCTCGACAGCATGATCTGTTGTCTGCACGAAGCCTGCTCTAATAGCGACCGTGAAAGCGCCGAGGCTTACTCAAGGTCTCTATGCAAGAGTTTGGGCGTCACGATGCCGTCCGGGCTGGGATGTTCTACGAATACTTCATCATCAGGTGCGACCAAAGGGACTTGAATGGGCGGCAGTCTGAGCGAACTGTGACTAACGAAACGAAAGCAACGGGGAAAGCGACGAGCGCCGACGGAATTTCTATCCCAACAGAATCGAGCGGTACATCTTCCGATAGCAACACAGGGGCTGGTGGTAGTTCTTCCGAGAATAGCTCGGGAAGCGACTACGGATCTTCTAGCAGCCACCACAAGATACATCATAGCTCGAAAGCTGGGCTTGGTGCTGGTCTTGGCGTAGGGCTCCCTGCTGCAGCCGCACTAATAGGGGGTATCCTCTATCGTCTCCGCAGAAAGAAGAACGCACCAACTGCACCACCGACAGCGCCGAATTTGACGAATGGTATTAATGAGCTCCCTGCTGGTTCGAATCCTCCCCACTTTCAGCCTCAACCTCAACCGGTTGGGACATATCCTCAAGCCGGACTGGCGGCGTATGGAGCGGTCGAAGAAAAGTATACTAGTCAAATGGGAGTAACCGCAGCTTCATCCCCAGTCCATGAGTTGCCGCCTCAACATCAGCCACAGTCCGGATTGCCTCCATACGCATCACCCCCTGTTCATGAATTGCCCTTGACTGGATGGCAGCAACCTGAGTTGCCGGGAAGCACGGTACCTCCTGTGCATGAACTACCACTCAATCCGCATTTGAATCCGGGGCCACCGGGCAGCCAACCGCACTAGGATGGGTGGATGCCGTCAGAAAATGGGGAAATTAATGGAGGAGTGGGCAAATGGATGGGACAGTCTTGAGACACTAATGGTCTTGGGCCCAGAAGAGGCCATCTAGACGAAGGGCCACGATCTTCTATAATGTCCAAGTTGGCAATTATGTGAGACGGCAAAGCCAAAAAGATACGAAACGAAGTCACTACCCCATACTACAGAAACTTGTCCCGGCCATAGCCGACCCCATGACCAGGAAAGGGAGCACTCTTGGATGTAGGTCAAGACATAAATGTTGATTGCAACCTGTCTGGACTATGCTAGCTTTTTTGGAGGTCATGGCCGTCCTGGATGCTTCAGTTTCCCCCGCAACGTGAGAGAAAGAACCTCGAGAGACGGAGACACGAATTCGTAAGTTGTGATCGTGGCTGGGCCAAAAGCCTGACGCCCAATTTAATCGTCTCCGAGGATGGATTCACTGCTGGAGGTTGTTAGCGTCAGGCATAAGAAATGTTGTGAAACACAATAGGCCGCCATACCAAAGGCAAAGGGAGCGATACGTTTTGATAGGGGCAAGCTACGTCGTACATGCTACTTCACAGATGTGTATCTAGGTAGTGACGTTGCTGACGTGAATTGCGCCTCGTTGTGTCAGCGCATGTCCACGCTTCGCATTCGCACTCGCAAAAATCAGCCTACAAAGATAGAACCATAATAAAAGGACTATGCACAAATCGCGATCATATTGACCCCATCAGCTCCTTTTACAGAAGACTTTAGTATAGGTAGTGGAAACAAGCCACATCGTCATTGACGTCGGCTTGATAACAGACACGGCCACGGGTCCGGCTTAGAGCTTGGAGTCTATCACGGCTGCAATGGGAAAATGAAACAGGGTAACGTACTTGATAAGTGAGCTGTACAGACAAGTGAGCTGTACAAAAATCCCTCAACCTACATCTTCCTCATTTGATCAATTAATTCTCAACGACCCAGGATGTCACAGTCTAATAGAGAGGCTAGAATCCTTCTAGCCCTTCATGCCTATCAAAATAACCCAAAACTTAGTCTCCGACGCGCTGCATCAATCTATCAAGTTAATCATAATACCCTCCGCGCCCGATATAATGGCATCCAAGCCCGAGCTGATATGATCCCTAAATCACGCAAGCTATCTGATCTAGAGGAACAGATCCTTATTCACTTTATTCTCGACCTAGATTCACGAGGATTTCCCCCTCGGCTTCGTGGTGTTAAAGATATGGCTGATCAATTGCTTGCCGACCGCGACGCACCACCAGTTGGCGTGCGCTGGGCTTCAAACTTCGTTAAGCGACACTCAGAGCTTAAGACGCGTTTTTTTCGGAAATACGACTACCAGAGAGCCAAATGCGAAGACCCAACGATTATCCGCAATTGGTTTCAGCTCGTGGGGAACACAATCGCGAAGTATGGCATCCGATCAGATGATCTATATAACTTTGACGAGACTGGCTTTCTTATGGGCATGATTGCAAGCGGAATGGTTATCACAGGTTCAGAAAGGCGTTCAAAGCCGAAATCAGTGCAGCCTGGAAACCGGGAATGGATTACAGTCATCCAGGCGATCAATGCGGAAGGCCAGGCGATCCAGCCGTTCATCATTGGCGCGGGCCAATATCACCTCGCCAATTGGTACCAAGATAGCAACCTCCCGGGCGATTGGGCTATTGCAACGACCCAAAATGGCTGGACCGATAACGAGACCGGTCTCGAGTGGCTTAAGCACTTTGACCGGTGCACAGCCAAGCGATCAAATAGTCGCTATCGCCTCTTAATCCTCGATGGCCATGAAAGTCACCAGTCTATCGAATTCGAGAGATATTGTGAGGAAAAGAAGATCATCCGGCTTTGTATGCCGCCTCATTCCTCTCATCTACTCCAGCCCCTTGACGTCGGGTGCTTTAGCGTGCTAAAGCGAGCTTATGGTCGAGAAATAGAGCATCTGATCAGATGCTCTATAACCCACGTTTCAAAGAATGAGTTCTTTCCGGCCTTCCACGCTGCACACGAGGCCACTATGACGGAAAGAAATATCAGGGGGGCTTTTAAAGGAGCTGGCCTTGTTCCCCTTGACCCAGAAGCTGTGGTCTCAAAGCTTGATGTGCAGCTACGGACTCCAACGCCTGCCGAGGAGGGGGTTGAACCCTCCACCCCTTGGGTCTCAAGGACCCCAAAGACCGTGCTTGAGGCCGGATCTCAGTCTGAATACCTCGAAAGACGAATTAGAAGGCATCATAGCAGCTCCCCAGAGTCAATTATAGAGGCTATGAAGTCTCTTACGAAGGCAGTAAAGGGAAATATGCATGAGATTGCATTATTAAGGGCTGAGGTTAAAGACCTTCGAGAGGCAAATGAGATACTAAGCCGGCGCCGGAGGGCAAAAAGGACTAGATTGCAGAAAAGAGGAGTAATGACAGTAGAGGAAGGAAGGCAGGCAATTGATCAAATGGATGCTAATGCGCAGGTAGTAGCCGAATCATCGAGACGTAGTGGTCAAGGAAGGTCGGCGCGACCGGGGGTTCGGCGTTGTGGTGTCTGCGGCCAGCCCGGCCATAATGCAAGGACCTGTCAGGTAGTGATTGAGACGTCTGGGGAAGAGTATAGTGAGTAGTTTTAATTGATCAAATGGTTTGTGGTATTTTTATAGCGATTTTAATCTTATAGGCTAAGAAAAGTGTACAGCTCACTTGTCTGTACAGCTCACTTATCAAGTACGTTAGCATTTCCACGGTGATTTATCAATGCCAATGACTCATACACTGTTCGCAAGACAACGCTCCGCTCCCCATGTTCCGGAATAGTAGACGTCATCGACTAATGGCTTCCTTAGTGGTGACGGCCCATTTGTCGATCGCGTCGAAATAAGTCGTTGAACGGTGACCAAAACGGCTTGGAACGGACTCGATTATTGACGTTATGCTTACTTCGGCTTCTCGATCTTCCCTGGACCGGCGATGCGAGACAACAATGCTGAGGAATGCCGCTCAAGACACCCGGCTTACGTGGGCAGCATCGCACTATGGCTACGGCGCGGCTCTACGCGTCCTCTTAGATGACGATGAAGTCATGACGTCTACTATTCCACCAATCCTCCCGAGTCTTTGAGTAGGAAAAGATATAAAACCCGCCGTCCACAGCCCATGTTTTGCACCATTCCCATCAACCAAGTACCCAACTCCCTTCTTAAGTATTAAAAGTCTCTTGCACACTACAAAATATCACCTGCCATGTCTGGAATGATGCCAATGGAGAACGAACAAGGTCAGGGCATGTCCCATACCACAGGCGATTCCAAGGTCCCCAAAGCCGTTCAGCGAAAGGCGCCCCAGGGTCTAGAGGAGAAGCTTCCGGAGGCTGTAAGTTGCCCTTCAGATGTGTAACGGACAATGCATTGATGCTCGCAAGATCCATCCTACTAGCTCCGAGCCTGGCCAGTCCACGAACAAGTCACACACCCAGGGAGGAGGTGAGGCCTCGATTGTTCCCCAGAAGCTGCAGGAGAAGCTGCCTGAGACTGTGGAGAGGGCTGTTCCCAACGCCATTCATGACACTGGCGATACTGGGGGCCTGCACAGGAAGCAGTAGATTGCTGGACTATCGGCCATCTGGCAGCGTGAGAACATCCGCTTTAGAGTAGCTAGAGATGAGGTAATATCAATCATATTATCCTTCAACTTGAAATCACTGCACCGAAATAATCTCGGAACACACAGCTGTGCATCAAAATTGTGCTCAAGAGTTTTATGAGCCAATCAATCTTTTAGGACGTGGTTTTTCATAGAGCCGGGCTGCACTGAGGTGAGTTAATCTAAATAGACAATGGCGAATAGGCCAATACTCTTCATTTGCAATTGGCCGAAACTGCTACAGAGCCAAGAAGACGCCTGTCGCCAAGATGACGGCTGCCGTGATAGCGTGGTTAACACTAGCCTTTGTTGCTTCAGTCTTGGCCTCCCCTTGGACCCCTTCATCCTTGGCGAATTTTCGAATAATCCAAGCATCACCCAGTCCAACAGTAGTGCCCAAAATGAGGCAAATTCCTAGACATAGTCTCACAGCATCCGACGCGGCCGGGTTGGTCTGACACACTGGAGACAGCTTCCAGAACACAAAGATGCCGAGGTTGGCAAGGCCCACGCCGATATTGCGGATACCATAGATGTATATAGCAGATTTTTGGAAGGCTTCGGCATGTGCTGAAGGGAGATTCTTATCGCTTGGTGAAGGGGCGCGCAGCCCAAACATGCGGATGGCATCAAGGGGGGAGACGAAGCTGTAGATGCCCACTCCAACACCCGTTAGGCCCAGGAGAACGGGAAGAGCGGGCACGACTGTATTGAGGGTAGCCATTGTTGAATATTTTGACAATGTTGTTGGCGATTTGACTTGGGAGGCTGGAGTGTGGTCGATGAGGTCATACGCGGGTGAGATGGAGGCTGTCTTAAGCCCGCGGGCCGGATTTTGTCAAACCCGGCGAGCTAACTAATTGATGGCTGAAGTGATCGCGATGGCCTCATTGGTTAGCCTCGCTAGTCTTGGAGCGCCTTGTGATGCTTTCGGCAAGGCTATGGACCTTGGCCACATCTGAAATAGCGTGTTGTAACTCGACTTTGTCACTGGCTTCAATAGCTGGTGTGACGAAGCAATATAAGCCATTGGTTCCCGTCCGTATCGCAAGTACGGGGGCCCCCTACATTTGGGTATTTGGTGCAATGGTCTATTTGTAACAGCTGGGTTTGAAAACTATTGAGGAGGGCAATGGTACCAGCAAATTGGAAATTTGACACAAATGGGTCTCGGTCTCACTAGAAGGAGACAGTGTTTCTGAGCAGGCCGCGGGCACGAAAAAAGAAAATATATTACCAATAACTTTGTTGTTAGCCTGGTAGATTCGAGCATATAAGCATTGTGACATCAACCTCAAACTACCAATATTAGTGGAAGTGCCCGTCCTAGTTGCCAATGGTTTACTCCCGCTCGTCGATATTACCAGCGATCACCACTCCAAAAAGTTAGGTAGATCTTAGACAGATACGGGAAAAAACTTGGCTGTATTCACTGGTGGAAAGATTATACAAGATATTAACGCGTAGTCTATCGTGACAGGATGTCCAGACGTCACGATAATGTTTGGCTGATCTTGTCTAATGAGCCGCTCGCCCTGACCTCTTTCGAGCGAGCCGCTGGCAGTTAAAACCGCAAAGTACAAGAAGACAAGGATATAGGAACAGAGCTATGCAATGTGCCGATGTCGGAAAAGGACTCGGCCTGTTGTTGGTATCCGTTTTTCCGGTCGCTGTCTCTTCCAACCCCTGGATCAAGCTTAAACCTAAAGACCAACTAACATAGGTAAAATGGCGATGGATAATTCCACCAATGGCTACCTCACCTAGTTGAATAGGAAGACGATCGTCGCATCCCCTGTTGGGCGAGTGAGTGGTTCCCCGCATCGACAAACCTGGTGAACCACTTTTCCGGCCGGCTTGGCGACCCCATACTACGACGTAGTATGGGTCATGGAGGGCCTTGGTAGTATGAGGATCAAGCTGCAGATGCTGCTTGTCGCTGTAAGAATATCCCGAGGTCGGAAAGGAAATGCATCGAAGACCGAATACTTAAATAAGGATGGGGGTAATCGCATGCATAAACCTCGCACTTTTCATTCCCAGAGTCTTAGGCGGTAGCCCTCGATCTCATCATGCATTCCTTCCGGACTCTTTACCTTGTGGGAGCATTCGCTCTGACCTTGGTCAATGCCGTGAGCCTCCCCGCTGGTGTACCTCGCGACGTGTCAGAGTTCCGCGATAAACATCACTACAAACCGCCACACCATGGTCACCGCAAGATTATCACCATTCGCCCATCTAAGAATGATCATGACGATGCGTCAGAGAGATTCAAGAGGGGTGTGTTGAAAGCTAATGGTGGTGGCACACTCTATCTACCAAAGGGAAAGACATTTGTTATTGGAAAGGCCCTGGACTTGACAGGGCTCAATGACATTCATGTTCACTTGGACGGCGAGATTCGGGTAAGAATTCCCCTCTCGGCCAGGCATCGCATATACTAAACATGAGATTAGTTTACGGATGACGTTGAGTACTGGCAGGAGAATGCCTGGTACCACCCTTTCCAGAAGTCAATCATGTTCTGGAAGTGGGGTGGTAAGAACATCAAGATCTATGGCGAGGGAGTTATCGAGGGCCAGGGGTGCGTCCAATTCTAATTCTAGGTGAACAAAGGCTAACGAATACCCAGCCAGCGTTGGTGGAATGAATTTGAGGCTGGAACAGGCTCGTGAGTTGCTCTCATCGTCCATATCTTTCTCCTAGCTTACCCTTGTGCAGCATTCTGAACCCCGACAACAAGTACTACCGACCTATTCTATTCTATGCCGAGAATACGACCAATTTGGAGATTTCTGGAATCCACCTCAAGGATTCTCCCTGCTGGAACAACTTCATCGTCAGCTCCAAGAACATCCGATACACTGACGTCGTGGCAACTGCTTTGTCCAACAACGGTAGCATCATCCCAAAGAACACGGATTTTATGAACACCATGAACACTTCAACTGTTCATATTGAGCGAGCTTGGGTCAACATTGACGACGATTGTTTCTCACCTAAGCCCAACAGCTCTGACCTTTACGTCAACACCATGTACTGCAACGGCACACACGGCCAGGTAGGAATCTCGCACAAAATGTACCCCAATTCCCCGTTCTAACTTGTGTTGCAGTCTATGGGCTCACTTGGCCAGTATGAGGGCGAGGTTTCCAATGTTCACGATGTGCACATCGAGAACGTCTGGATGCTGAATGGCGACGTGAGTTGATCCTATTTATGCATCGACTACAAAAGCTAACCTGTTGCATAGTACTCTGGTGCCCGTATCAAGGTCTGGGCTGGCGAAAAGACTGGCACAGGATATGTCAACAACGTCACCTTCAAGTAGGCTACCTGCTCAATTGTGCCCGTAACCAATACTAATACCTACCCTAGGAACTTCTGGGTTGCGCGAATGGACTATGGCATCTTCCTCGACTCCTGCTACTTCAACAAATCTGCCGAAGAGTGCAACAAGTACCCCTCAGGCATGGACATTACAAACATCCACTTCGAGAACTTTACAGGCTACACCTCCGGAGTCTACGGAAACGCTGTTGCTCGTCTATCATGCTCAGCCAGCGAATCAGCGGTCTGCTCCAACATCACTCTCAAGGATTTCAACGTGGAGACACCTTGTGGTGGAAAGCCTGTGATCATTTGCGATGGCATGCACGGCGATATTGGGGTCGACTGTGTTCCATATGAGAGTGAGGAGGCGCAGGCAGCGTTGAAGGCGAAGTGCAAGATACCGATTGTTGGAATTGATACGGATCCTTGGGGAAGCGGAGTTATAGAGCGGAAGAAGGATGCGTTTCATCCTATCTCGCGAGAGATTGGCGATGACTAGGGAAGAACCCTGAAAGAAGCCTAGTCTGCTGAGAATCTGCTCTGTTGCTGGTAGTCATGCGGTAAGGCCAGCTAGATAGGAAGTATAGTTAGATGCTATTCCCAAGTTTATCACCTACGAGAGAAAGAAATCGTTGAACAAAATGCGGGTCTCGGGCGACTTCAATATCACTCGTTTTAGAATCAAAGTCTCATGAAATGCCCAGTGGCATCCTGTGTTAGCACCTGAATTCGGAAGCCAGTCTTTTCATCCAGATACCAGTTGCCCAAAGTAATCCAATGCGATAGCACTGTACAGTCGCCAATACATCCCCTGGTGGCTGGTACAGTAACCCAATCCCCGCCTCGAGGGAAACTCTCACCCTAAGAGGTACTGTACCTTGCCACTAGTAATGAAGCGCGACATACTGTACGGTGTCCACAGCTCTGGCTTCGTGGAGGCAGCCAAATTCCCTCTAGTCGGGTTCTCTACGTCACGAATTGGAGATATCTCCTGACACGCCAACGTCATAATTCGACAATGTTCTCGTATTAAGGGCCCGTGAAATCCGTCCAGCAGGAGCCATGACTTCCTTCACCTCCGGCCTTCGCAAGTGAATATCTCCAGGAAACCACAGCCGTACTTTCTCACCAATCCTACTCTCACGTACTGCCAATATTCTTAAAGTTTTTCTTGCTATCACCAGGCGGCTACCGCTTTCCTCCTACACATTCGCCCATGCCAAAATGAGGACCAGAGAGTGGCCACTTACCGTTGCCTTCATCTACGACCGCAAGGTGGAACACATTGCGCACGCTGAATCACCAGACGAATATTCCGACTTGGCAGACGATGTTACCATTGGGGGGATCACCGAGGCACTTGAAAGACTGGGGCATCGTGTCGTTCATGCGCCTGGGCTCAAGGCTCTGATCAAGGACATCGCAGCAAACAAGCACAAGAATTGGGATGTAGTCTTTAACTACAGCAAGGGATCACACGGCACAGCTCGGGAGTCACAGGTGCCTGCGATACTTGAGGAGTACCAGATTCCCTTTACATTCTCAGATGCTGAAATACGAACAAGTCCATATGTTGTGGTACCCAAATTTGATGATGATCCTTTGGACTACAGCGAACTCAAGAAACTCTCCTATCCTCTCTTCGTCAAGCCTACCTCCTGTCCACAATGCAACGGCATCACCTGTGCCAATAAGATCCTTAAACCGAAAGATCTGGAACACGAGGTCGATCAGCTCCGGTCGCAGTTCAAAGACCAGGAGATACTAATAGAGAATTTTCTTGGTGGGCGTGAGTTCACACTCGCCATTGCCGGAACGGGCGAAGATGCCCATGTGGTTGGCATAGCAGAACTTATATGGAATCCCCATACGTTGCGGGCGAAGGACATGATTCCCGTCGACTTTTCTATCGCACTCGCTAGAATGGCGAGGTCCGTGAGCAAGGGATTTTCTCTTGAGGACGTGCCCTTAAGTGATCCTCTATGGGATGAACTTGCCGATCTTAGTCTCAAGGCCTATACAGCCCTAGGATGTCGAGACGGTGGCCGTGTTGATATCCGACTCACTTCAGAGGAACAGGGATCGGCTCCTTGCGTTATAGAGGTACCATCAAGTTGTCAGGCGGTTTCTTTACTCTCTACTGATGCTATTCAGGTCGATCCCATCTTTGGAATGCGTCCCGACCGCTCTCGATACGCTTTCATCGCGAAAAGTAACGGTGTTGAATACCCCGAGATGATTCAAGACTTTCTTGACATTGCTATTCAGACGTATGAGCAAGCGGAACGTAACTTGAGAATCTGACGGCTGGGCTTGGAGGCAGGTACTTCGTTGGCCAGAGACTCACATGGTGCCAGTCACTGGAGCAAGCAACACAGTCGGATGAGCATAATGACATGTTAAGGTCTGTGTTTATGAAACAGTAAGGCCATTGAGAATGATATGGAAAGGAACAAGGCAAAAGTTTTCTTTTCATATGGATTGAATAGTCTTTAGCTTGACCAAACCACCTCTCAAATTCATCCGAGCGAATATAATGTGCTACTGACTCCCCGAGGACTGACAGAGAAATCCTAGCCGAGATGGCTTCAGTCATCCAGAATTTCTTTGACCTCATAATTCTTGTTCGCATACACGAACCAAAGAGTCCCAGTCACGATAGCAATGCCACCAAGGACTGCAGAGGTGTAGTTCATCCCATCTGCCATAACAGGGAGGTAATAAGGAAAGCAGTAAAAGATCAATGCAACCAGCGCCCATGCAAGCATCACCACGTTTGCAAGAAGTCCAAGTCTGGGATACCAAAAGGGCCCATGCTGAAAGTTGGATCGACCTTGTAGCAGCATCAGGACAACAGGGATGCTGTAGCTGATGTATTGGAGCAGAAGGCCTGTAGAGATGAGAGAATTAAAAGCAAGCTCCGAGCCCAGATACAGGCATCCAAAGATGGCGGTTCCTGAAGCTGACCAGAGCAGAGACCACACCGGGGTTTGCAACGGCGCTGGTGCAAGCTTGCTGAGGTGACGATGAAGAGGGAAGCCTGCCTCGCGACTGATGGTCCAGGCAAGGCGGGATTGCCAAGTCTGAATTGACCAGACTGCACCGGCTGTGGTGATCAAGACTGGTATCCAGAGACCAACGGCTGCGGCTTTGCTGCCAGTGATGCGGTAGAACAAAGCGACAGCCGAGTTATCGGCAGCTCCATCGATGCTGGTTACATTGATAAGGATTGACGTGACGACAAGGAGACCGGATGTAAAGCCAACAACAATCGTCCAAATAAGAGCTTTTGGAATATCCGTGCTCGGCGAAGGCATCTCTTCCGCAAGATGCGTGGCGACGTCGAGACATGAGAAACTCCAGTTTGCACCATTCATTCCAATGATAAAAGCAACTCCCTTTGGCCATCCTGAGACGTTGACTGAGGTGGTGAAATAGTCTTTTGCGGAAGCGTGTTCATCGGACATGGCGAAGAGAGTGATGAAGATGACTGTGATGGTAACGCAGCTAAACAGAAGCATGATCTTTGAGATCTTTGGGAGTGCATGTTCGAAGCTCGCGCAGAAAACGGTGATAATGTTGAGGAGCTGGAACCCAACAAAGCCCATCCATCGCTTGTAAACAAAGTTGGGGTCGAGGAGCGAGATGATGGCGCAGGCGCCAGTCGGCACAGAGAGACACGCCGAGGCTCCTGTCGCAACAGCAGCGAGCCAACTAATTACTGCAGTGATGTAGGATAGAACACGTCGTGAGTGTGACGGTGCCAGTCGGTTAACCCAGATGTATTGGCCACCGGGATGAGGCATGGCAGAGGCAAGTTCGGCAAGAGTAGTGGCTGTAGCCAAACCGACTATAGCCATGACCAGGAAGCCCCAGAAGAAAAGCGGCGAGCCTCCCATAGGTAGAGTGCTGCCGAGGACGAGAAGAAGTCCAACTGCGGTGTTTGTGGTTCCATAGCCGATACCAAGGGCAGATAACGTCGTGAATGGCTTCACTGTCTGGACTGTGACTTCGCCATATGTGACGGATGCACGTTCTGGTGCTTCGGTATCGACTTTTTCGGTCATGATTAAAGATTGAGTAGCATTGAAGAGCAGCGAGAGAGTGCGAGAGCGATCATTTCATATTACGCGGGTGTTATCGCGTTGAATAGATACTCCGAGACAAGGAGGTGGAGAAACGTGACCACGGGATCGATGCGATGCGATCTTCCGACGATAAGCATAAATGTGTCACCAGTGGCTTGGGGTCATCTGCGGGGGCGTGAACAGCACAGAGATTAACCGAGGCAGCATCGAGTGAATCAGTTCTGTTTGGTGATAGAGAGGCAGATAGTATTGGCTTCGGCTATGTCCCCAATTAGGCAATTAATTGGGCAATTCTTAGAGGAGGCATGGGTCCAAGATAAGCCCCATGAAGTGTCTTGGCACAACCCTGGTCCGTTACACAGAGAAGAGATAACCCTTCTTCTGTCTCTTAACTAAAGCTGAACAGCCAGGAAGTGATGGCTTTACCGACCTGAGAAAATTGCGAGGCAATGGTAGCATTCGCCAAGAACAAGTGCTACCGTTAACCACGGTATCGACCACACAGTGGAGGGGGTGCGATCTTGTCTTGATAGAGGTCTATCAACTCATAAGACTATAGCTCCTGAGAGAACATCTTAGGGAGTTCACCACATTCACTTTATCCCTGATATGAAGCTTTGAGCAATCTTGATCCTTCCATATACCTGGCCTCGTTCATCACCATTACCTTGTTTCTTTTCTCGTGTGCCCAGACTTCGGGAGCTCACATAGAGTAGATAAGTTTCTGATCCAAGCTCTGCTGGTAAGTTTGGACGCTCTTCGAACTCCATGGCACACATGCATTACGTGTCTACAAAATCGGACTTCATTAGAGATAGGCTGATGACACAACCGCGCGGCAAGCAAACAAGAGTCTGGGGGCAGAAGCAAGCGCCGTTCAATACTAAACCACTTGCAATGTGTGGCTTCCAACTACTCACAGACGCATAGTACAATATCCATAAGCACTACAACCTCGCCTTGTCGCGTCAAAAAACATGGACCGAGAGACTAGGAACCTCAGCACTTGAAGGATTTACGTGTGCGCTAGGACGTAAGTACCGTACGACACAGCGGCGCATATCCAACAACATTAATTATGGTGTTCGGCCTCGCGCCTTCGGTTTCATCTGCCGCGCTTTTTCTCATGAGGCGCTTACGTCTTCAATGGCAAGGGAAGAAGAGCGTAGATGGCCAGTCTCCTCGCCGAGTCGGCACCGTAGGCCGGACTTAACCTATCTCCGCCAGGAGCGACGCCCACGTTGAGCCCAAAAAGCATTTCATGTTAAATAAAGAGAGTTTCATTCCCTCGTAGAACTGGACTTATCAGTAAAAACAAGCAAAAAACTTTCAAGCCGGTTACAATGTCCTGCCCCGATTGCTTCAAGGGAAGTGTCCACGATGGTGAGCCTCGAGGCATGACCATCAAGCTACACGATCTCGATACCTACGTCGTCGAACCGTCCGAGGGAAAAGAAATCAAAGGGATTCTCGTCGTCATCCCAGATGCCTTTGGTTGGAAGTTTGTCAACTGCCGACTCCTGGCCGACAACTACGCCGACAAGAGCAACTACAAAGTCTACCTTCCAGACGTCATGATTGGTGAGCTTTATGCCAGTTTTTGGTGTCGTTTACTAACTTGGCAGGGGATGCTGCTCCCCCATCCGCTCTTGACAACATGCACATTGCCATGGCTCCTGGAAATTGGCTCAGGCGAGGGTGAGCGCATCTCTCACACGCCTTGTACTTGATATCACTAACACTATTCCAGGTATAACTTGTTCCTTGCCCTTTGGGCCGTGGTGCCCTTCATGATACGCAATCGATTCGGAAAAACCTACCCCATCACCAAGAGCTTTTTTGAGAAGCTTCGAAAAGCTGAGGGTTCCGCCCTTCCCGTTGGTGTAGCCGGTTTCTGCTGGGGTGGCAAGCTTGCCATTCTCCTATCCCACGGTGTCGAAGTAGACAGCAAGCCTATCATTGACGCAGCTTTCACCGGTCATCCCAGTCGGTTGAGCTTCCCTGGCGACTTTGAAAAGATCACAGTGCCAGTTTCAGTCGCTGTGGGTGATAATGACAGTCAGTTCCCGCTGGAGGCGGCGGAAAAGATGAAGGTTCTTGTCGAGTCAAAGTCCGAAGCAACGAGGGGTGAGATCAAGATCTACCCAGGAGCTGGACATGGCTTCTGCGTTCGTGCATCCATGGAAAAGGATGGTCTTGCGGAAAAGGCATCAGAGGCAGAGGATCAGGCTATTACATGGTTCAATACCCATTTCAAGGCTGGCTCATAGTCTAGCACACGGCGATGGAAAGTTCTCATTTTCCCGGGAAGTAGGTCGATGGACCAGAATTTCCTATTCCTTAGTAATCATTTGAGTGTGTTTTATCTTCCTTAGTACGGAGGAATAAATTTCATAATGTCTACCACGAATTATTTCGTAGCTTGTATTGTCTCAGGCATCATGAAAACTCAGGGACATAAGTAGTGTGACTTTGTCATAGTAGTCATTCATATCAGTTGCTCACCGCAAGGTGGATGTCACATAAAACTACGCTATAGGAAGATATCTCAGACAAAATCTACATGAACAAATTACCGGTCACCTATAGGAAGGTATATCAACTGCTCTAGGCTCACCTGCTCCCTTAGTTGCGTCGACAATCCTGGCTTCTTACCCGGTGTCTCTAGGGTAGCCACCCCGGCACAAGAGGTGGGGCATTTTGAGAGCAACTGGGCCAATTATGAGGCCAAATGATCGACCCCTGTCAACTCGGATCACGTTATCAGCTGAACGCCAAAATCTCACTCTCTCATCATCTCATTTTCCGACGCCAATTGATCTCTAATCGCATTTCAGATCCCCTATAGTCATGCCTCAAACACTCCCTCAACTAGCTTAACGCAGCCTTAAAGCCATAGGTGAAGCATATTGGGTGGGTGTCCTCATGTGGCGATGCCCTCACCCAGAGCCCCTCGCTCACCGCTGGAGACGTGGGCGACAACCGCGACACAAGGGCAATTGAATGCCTTTTCAGGAGCTGTTGGCGGTTTCGCGTCGGGGATATTTACTTGTCCTCTCGATGTCATCAAAATTCGTCTCCAAGCCCAGGGCAGCCTCGTCCCCGTCCGCTTCGTGAGCAAATCCCGCAAACATGAACTTTACAGGGGTCTTGTCCAAACGGGACGAGTCATATGGAGGGGAGAGGGCATGAGGGGCATGTACCGGGGAATGGGACCTCTATTATTGGGATATCTTCCGACTTGGGCTATCTGGTTCACAGTTTACCAACATTCCAAAGTCACATTACCCCAAGCTTATCGTGAGTTACACAAACCTAGCCGCAGATAAATCAGGGCCGTCGGAGTCTCGAATACAGGTGCTGATGTTCAAGCTAGCTTATCTTTCTTCGAGACCAAATTCCGTAAACATCCTCTCATCCATTGCAGCCGGCACTGCATCAACAATTGTCACCAACCCCATCTGGACAGTCAAGGTTCGCCTGATGTCACAGGCCTATCGGCCATGCAGAAGCCGGTTGTTCCGCAAGAAACGTATATATCGGCCACACTGGCATTATCACTCGACACTTGACACTGCCTACAAGATGTACACGACTGAGGGCATGGGGGCCTTCTATTCCGGGCTCGGAGCTGCTTTGCTAGGCCTCTCGCACGTGGCGGTCCAATTCCCTACTTATGAATACCTCAAGACGAAGTTCACGGGAAAGGGAATGGGTGCTCCACGAGATGATGAAGCAGAATGGGTGAGCATTCTTTCAGCCTCAGTCTTGTCCAAGATAGCTGCCAGTGGTGTCACATACCCCCACGAGGTTATTCGGACCAGACTGCAGACCCAAAGACGACCAGTCCCCGGAGCCGAGTTCCTTGAGGGGCTCGGTGGCTTTACCAGACTTCGGGGCATAGGTCTCAGCGGCATGGTGCTGCAGGCCAAGTATCGGGGCATTGTTGATACGTTTCACACGATACTACGTGAAGAGGGTTGGAGGGCGCTTTATAATGGGATGGGGGTTAATATGGCGCGGAGCGTTCCTGCAGCCACGGTAACGATGATGAGTTACGAATATGTCATGAGCTCACTGCTACGAATAAAGGACGACGCGAATGACGGGCTGGATGAGGCATTTTAGAACCTATGTAAGCATAGAAGGTGTATTATATGTAATATTTATGTGTGACGGAGGATCAAGTGAGACAAATGCTCTAAGTCATGCAAGTGTCAAAATAGAACTGGGCTGCACTGGTAATATTCTGTTTAATGAGATCTTCGTAACTGATTTGTACTAAGGCACGGCAGACGCCACGGAGATGTTATGACATATTGAAGACAAGATAGAAAGTACTTCAAAGAGGGGCTAACTTAGGTTGATTAATAGGTATCTAATAACCGTCACATTATCAGCCACCAACAGCGTTGGTTACACAGCTCCGCCACCCATTCAAGTGATCAAACCCCGCGAACCCTCCAGCCATCCATTTCATTAAAGTCTTCCCCTCAACCCATTCAAACGCAGCGTTGCGGCGTTGAACAAAAGACGAAATGGGGTCACAACAGTTCTACGAGTGTGTCCGATGTGACAGAGATTTTCGTTCTCTGGCTGCCAAGGAACAGCATTTGCGAGATTCTTCCCGACACAACATCTGTCAGCTCTGCGGTGTGCGAGACTATGAAGACGCAGATGACCTCGATGACCACCTCGAAGACGACCATCACTTTTGCACAGGATGCCGTCAAATCTTTTCCAGCAATTGGCTTCTCCAGCAACACAACGTAGATGTACATAACCTCTGCGTCACCTGTGGGCGATACTTCACTTCACCGTCCAACCTCAATAATGTTTGTTGCGAAGTCGTCGATGGCTAGGCCGGCGCAGTAACTCACATGGACAATAGCACAAGATCATCCACGCGGAAAAGAACATCGAGTGTGCGGGGTGCAATCGCCAATTTGCGACCAACTCGGCCATGGTATTGCACCTCGAAGCTGGAACGTGCCCATCCGAAGCCGACTGCCAGGTCGTCGATGACCTCGCAACCGACTGTCGCCAGTACCCAAGCTATCGCTGTGATGACCCAAAGTACGATTACGAATGTCCCAGTTGCGAGACTCCCTTTCGGTACATGAGTGGGCTTTTGCAACACATCGAAAACGGTCCTTGTGACGAGAGTTTAGATTGGCATCGACCTTTGGCGATTTTTCTTCGATATATCCGAACACGTATTTAATGGGGCTATCATCATCACCGTAAGCCCAGAGGTGCTAGCATTAAGATAATAATGTTGCTGGAGGACGAATATACCAGGCCTAGATACCAGGCCCAAAGAGCAGACCTAGGCGCCATGGCTCTCCTTTCCCGGAGACGGCACAAGTTGCTTTGACAAGATACGAGGACCCAACGTCATTGCGACCCCACTAGGTTCTTCGAGGTCTTTTCATGCTAGCAGACGCATGTTGTCGAGTTCGTCATCGTCAGCGTCGTCCGAATCGTTTGTGTCTGGCGAATCAAAACGGGATGCGGGTCGTGTATCATCAAGGCGTCGTTCATCAGATGAGAGTAAAGGTCTCACATGCAGCAGCGGTAGTTTCGTCCCCATGAATCCAAGCTTCCCCGTGACTGATGCCTGCGACGTAAGAGACCCCCATGAAGTGAGACTTGCCCTTCTGGTTATTAGAAGGCCTCAGTACAGCCGGCAGGGAGCAGCCAGCAAGGAGAACAATCTGATCTCCATGCTGAAGGTCGAATCTTGACACGCCAAGGTGTCCTGAAGATGTGAGGAACAGAACACAGCCGCCCAGGAAGGGGTCGAAGCGAAATACCCCGTCGATGAACTCTTGAAGTCCAGACTCAGCAGAGGTGTATGCCCAGGGGACCTCACCCTTATGCACCGCTCTCCCAATCTCCCTGATCCACCCAAAGAACCAATCCTCTAGCTCGCCAACACGCTTCGGCTTCATCGGGCCGGGGGCCGAGAGTGTCTCAATTTGCGAGACACCACAGCCTCGGAGCATAAGCTCTTTCGGTCCGGAGTACTCCAGCAGATGAAGGTCGACTTTACTGTTCCCCGTCGCTCTAGCGCCGAGCTGACTAGCGGCCCATCGCATCAGAGGGAACTTGGAGGGTATTTGAAGGTCCATGACCCACGAGGGCATTGTACTTCGATACCGAAGGGGCGGAAGGCTTTCGAGGTACTTGAGTGAGCCTGACACGTTAATCATATACCTTGCAAACTCCTCGTAGACACGAGACGGGGACAGGGAATAGTTGACGGGAAGCGGAGTTTTTCGAGGTTCAAGCTTTTGGATGAGTGGCAAGAAGGCGTACACCTTGTCTCGCGGATCTCTTGATCTATGAGTGCGAGCGCATTCGACGAACCCGGAAAAGATATCAAAGGGTGCCGACGATATGCTTTGCCCCTGTCGAGCTGCTGTAGCGTTCTTGAACGCGATCCAAGTTGCGATGCGTAATGAAGCTGGCATGGAAGTCTCTTTAACAGATCTGATGGCTGTCAAGCTCCACATCCAGTAGGAGGAAAACGCAGTCCATGAGCAGTAATCATGTCCAGCGACGAGAACGGATTGCCTTGAGAGCAAGTGTTCTTGGATGGTCCACATGCGAGAGAACCATTCGTTGCGGCTGATGACGCTCATGACTTGAGCATCAGACTTGCTTCCAATGTCTACACTCCATATTAGCCAAGACTGATAAGGCGATGAGCAAGTTCACCTACAGCAGTGGTGCCACAGCCAGTTGGAGACGGAGTAAAGAAGATTCCATTTTCTAACCTGGTCTCCAACTCGAGGACCAAACGATCGAAGGGCATATAGAGGCGATGAGGTGAATGGGTATAGAAAAATCGCTTTTCGAAACACAGAGGCAATCTCTTTGCTACCAGGGCCAAGCCAGATGAGAACTCGCGATGCGGACTCGTAGATGTCACCCATCAAGGGGACCTGCCTGCTCTTCTCAGCATTTGAGCTCTGATTGATACACAGAGCATCAATCCAGAGCGTCCGCGACTTCTTCTTCAACCTGAGATGGCGCAACGCCGACTCGCAGTTGGGTGTGACGCGTATGACCTTGCCATCACAGTACACGCGTCGATCACCTGTGATTGGTCCCCAGACATAAGACAAGGCTTCGTAACGAACCCTACCAAGGCTGCTAAGCGAGACTCGCTTAAGGGTTAATCGGAGGGGCTCATTGAAGGCTTCAGCTGGCTCGAGAATGGCCACACGGGTGTCTCTTGGGTTCAGCAACGGTCGATACTCGTATGTCGGGATGCGAGACCGTTTGATGCCATAGTCGGGTTGGCTCTGCGCCAGAGATGCGTAGTAGCGGATATACGGGCGATTGGAAGCGGTTCTGTCGAGTTTGATTCTCCTCAGCCACAGGGACAGCTGCATGCTTCCCTTTGACGCGTCTGGCTTTAGTGGAGTTTGCGGCTGACTGAGGCTTTTCAATGAAGATCACAAGATGATGCATCTAGACGCATTATGCACTGAGCGGTGTCACTGATAAGATTAGTGACTGCGCTACAATTGGCTGGTTATTATTCCCCTCCTCCGCTCGTTTTCATGTGCCCTTCTTCGGCATGCTCACAACAGAGTGCATGATTTGATCGGCTCATCCGTTGAGGGCATCTTCATTCATGATCTTCCTGTTGTCTGTTATATGTGAGAGAAAATTCATGATCTTGACCCCGTTTGCCCCCATTATGTCGAAGTGATCCTCGAATCTCATCTCTCGATTTGTCAGGCGGGTTCACAAAAACGGCACAGCTTCGCTGTCTCTGCGACCCCTTAATCTCTACCTCTGACTCCCTGCAGATCTTTCATGCTTTTTATACACGTCCAAAACCGAGAGAAGCAACTTTGGCCGTGCTATTTCGCCCGACTCCAGAAATCGTTCCTCTAGACTCGCTGGCGATTGCGTGCCTCTTCCAGATAAACCTACCACAGACAGCATTGCCTATATATTCATGAAGGACACTAGAGCCTTCATGTGACGCACATTGCAGTCATATGATTCGTAAACCTTGGCGAGGAGCTTTCAGCTCATGTGAAGTGGAAGCTGCAAGTACCCTATAGGGGATGATTCTGAGATCTCTTTTTCGGAATCACTGTTCAAGGGCATAAAAAAAAATCCTCATTGGCAACTAAAGAAGATTCGTGTGGCTAGAGATTTCCCAACTATCCTATAATGTAATCATCTTCATGCGTAGCTATAAAACGTTGGTGGGATTTGGAATTATGTGGTGTTTGTTGGTGTGAAAACATCGCCACTCCTACTGGCCACCATACATAGGTACGGCTTGGCTTTGCCTCTCGTTTGCCACTCAGACATTTACAGTAATCGGTTATTCATCAATTCCAACCCACTCAAATTTTGTTCATCAAGCAATTATGAGGCGAATCACTTGTGCAATTGTGTTCATCCACACCACTGTTGACGGCCTGGCATATCGTCACGACTCCATCGTGAGTCTCGTTTACAGTGGAATGGCTATTCAATCAGCAGTTTTATTTGGTATCAACCCTGCCTAGTAACCGACAGCATTCCATAATGGCAAGAAAGGGAGAGTAAGTGGATCGGACTGATCACCGTCGCCGCACTCCCCCGGCAACAACAGAGTTATGGAGCCTCTCGGTCAGTCGACGACCAGAGTCTGGAGAAGACAAGCATCGCGTGATCTCGTCACGAGTAAAATTTACGAAAAAAACTCTTCTCGCCTGGCCCCCGTCTGGAGACTCGGGCCTCGCCGTGGAGTTACGGAAGAGGCCAAATCAGAGGCGGGATATTGAAACTAGCGTGACAAGTTACCGATGCTGTGGAATCATAACACGGAAGTATGCCTCATCGGGCGATGGAACCTCGATCCCGACGACAGGAGGAGAAAAGGCCTTTCTTTGGCTGATCTTATCACGGCAACGCCGCCGACCAGAGCTGGGGTAGCGAATCCAGGACGGCAACATGTCAGCCCCAACCCACCACCAGCAGCGGTTCGCGATTCTAAATCTGGCATCAGTGGGTCAAAAACACCAAGCACACGGGGATCGTGCCCCGTCAAAGGCCCAACTGACAGCTCGGCACTGCTTCTGAGGCCTTTTGGCGTCGGCTTCACGGCATCTTCTTTCCAAACACATGTGCCATCTGGATGCTCGCTAATGGCGGCGTATACGGCGTCGACGGCAATGACAGCTCAGTATTCAGCCCAACAAGCAGAGAAATCTCAAATCAAAAGTGTGCATCGAACGTATCCCCAACTAGACAAACGCTCAATATGTCTCGGCAACAGGTGGCCAGGATTCCGGGAAATACCTGCATGGCGCGTGCTCAATAAAGCTCGTGGGCCAGGCTAGACTCCGCTCTCTCTGGACTGGAGAATGTTTGTCCCGGGGCGTCGCCTGGAGTCTCCTGGTCGACGCCAGCCCATGATTCCCGTCTTGCCGAAAGGCCCCGTTCTTTTTAATCTGCATGCGGCCTAGAAATCGGGGGAACGGCCCGTTGGTGTCGTCGGTCATTCGTGGAGGAATAAGCTCATAATGCGGGGAGTGAGCGGCTTGACAAGGGGGGGTCATGGTTGGCGAGAAACACGCGACGCGAGCCACCGTTTGAAGTTGATGTTTTGGCTTCGGAGAGAGTGATCCAGGGGTTTTCTCAGATAATGCATTTGATCTTCTGTTATAGCATAGCCTTGCCTATGCCGTGTTTCTCTTGGCCTTTGTCTAAGCCTCAATACTGCCTTGAACAAGACGTTCTGCTTCTTTTCCTCATCCGGCCGAGACACCGTTTGAAGAACCACGCGGAACTTTTGTCCTCGCACTGGGTGAGCAGGGGTTCGCGTCCAATGACTGGTGACGGCAATACGGCCCGGCCATTGCTTTATCCAAATTCAGGCGGTTCGTCCCTCTGTTCCCCCATGCTGCAAGACCACGGGAGCTGGAGCCTGAGGCACAGAGGGCTCGCGCGCCTACCGTTGGCGGCTTCCGCTGGCAAATGGTTCGAGGAATCTCGGCTGTCCGTTTAGTCGGCCGACGAAGCCTCCCACACGGTCCCGAGGACACAAGCTGACGGGCCATGAAGCCGATAAGCGCGTCCGCCCGACCATGATCTGCCTTTGGTGCTTGCCCGCTTGTCAGCTACTGGTTCTCCCACTGGATGGAGTTGCATCCAATCACTTGACCCCTGAGTCGGCCCTACCTCACCTGGGGGGCGCCATGGCCGATTCCTTGCCCAGCGGGAACCGAATTGTCGATTCCCATTTTCTGAGCGTAGCGGCAGACGCGAGATGGGATGGCTCCCCTTCCTACCACCTTGCCCCCCCGGCCAGTCTAGACCGGGGGACAGGGAAGGGCCCGCATGGACTCTTTCAAGACCAGCACTCTTCGGAACCCCGTCCGTCGATCCGTGGCACCCCCGTGTTTGGAAGCGGCCTGGTGTTCGCAAAGAGCAGTCAGCCCTTTGAGATCTTGGGTGGTGAACCGGATCTGCAGACCGCGTTCCACACAGCGACAAGACACGAGGCCAGAGGCACAACCCTCTGATGCAGACAAACCACCGCCTCGCGACAATTATATATATTCCTCCTCCGTCTGTCAGTTGAGAGAAGTCGTCAGGATCAGAACAGTCTCATTCTCACCCATTGAACTCAACCTTTCAAGACCAGACTTTCCCCACAAGGTTCATCGCTTCAAAGCGCAACACCTCAACCATGGGGTCCTCCATCCACAGCGAAAAGCACGACGAGAAGTACGACGTGGGTCTTCCCCTTCCCCAGAAACAAACGTTGGATAGCCTGGCTGACACGTGAAACTCCAGGCTCAGCATGTCGTCGCAGCTACCAAGACGGCGATTGGTGATGAGGCCTTCCAGCAGGCCATGCTCAAGGAGCCTCCTCCCAGATTTCCCGCTGCCATCCTCATAATCGCCAGTGCCGTCGCCTTCTGCTGCTCTACCGCCAACGGTTTCGATGGCTCCCTTCTTGGAACTCTGCTCTCCAACAAGAAGTTCAAGGACTTCTTCGATGTGGGCACTGCTGGTATCGAGACTGGTACGTTGTTGATTGTAGCGCCATGTTTTGCCTGGAAGACAGGGAATTAACACCTCTTTAGGTATCGTCACTTCCATGTACCAGATTGGCTCCGTCGTTGCTATCCCCTTTGTTGGTCCCGCCATCGATACCTGGGGCCGACGTGCCGGCATGACAATTGGTGCCTCCATCATCATCATCGGTGTCGTTATCCAGCTCGCCTGCTACCACACTGCCAGCGTCGATCAGTTCATGGCTGGCCGTTTCTTCCTTGGTTTCGGTGTTGCTATCGCCGCCGCCGCCGGCCCCGTCTACGTCGTCGAAGTCTCTCACCCTGCCCACCGTGGTGTCGTCACCGGTCTCTACAACGTCATGTGGCCCGTTGGTGCCCTCGTCGCCAGTGGCTCTTCTCGAGGCAGTCTTCACCATGCTGGAAAAACCTCCTGGATGGTTCCTCTCGGTCTCCAGCTGATGTTCCCCACCGTCATCGCCTTCGGCGCCATGTGGCTCCCCGAGTCCCCTCGATGGCTCTACACTCACAACAAGAAGGAGCAGGCCACCAAGAACCTGGTCAGGCTTCACGGCCAAGGCAACCCCGAGAGTGAATGGGTCAAGCTCCAGCTTAACGAGTATGAGGAGCATCTGGAGATGGACGGCACTGACAAGAGGTGGTGGGACTACCGTGCCCTGTTCAAGAACAAGGCCTCTATGTACCGACTCACCTGCAACTGTCTCGTCTCTCTCTTTGGACAGTGGGCTGGTAACAGTGAGTACAACTTGCAGCTTGGAGACTTGACCAGAACTAACTCGCGACAGACGTTGTCTCCTACTATCTCGCGGCTTTCCTTGAGACTGCAGGCATTCGCGACGATGCGCAGCAGATGGACGTTGCCATGGGTATCAACGCCGTTCAGATCGCCTTTGCCATGCTTGGCGCTACTCTCACCGATATCGTCGGTCGTCGTCCCATGCTGATTATTGTCAACATCGTTTGCGGTCTCTGCTGGGTCGGCGTAACTGTCCCAGCTTCCATCGGAAACATTACTGATGTCGACGACAAGGCCCAGGCCGACAAGGTTGCCCCCTCAGTCTCCAGGGCTGTCCTTGCCTGGGTCTACATCTTCCAGATCTGTTACTCGGTTGGCTGGACTCCTCTCCAGGCTCTGTACCCCGTCGAGGTCCTCAGCTACGAGATCCGAGCCAAGGGCATGGCTTTCAGCTCCCTCTTCACCTCTGCTGGTATGAACCCCCCTGTCTACTTTCGAGATGATATACTGACACTCGGACTCAATAGCCATGCTTGTCATGCAGTTTGGTATCCCCGTCGCTCTCAAGAACATTGCCTGGAAGACCTACATTGTCTTCTGCGTCTGGTGCTTCATCCAGTCCGGCATTCTCTACTTCCTCGTCCCTGAGACCAAGAACCGAACTGTAAGTCCCCTATTTCTACAGCTTGAGAACCTCGCTAACATCCCTCACAGCTCGAGGAACTGGACCACATCTTTGCGTCCGACAGCCCAGTCAAGACGTCCAAGCAGAAGAAGACATACGAGGTCGACGAACACGCCAACGTCATCAACGTCGGCGACACCGTTGCCGAACCCAGCCACGTCTAATTTAAGGCGGCTCCCCTCGACCGGACAAGACTCTGCAACCGCAACCGCAACCGCACAACCAAAACCGCCTTCTCCTTCTTTTTGACGTCAAGGGTTTCAGATTGGAATAATCGCGCAGGATACTAGCAAGATACACTAAGCATGAGCTCTGAGATTATTTGGTTTTAATTTATTCGTTGGCTATTATGGCTATACCTTGGTTCATGTTCATCCGCTGTGTGAGCGTTCTTGTCTTCCCACTACGTCTTCTCAGAGTCTTGTATATATTCAGCGATTATAATACTTGAATCATAAGAAGGAATCTTTATTTTCTGAACTTGGTCGGCACTGAGCTCGGTTCGGAGACGCGTATATCGTTGCGCTTGAGTTCCAACAGCTGAAACGTCAGGGCCTGAACATATATAATGTTGATGACCTTGGATGTAATTGAATCAAACAGAGCAGCTTAAGCTTCTAGAAAACACGGGCTATTTACAATCTCAGATGACTAAACGTTCCTCTTCCTTAAACCCTCTATACTATCACTGTGTCTTGTCGGTCGGCGAGTCCAGCTGCACAATCCCCAACCGTTCAAACGCGTCTTCTCTACGCGTCGACGACACCAAGACAAGCAAAACCGTCACGAAACTGCACTCGAATTATTTGCCACCTCAACACTGTCGTGCAAAACCACACAAATCACCTGTGCCTTGACCTTTTGCTGCTGCTTCGGGTGGTGTGATCTGACAGTTGCTGTGCCGCAGTCGCTAGGGAGACGCAATTTCTGGACCGGGGCACACTTTCTCCTTGATTGGACTGGATTTGACCTTTGTAGAGTGTTGGCTGACGGTAGGGGTAGGCGAGATGGTCAGGGAGGCCAATGTGGTGGACCCCTTTAATCTGAGGAATCCATCTGAAACATGGCCGTAGGGACTATCCATGCTTTCTGGATGGCATTGAGTGCCCAATGACACTTGTTTTCAAGATTTTCAAATTAGATGTCTTTCGATGGTGGAAAAGAAATGATATGGATCCTTCTACTGACGCCCACCTCCACGGTATCCATCTTCAGGTAGACGAGACAGAGCCTCGGCCTCTTTCGCCCTTGGTGCCAGCGACTTTCCGCTCCCAACCATGCATACAATCTGTGGAATAGAATCAACTTTCACCGTGTCCTCTTGCTACATTCAGTTGAACTAGGACTCAGCATTTCCGCACCAGCGAAGGATGTTTTGGATTGACTGAGAGTTATGGACCGCGAGTCGAATCTATTCAAGTTAGTCCTGCTGTTATACTGGTAGGGAGAATTGCGTAGACGAACCCGTTTGCCATAAACATAGAGAAACAAACCATAGAGACAGCCAACGATGTGGATGGAACCAATGACAAAGAAAACATTAATTGGGCCATGCTTAGCAAGCCAGTCATTGACAAAGAATGAAATGGCAAAGCTCGTGGCTGCCTTGATGAATGTGACGGCAGCGTAAGCATCTTGAGCGTATTTTCGGTGGCAATCGAGCAGATACGTGTTGGAGACAAGCGACATGATGGCACCACCGAAAGCTGACAGGCCGAAGAAGAAAACGGGAGCGAACCAGTGTATACGGTAGTGAATGGATAGCCCGAACCCCCAGAAGCCCACAGCGCCGGTCACGAGCGCTGGCACGCAGAGGATGTTGCGGAACTCTGGCTCGTAAATGCCACCGTTCTTACGCGACATATAAGTCACTAGCCAGTCAGCGACGGGGCCTGGAATGAAGTTGCCGATGATGTTTCCGACCAAGGGTGAGAGAACCGTCAGCCCCACGGCACCAGTCGTGAAGTTGTAGGGTGCCGCGGTAAAGATTTGTGCCAGGGACACCGATATCGCGGCGGCAAAGGCCACAGTCAAGCCATAAGCGTAAGCAGCCCAATGTACTGCTGGAAGAATGAGCGTTACAAAGGGCGAGAGAACCGCGCGGAGGTAGTTTTCGTTGCTGAAGCGGCCATTGTAAAGCTTCAGGCCTTGCAGCCAGGTCTTGCGTTTCTCGGGCGTGCCGTTGCCCTCAATGTCAGAGACACTGGCGATAGCAGCAGCGTCGGGGTTTGCTTTTTCATCTTGTTCCAACTGCTGGATGGGTCCGTCTTGGCTTATGGTGTCTGAGTCTAACTCATCGGCTAGCACTTGGTGGATATCTGTGTCGAACTTCTTTGCACGGTTGTAGGTGGTCTCTGGGATTAGCAAGAAGAGTAGGAATATGTACGCTGACATGAAGATGACACTGAAAGCTATTGTGAGCACATCCTCCAAGAAAATGCAAATGAAGGGACTCACGCATATCGAAATGCCCAGACATAACTCTGCCCCTGCACAATCTGGCTCGCAATGACCTGACCTAGAGCATTACCACCAGAGAGTCCAAAATGCCACAACGCCAAGTGGAAGCCGCGCTGGTGAACGAAGAACAGGTCACCGACGCTGGAGCTGACGAGGTACTGAAGACCAGAGACACAAGCTCCCCAGAGAGCACGGCCAGCGTAGATTGAGGGCATATGCTTGGGGTTTGCCAGAATCACACTGTAACCAATGATGCCGGTGATTCCCAGTCCAATAAAGACAGGTCTTTTGCCGTAGATACGGGCCAGTGGCGTGGTGAGAATACCGGCGAGGCCGAGGCCGACCATGAGGAAGCTCACGGACCGGGAGAGCTGGGTGAGCGTGGTTCCTATCTCCTTGGCCATGACGCCGTGCGAGGGGTTTAGGAAGAAGGCCGTCCCCGAGGAAAGGCCACTGCCAATGGCAAGGAACCAACTATGGAATATCTTTTCCCGCTCGGGCCAATCTGGTTTGTTGTCAGTCCCGATTTCTCAAGTGGATCAGGAAGCATACTCAAGGGGTCGTTGGGAGAGTTGGACGGCTGGGGCACCAGGATGATGCCATCATGACGGCCGGTGCCCGTCTTGAGATGGGCCGTCTTGATGCGCGACTGCTCATCTTCTCGTTCAACGTAAACAGTCCCAGGGACTTTGTCGCTCGACTTCGGTTCAAGGACCCACAAGCCCATGATTGAATGATTGATGAAGTGTTGGAGCAGGCAGTAAGGAGATGTAAATATAGATCAGCTGCGATACACAGAGATCGGTCGATGGTGATCCAGACTGAAGGCCACAGTCTCGTTGCTCTAATATCGTGGATTTTGCTCCAGGGACATAAGATATAATATTGTGTCTTGAGGCTCAAACCATCTATATAAAGCCATGCTCGATCGTGGGTGAGGATGAGCTATCGAGAGTCTGGATCTTGGCTGTCATCCATGGCGATGGCGCAATATCTAGTATCGATCATACCAGTCTCTCTGTAGACCAGCGATTAAGGATATCCGAAGAGGCGGCGAAGAGTGCCTCTGTTGGGGCCATGCCTCAAGCGTCCCCAGATCGAACAATCCTAGGCGATTCCCAATTCAGCATCGCCGAGCGAAGGCGACATCTAAGCGATGCGCAAGAACAAGGGCGAACTAGACTGCGACAGGGGTTGCCTAACCAACCTGACTCGCGACAAACACCATGCTTCATCGCTTTGATTATTAATCTATGACCTTTGCAGCTACTCAGCGACCTTAAAGCACTCTACTTGAGATCGCATGACCGGTGCAAAAGCATGTCACGGTGTTTACATTAATATACAATAAGATTTTAATATGTCTTTTTATCTATCTTTTATACTTAAAAAGTTTTAAATTGTTCGATTTTATTGTGTTCATTGTTTGTAATGATAATACAATGCCCTAAGCCACAATAGCAAAAAACATGGTCATTGAGACGTGACGGTATCATAACCCAACACCGCCTAACACCATAACCTCATTCGACTTTACAGAACATAAACGTAACCGCACAATTTGATTATACGATTTAGAAATGCCATACTAATAACATACCAACTACGAGATGTACGCACCGAGAGGTAATCCCTTCGCCTCACATGCAGCACGCCCATCTCCAAAATATCTAAATCGATTCCTTGAGTTATATGTGTATTCAAAATCTTCGAAGCGAGGGTGTTTCAACGCTTCAAGGAAGTGGTTTACAGATCCTGGCCATGGCCCTACAGCAGTTCCAAGTTAGTCAGTGCGTGTCTTCATGTTTAACGATCCCGCCTTCTGGGAAGACAATAGAGAGACAGTCGGGCTACTTACCGATGACAGGGCCATCTACTGTCCCATTCTTGTACCTGTTGAACAATGTCAGCTAGCGATCTCATCTTGTATGTGACACTGATTCAATGATTACTTACCAGCTTGTACACTCCCCGGTCCATGTCATGTCCTTCATGAACTCATCTTTCCACTGGTTGAACTCGGATGTTGCCTTGTCCGTGACGATGACATATCTCAGGTCCTGAGTCTGGATTTTACGAATGAAGGCGAGGGCAAAGTCCACCTGCCGCTCGATAGCCGGTATCAGAGATCCGTTGCTGATCGGGGAGTTTGGGCCGGTTGTCACTGCAAAATGGTCCGATCATTAGTAAAATCCACAGCTACAGTGTGCAAGTCTGTGGTAAACGGAATAGCCGTGTGGGAGGAGTGAGCTTACGGAAATAGTTGGGCATTGATGGGGCTGTGACTGAAAGATAGCCCTGGGCACCCTTTTCAGCCCACTCCTGTTGCAAGTCCACGCCTCCTAACCCAACGATGGGAAACCGGGGCACAAACGAAGTGACGTATCCTGTTGCGGTTATGATGGCATCTACCTCGTGGAGCTTGCCGTCAACTGTCTTGATCCCCGACTCGGTGACCTTGGCAATGTGGGATGTCTCGACCACCACATTGTCTGCCGTGAGAGCCTCCAAGTAGCCGTGGCCAGGCGTGACGCGCCGACAGCCTAGTGAAAACTTGGGGATGAGTTTCTCGCATAGTTCTGGGTTATTTCCGAGTCGCGTGCGCATCGACTTGGAGACATTCTCAACGCCTTGTCTCTGGGCATCTGAATGGCGATAGAAAGACGGAAAGCGCGCATTCATGCTATGTTCGATTTCGCGACGGTAGGTGAGAAAGTAGTCTGGGTCTTCCCGGAAACGCTTCCTTTCCTCCTTGCTGTAGGTCGTGTTGCGGCCCTGTGAGGCGAAGTGACCGGCAAACTCGGCGGCAATCCAGGAGGGAGAACGGTGGAAGCTCACCAATTTCTGGACAACTTAAATAAAAGATCAGATTCACGTTACACATGAATATTCATAACTCACTTGGTTGAATGGTCGGCACCACTTGAATAGCTGACGCGCCTGATCCTATCACGGCCACTCTCTTGCCTGACAGATCAAGACTGTTGTCCCAGTGGGCCGTGTGCACAAGAGTTCCACGGAAATCATGGAGTCCCTGGATAGATGGCCACGCCCAATTACTTGAAGGTTTTCCGTCAGAATCAAGATTCGTATAAAAGCTCATGTATCTTTTTCACATACTTGAGAACCCCGCCGCTATTGATGAACACTTCGGCTGAATCGACAAAAGAGTCTCCGGTCTCGAGATTCAGGACCGTCAATTTCCACAGCGATGCTTTGTCATCCCATCTGGAATCCACGACCTGATGTTTGAACTTGGTATGCTCATAGACGCCGTAATCCCGCGCGAGCTGCTGGTAGAACTGTACGATCTCTTGGCCACTTGCATAGACTCTGGTCCAGTCGGGGTTCCTAGAGTATCATGGGATTAGACAAAGAGACGAGTCGGATGAGGTTTGATGAGATGCGGTGGCTTCTATTGCTTCATGCTTGGATAGCGTCACTTACCCAGCCCAAGTAAAGGTGTAGCAGTGTGCGGGTACATCACAAGACACGCCAGGATATGTCGACTCGAACCAAGTGCCCCCAACATCTGAATTCTTCTCGTATATCTGAAACGAAACATTCTCGAGCCCTCTTGCCTTGTAAGTAAAAGCAATGCCCGAGATGCCAGCACCGAGTACTACGACGCGGATTGGCTTGGGCTGGTTGACATGGTGATTGGCGATGATGTCGCTTTCCTGCGTTACCCAGTGCCTGGCTGCCATAGTATCGAGACTTTGCTTGATGCAGTGCCTGTGGTGGTTGAATGAGTTGATTTGCCCGTGTAAAAGGAGTCTTCAAATCTGGATCCAGCCAGGTAACAGTGAAAGCTTGAACTAACACTACCTAGTATTAACGACTACGGATGACATGACTACACATACATTTTGATTAAAAATCACCAACAGAAGCGACTTTGCTAGGGAAGCTAAACTCAGATGAGCATCGCCGTTCGGGTCTGGTGTGGTGCACCCGGTTATATCCACATGTCGAGATGGCTGAAGAACCCACCGAGATGTCGCAATCCGAGGATTCCACTTCCAGACGAGTCTTAGTACTTTTGGGACAATAGGGACTTTTACGAAGTGGCCCGAGTTACAAAATCCCTTCAAGCAATAACCATCGCACGTTGTTTCGGTTTCGCATTAACAACACTGAAATCTAGTATAATGACTTCTATTGATATTCCAATCAGCCACCTAGTTTTTGGGCAAGTAAAAGACAAGGTTTTTATTATCAGTGGTAAGTTTATCTCGAATCTCTTCACTTGTCCGCTACCTCATCGGGTGAATCTAACTTGAGAATACTAGGTGGTGCAACAGGCATTGGAGCAGCGACGTGAGTCATGGCCTTCCCCTGTAGGGTTTTTTGCCGTATATTTGCAAGCGACTAACTGAGCATGTCTCATAGTATACGGCTTCTGGCTGGACTTGGGGCCCATGTCTCTTTTCTCGATACAAATGAGGCCAGTAGCAAAAATCTCGAGGCTGGGCTCCAAAGGTATGTTCCTCGCATCCGCTGTTGCGCAAGAAAATATCCCCGTCTAACTACTACCTGTCTCTACCAGCGTTGACTTCTTCCATGGCTCGGTTACCAGTTGGGATGATCAGCTCAACGTCTTTGAGAAGACCATTAAGAAGCATGGGCGGATCGATATTGTCCTCGCCAATGCAGGGATAGACGAGGTAGCTGAGGATGCATTTCTCGACACCTTTGACGAACATCAGAGGCTCAAGGCGCCCACGTTAACTGTTCTTGATGTCAACATTCGCGGCGCCATCTACACGACCAAGTTGGCGTTGAGCTATTTCCGACGTTACAAAATCCATGGCTCCCTTGTCCTCACAGGCTCGGCGGCTTCATACCTCGACACGCCCGGCATCCCAGTTTACAATGCGGCCAAGCACGGCATCATCGGGCTAGTCCGCTCGCTGCGTGACACATTGCGTGACGAGGGCTTGATCAGAGCAAATGTGGTTGCACCGTGGTTCACGAGAACACCATTCACAGCCAAGGTGGCCAAGATTTGGGAGGAAAAAGGACTCCCCATCAATGAGCCCATTGATGTTGCACGGGCAATCGTATTCTTGGCAGTGAACTCTGAATACCACGGCAAGTCCATCTATGTGGCTGATGGTAAGTACACTGAGATTGAGGATCAAGTGCAGGCATCAAGAGACATCTGGCTGGGAAAGCAGAACACAGCGTGGGTGGATCAGAGGAAGGCTGGAAAGATCAAGTTGGGGAAGCAGGATGAATAAGGTCTGTTCAAGTTGAAAGGCTAGATGCAAGCATGAGGTCTTGGAGAAAGCTTGCGGGTAGAATGGCACAGCAATCGAGCACCACACCTTTACCCATCTGTTCTCAAATTCCGCTCAATGCTTCTTCCACGATGCGGTTAAATCGTTCAGGCTGCTGAATATGAGTTATATGCCCAGCATCCTTGATAATGACAACCGAGCTTCCAGTCTGAGTCGCAAGTGCCTTGGTCTCTTCCACTACAGACGCCGCATCTTCCTCTCCAACCACGAACAGAACTTTTCCGCCATTGCTGTTGTCAGCAATAGCCTTGGCATAGGGCCACAGGTCCAGCTTCCGCAGCGCGGCGACACTGGCGAGATATCCTTCAAACGACTGAGTCCCGACCCGAGCTGTGATACTGGCAACTAGCTCAGGATGCGCCGTCCGCCACTCTTCTTTGAACCACCGCGCAACGCTCTGTTTGGCTAACGCTGCGGTGCCTTCTTCTCTAGCCAAGGCAATCCGTTGGTCCCAGATTTTGTCATCCTCAAACGTCGCGTGGGCGCGGCTGCCGACAATGAGCAGGCGGCGAAAGCGGTCAGGGTGGTGTGCGGCCAGGACGACACCGATACTGCCGCCGATACTAAGACCGATGAAAGCTTCAGCTTGTTTGATCTCAAGATGGTCTAGTAGCCTAATGACATCGGAGGCTAGATCCTCAACAGTGTGGCCAGCTTCGTAATCAAAGCCCGGCGTGTTGGACAAAGGAGACTGGCCATGAAATCTCATGTCGTAGCGGACAATTGTGTATGATTTAGAGAAACTGGCAGCGAATTGATCCCAAAGCCAGGTGGCAGCGGACAGCGAGTTTGAGAGCACAATGGTAGGTTTGCCGGCGGGTATAGGCAGCGTCGTGGAAACCTCGAAAAATATGCTGATGAGAGGATTCTCCGAGACGGTTAGAAAACCAGTGGTGCTTGAAGGGGCCATGCTGACGTAGTCTGATGGAAGAGTCGTCGGATACAAGTCAGTGTTATTCAAAGTCCTGGGCAAGGACCTAGGATGCCGTCTCGCTTAATGAAGACTCGACTGAAATGATATACCCTGATACTGAGCCTTTCGGCCATTCTTGCGGGGCCTTGAGTGTAGATAAATAGTTGAGATCGAAAATGGCAACTTTCTTTGCTCTCAGCAACATTGGGGCGGCACCAGCACCAGCCGACATCCGGCGATACCGTTCCTAGCAAGATGGAGATGACGCCATTTAGCCGATAATTATTACACGGGGATCGACTGGACTGAGACGTCTCTTTGGACAAGGTGGGGTGGTTTGGTTTTTGGCCCTGTCGTCACCCTTTTCGTTGGCCATTGTAATGAGGTTGGCGCCATCAATGTTACAAACTTAACCTTGTTCACACCCATTATGTACGAATTGGAAAGATAACCAAGTAAGATCAAGAGGTTCCTCTTTCGGTTGCCGGGTTCTAACATTTTGCCACTTTGCATGGCATGTGAAACAAGTCGACGGGCGAACGCTGCTTTGCTGGACCATTGTATAATGATGTTCTTTCCTTCTTAGATTTCTTTCCGTGAAATTGAACTATACTAGACTTGTCGAGTTTATCCAAGCTCTTTTTCCATCATATGCTTCCATCACGCCATCAGCAGACACGCAGTGGCTGAGAAAAGATGAGACACATGCTTAGTGTGAATCTGGGCTAGATGGAGAAACCACGAATGAAAAGGTCAAGTCTATCTCAAGGGTTGATCATCATGATATATACGAATCGGGGCCATCATTCTCCTTCTGATATCTGAACATGTGGATGTCGTCGGCTGGCAGGTTCTCGCCGAGGCCGAAGAAGTTGACCCTGGTTTACCCGGCGCTGGTCAGCTCCGTAACTTCAGAGGGATTCATATCTTTGTCGGGATGGGTGTGAAGGAAGCTGGGGAAAACGCACCACTGCTCTATGTCTAAGGAGCTTGGGACACTGGCTCCAAGCGGGAGGGTCAGATCTGGAGACGGCCGCGACGAATCCTCGAGAAAGTATTGAGGTGCTTCGACAGGAGGGAAAAAGTCTGTTCCCAGCCCGGATGAGGATTGGCCAACACTCAAGCCAGCTACGCTACTGCCTTCATAGTGGAAATCCATTGCCAGCAACCTGAACCTTGTTAAAAGACCTCCTCATCATTCAAATCGTTTGTCATTTCAACTTACTGTCTCATGTAAGATTCGGTAATGTCGCTAGAGACACGCAAACCTGGAAGAGGCGCCTGCCAATGATTGGCGTCAAACAGGGATGAGCCTGCAGATCTCGGAAGTTGCATGTTGGCTTGCAACGTCTCGAATAGCCGGTGGATCAGAGATGCGCTGACCCAGAGTTGGCTAAACTCGTACAAGACGTGCAGGCACAACGAGTACTTGGTCTGGGCGTCACGTCGAACCTCGTCATTTGGCGACTGACCTTCGATGAGGAAGAAGATGAGGCAGTTGAAGAGCGAGATGGTACTGGGGAGGGTCTTGGTCAGATGAGGACAAGGCTGGGGGGAGGATGAAGTCACAGCTGGCCGGTGAAACGGAGTACTTGGTTATACGCCCTCACGTTGCGAAGAATCCTGCTGACCATGGTTGCTGCAGCGATACCTCGAGCTTGACAATAGAGTCGCTCGGCCTCTGCACGACCCTGGGTCTGGCGAGCGACTGCCTTGCCCCGGAAACGCAGCATAATGTTTGTACTGGTTGGGTTAGGCTAGCTTTAGTTGTCTAATACAAGATGTATAAGATAAAAGTTGGGGAGAACCTACTAGTATAGGATGTGCAGAAAGGCCGGCCAAAACTCATGCTTCTGAATGTCATTTATATCGTACTGCAGGGCCTGAGGAACTCGGTCAAGCCAGTCTCGGCAGAGCTGGATCCCATGGTCGTTATAGTCGTCGGGGAAGCCTATTCTTACCCCCTTCTCACCAGGGGGTAGGGGTGACTGACCCAGGTCTCTTAGAGACGCCAGATTCGCCTCGCGCTCCGCGATGGAGCCGGTCACGGGCTTTTGGAGATGCTGTGTGACGAAGTGCTCCTGGTGAATATGATGTAGAGCCTCGGCCACCCTGATGACTTCTATCGAGAATGCCACTTCGATAGGTTGGTATGGATATCGATGGAGATGCTCCGCGACCTCGGGTTCCTCAATGAAATCCTCTGTGGTCAAAGGGTAAACGTCGAAATCGGATAGCGAAATGATGCAAGGAAGACCATGAGAAACGGCGACCGCCACATCACGGTTCTGTTTCTTGAGTCAGGGCTGCAAGGGAAGCACCTGCATGACACTTACAAAACATGTCCACCATATTCGTTTCCACAGGCGCCCTAATACTAGATCATCCTTGGGATAATGGTCCCTGAGAGTATGAGCAATAAGCATAAACCCTTTCTGGGTTCATTGCGAGCCCTGGGGCTTTCGTTGTACTCACCATCGATGCATTCCAATACTCTGCGCTGTGTTGATTGCATCAACGGCGCATGATCGCATGTTTCTCCCCCCATCGTCCTTCTTATCCCACCACCAGGTAAGAAGCAGCAACGCCTGGACGCGTACAAGTCGGCTTTGCTCGTAGCCGGTATCCAACAAGGCCTGTCGAGTCTGGTTTCAGTCAACTGCCGATTTAACCTTGGGGTTGTAAATGCAACTGGAACGGTGAGGTGATGATCACTTTGACCAACCTTTGTGGCTTTGTAAAACCGCTGTGCACTGCTTTGGTTCGACCCCTTGCTGTCTAGAAGCGCTGGATTTCGACAGGCACGAGACCCAGACGTGAAGATGGCGAACAGAAGCAGCCGGCTTGGGCTTCCACCGCCGTGGAAAGTGCAGAGAAACTCGTGGCGATTGATGACAGGTGCGGTTGGGTGTACATCAGCAAAGTAAGCCTCAACAAGATCTTCCTGTAATCTTCGAGGCGGCAGGTCAAAGGCACCCTTCGCCTTAAGGTATTCCATGTCTGCCGAGTCGAGCATGAGAGCTTGCTGCTCCAGATTGAGAGTGGAACGAGAGGACATGTTGACCTCTAACGGCCCAGGGGCTCTTCTATTCTGGAACCAATTGGTATCTTGCCCAGGACCGGCTGTTGGAACACTGTCGTGCTGAGTGTCACTCGCCGGATTCGCATGGGGATAAGCATAGTCGTGCTGTTGTTGTTCCAGGAAGGATGGAGCGTATGACCCAAGGCTGTCTTTCACATAGGCCTCGAATCGATCTATACGCATCGGAATTCTAGATGGACCTGAGATGACCTGGTCGGCGGCGGCTGATGGCTGAGCGGGCTGCAAGGACTGACCCGTTAAATCCAGCTGTGACATAGAAATGCTTCCACTGGTACCATGCTGATCATTTCGAAAAGTGGCATATGGCGTCTCGGTATCAATCCCTCCGAGTGACCCTCCAGGGCTATCATCAGGTGCTGGCGATTCGGCGGGGTTTGTGCCCGAGCCGGATTGTTCACCCGAGTGTGGAAGCACTTCAAATGCGTGATCTATGACGTTCTCCCTGAAGAAGCCCAAATTTGAGTAAGCCTAAATTGAATAGGTACTGAAGCACAACATAGCTAAGGTGTCTCTGTACGTACCTAGACGCTGTAGAAACTTCTACATCGTCATATTGACTTCCGGTGTTGGCGCCACTTCTATATCGACCATCCAGATGAGTCCTTCATTTGGGCCTGTGTCAACTCAGGGTATGTCTTGTGTAGACTCATAGACTTACCGACAGATGGCACCCGAAGCAAGGCAGTTCTACAACGCAGGGCCTATTAGTAGAGCTGTTCACGGGGAAGCCAGGTTTGGCACATCATCTAACGGACCTTGCATGAACCACGCCCGGCCTCTCTCGACCCTTAGAAGCCTGATTGTCAATGACAAATGTGTGCTCAGCGGAGACAAAGGCTAGCATACGCACCGGCATCGCATTTGACCTTTCTCTCATGGCATCGAACGCAGGCGCTACTGTTGGGCTTGCGCTTCTTGGTAAAGGATGTTGGGTCAACCTGCACGAGATTGATGGCCAACATATTTGCATTGAACTGTATGATTAAAGGACAGGCAGTACACGCTTCCAGGTCTCTGGTGTGCTATCCAACGCGCTCAAGCGCTGACGGAGTTGAGTATCCTGGCTGCCCGGACACATCAAAGCACGTCATTACACTTTCCGATGACGGCCCAGCTACGATGGTGCAATTCATTGTGGTGATTGACGAATATGACACTAGCCCTCTTGGCAACGGATGACGGCCACTGGGCCAGGAGTGCAGCAATCCTTTGAGATAAGGGCTTTCTCCACGAGAGGTTCAAGTGGGTCGGAATGCTGCCTTCGGCGATGCCATTCTGGGTAAGTAATGTCAAGTCGCTTGCTGGTTTCTTATTCCCATGGCATCTCCGCCGGCGAAGGCTTTGGGAAGACCGACTTGAGCATTGCCGACCACAGCCAGTAGACCAAGGACTCTCTCTCTCTCGTGTATGTTGAGAGCATTAAGGAAACGCCATTGTACAGTCTGTTCCTCTGCGGCTGTGTGATTCGACCGTAACGCCTCTCAAGCACCCTTTGTAAGTGCCTTTCATCATGACAAACATCGAGCTGGCCCCATTCTTAGAGACAGACCCTTCCCAAGAAAGCTCAAGGGATGGTAACAAGCTTGATATTGTTGTCGTGGGTGCAGGCCTCGGCGGCCTCCTCGCCGCCATCGGCCTTGCACTTGACCACCATCGAGTGACAGTACTCGAACAAGCAGCAAGCTTCGGAGAGGTTGGTGCCGGTATGCGCATCCCGCCCAATTGCTTCAAGATCCTTCGCCGATGGGGTGTCGACACGACATATCTTAAAAAGACGCATTCCAATGGGAACCGTTTCCTGCGATACGACAGCGGCGCATTGCTGGCCGATATGCCGCACGGAGTTCCAGAACTGGATTTTGGCGGAAGCTACCTAATGGTGCACCGAGCAGACTATCATTCCGTCTTGCTACAGAGAGCCCTGGCCCTCGGAGTTTGCATAAAAGCCGGATGTCGCGTGGAAGGTTATGACTGGAACGCCCCGGCGGCCATTGTACAGGGCGGCGACAAGGTAGCAGGCGACCTCCTCGTCATTGCAGATGGTAAGGCTGTCAATCAGAATAGCTAGAAGGGTTCACTAGGCTGATGAGAACTTGTAGGCGTTCAAAGCAGCGCGCGAGCCGAGTTTCAAGGACACCCATTACCACCAACTGATACTGGTGATGTCGTGTACCGGATACTGATTCCTGGCCAAGTCTTACTCGCAGATCCAGAGATGTGCAGTCTCATTTCTGACCCGTGGGTGACATCTTGGTGTGGCCCAGAAGCGCATGTAATCGGATACCCTGTGCGGGGAGGCGAAGTCTACAATGTAGTCTTTTGCTGTTCTGAGAAGTCGATGCAAGACTCGCTTTTCCAGCCCGGAGAGACTAAGCTTGTTATCTCGGATAACTCGGAGCTTCGTCGACGTTTCTCGGGGTGGGATCCACGGGTGGAAAAATTGATTGAAAATTCGGGAAAGGTTTGGCTGACCCGTCTCAGATGTTCTGGTACCGGATTATGAAGCTCACTCTAACCTTGTTAATATAGGACTTCCTGAAGTGGCGTCTCTACGACTTGGATCTCGTGGACAACTGGGTTCACCCGAGTTCTAAAGCTGTTCTACTCGGCGACGCAGTTCACCCAATGCTTCCATACATGTCATCTGGAGCGGCAATGGCGTGCGAGGATGCAGCAGTACTCCGCAAGGTGCTATCTGGCGAGTCCATCTCCGAGCTCAGTGAGGCTCTCGCAACCTACCAGAGTCTGCGCCAACCAAGAGCGTCCAAGGTTCAGAAAGCGGGACGAACGCTTCAAGATGCATATCATCTGCCTGACAGTGAGGCGCAGCAGGAGCGGGACGTGTGGATTACCAAGGATGATGAAAGGAACCCGATATTCTGGGGACACAAAGCTAGAAGAGATTGGCTGTTTGGACACGATGCAGAGGATATATAAGAGAAACCAAGGCGGGGGCCGGATTCAAAATAGGTTGAGCTGAAACGTCAATGAGAGTTTTCTTTCAGTGAATGCGGGCTGGCTGCATAGCGGTGATTCTCGTGCAAGCTAGGATAGATGCAGAGATGGAACTCGGAGTTGACCATGTCCCTATAGACTATGACTAGATAAACTACAGGGTTTTGATGAGCCATCTCTGGATAGGTAGCCACTTGAAAGAAGATGCCGCTGTTAGCCTCTACTGTTTGGGTGGCTATAGGTGTCGATGCTGAAATCAGGACCGGTCCTCAAAAGCCCCTTGCCCATACACCTCGGCGATACTACTTTAGTAAAGTCTTTCAAGGGAAACCCCCACTTGAAAGTTTGAGTCAGTAGTAAACGTAATTCCCAGCATTCATGTTACCGCTGTTCTCAATGACGTGTGAGACTAAAACATATCCAGCTTCCAACTTTCTCCAGCCCACGCCGCTTCGACATCTTTAGGACTTCTGATATCATTCAAGACACTTGAGCACATCATATTCACCATGGCTGACTTTGCGCGTTACTCAACGGGGCCATCAGCCGAGTGGCTCCGGTTCGAGAAGACTTGGAAACGGCCTGAGGCTATTCCCACCATGACGATTCGAGAAGCCCGTGATCAGGCAAATAATAAGACCGCGAAGCTATTTGCTAATACTTTGGGAAGGCCAGGTAAGTCTAAAAGTTTTATTGGCTACTATCTTGCATCATTCTTTTAGAAAGCATCAAGTTAACTAAGAGTATCTTCCTTAGATACTGGCCTTGAAGTCACGGATTTTGATATCCCGACCACAGACGGCATCAAAATCCCCATACGGCTTTACCGACCCATTCAAGGAGACTCGGGAAGCTACCATGAGACCCAGGCCCTCTACATCTCTTTGCACGGCGGTGGATACCATTTTGGAAGCCTAGAGACTGAAGACCCTCATTGTCGGCAAATCGCACTGAACATCGGGTGTTCGGTTCTGAATGTCAACTATCGACATACTCCTGACTGGACCTTTCCTGCACCCGTCGACGACAGCTGGGCAGCATTCCAATGGGCTGCGCAGAAAGGACCTGAGTATGGCATCGACCCGGAAAAGATATTCGTCGGGGGTGTCAGTGCGGGTGCCAACCTCGCGATCTCTGTAGCTCTGCGAGCCCTCAGGGATGACTCTCTTCCCAGCGTCAAAGGGCTCGTTCTTGGCACTCCGTCGACCGTTCATCCGGATCACTTCCCAGTCGAGCTTCTTAAAGGTGGGCAGAGCTCCCTTGAGCTGCACAAAGATGCGCCGTTTATCAACGCCCAGAAACTCCGAAACCTCATTGATCTTTATCGTCCGGATCCGTCGCATCCTTCATTTTCGCCGCTCCTACGACCTATGTCTGACTTTGTTGCCTTATGTCCGGTATCGTTTCATATCGCTGGGCTTGATCCACTCCGCGACGAAGGGCTTTTGATGGAAGAAAAGATGCAGACAGCTGGGTAAGTTATATCAGCCAGCCAAAAAGATTCAAAGAAGAAATAGTATGAGACAGAATACTGACTCAGGTGACTTTCTAGGGTTCAAACCACCTTGCACATTTACCCAGGAGTTCCCCATGCGTTCATGTCCTTACCAACGCTTCCTTCGGCAAAGAGGTGGCGACAAGGGATGCACAATGATCTGAAGACATGGCTTGGGCAGTGATTTAAGAATAAAGAGAAGTGCATGAAGCTTAAAAACAACATCAAACATTTACATTCCATGAGTCCCACCACTCACGTGGATTCTAGCACCCGTCACGTAGTCGCTCGCAGCACTGGCTAGAAACACTGTAACCCCCTTGAAATCGCTGGGCTTTCCCCATCTTCCGGCAGGTATTGTCTTGAGTATCCTAGTGCTTGCTTCCTCGTCTCCAAAGCTGCGGTCAGACATGGGAGTGTGTATCCAACTGGTCGTTCTGGTCAGTCTTGAGGGTCACTAGTAAAATCCTTCCACTCTGGATGGAGACTTACCCAGGACAGAGCACATTGACTTGGATGTTGTAGATTGCTAGCTCATTTGCTAGCGAGTTCGTTAGTTGTCCTACTGCCGCCTTGACAGGGCCATATACTGAGAATCTCGTCATGGCCCTCTCGGCTGCAATCGAAGAAACGTTGATGATCTTGCCCCCTTGCCCACGTTCCGCCATGTGTCGTCCAACCAGCTGTGACAGTACGTATGCAGCGTGATAATGAATTTGAAAAACCTGAGATCTCAATATTAGTTCTGCTCAGAGCCGCTTAGCATTACTATCATCAGGGTTGCTCACCAATTCGCGATGAGCGTCAGTCTCTGTGAGCACTGGTACGAAGCCACCACTGATCCCTGCAACATTGCATAGAATGTCAACCGAGCGCTGGTCGCGGTTCAAAATGTCGTCAAGTGTCTTGCGGATCGCATCCGACTTGGCTAGATCGCATTCATACACATCCACCCGTCGCCCTGTGTCTGCGCTGAGCTGTTTGGCAACTGACGAGATCTCACTCGGGATTTGGATTATAATTATGTCGGCTCCAGCTTCGGCCAGACCTCGGGCCATTCCACTCCCAATCCCGCCATTACCGCCCGTAATAAGGGCTGTCTTTCCTGTGAGGTTGAAAAGCAAAGGTGTTGATATGGTTTCTCCATGGCAAGTATTGGGAACCGGAGGAAACTCGTCGTCTGGGGGAAAGGAGGCCATTGTCGAAAGAGGTTTAATCTATAGTCGATGCTGGTGACAGAACAACTTCTTACTTCTGGAGTCTTTTTATAATCGCACTTTGCGTTGGCCCGTCGGCGATACTAATTCCAGCTTAGTCTTGGAATAGGGTATGGAGGGGCTTCAACACCCCCATTATTAACCAACTATCTATAAAGGCCTCACTCTAAATCGCAGTATAAGATACGCGAAGGTACTAGGTATTTATATAGTCTATATATAATAACTAAACTATCATCCCTCTCAGCCCTAGCCGAGAGGCTCACGTCGCAGCTTGTTCAACGGTCGTAAACCTCAAAATTGGCCGAGTTTAAAAGCGCAATACCCTTACTCCTCCACGTATCACTCTCAACTGCGTTGGTCACGTTTCCTTCATAGAGAAAGTTTCTTGGTGCATCATGACCCTTGGCCTCTTGGTATATGGGCCACTTTGGAATAGGCTTGCCAAGACTGGGGACGGCCTTCTCCCGCCCTTTCCAACCGTTAGGGTTGCCGGTCGCAACAAACTTGATCCAATCGCTTGCCATCAATCGCGAAAGTTCTCTATATGACTTGTCCAGCCCTTGAAACGGCGGGGTGCGAACCGGAGGGTAACCTGTGCCTTCAAGATTGAGCATGGCAAAAGCCACCTCAACAAAATGCGTGGCACCATCTAGGTAAGTTGCCCAAGACGGGATGGCGTTGAATCGAAAAGAGTAGACTGGCAAGTTATGCTTTGCCCAAGTCTCGGCTGCCAGTCGACGCGGGGCTACCATCATGACGTCCCCGTAGTATGTTGCGGTTCTCCGATACTGCTTGCCATATGACGCCGGGGGGATCCAGTTGGCGGCGAGGTTGGGTAAGATCTGCTCCCGGCTCTTCTCGGGGTATGCTTTCAGGATCTTCTTTGCAAAGGAGCTACTAATAGCAGGAGACGAGTTCTCGATTGCCTTTTGAAACTCGTTCGTAGTGTTGATGCCTTTTGGTGAAAAGCTTGTTCCTTCATCTGTGTTGGCTCCAACGATGATTGGGATCTTGACAAAATGCCCGTCGGCGAGTTGCTTGGATGAGTGTCGGGCCACAAAGTCGCCGTCAATCTTTGGTGTCCATCCACCAGAAAGCGCTGTGGTGTTGAGTACGGTGTTCAAGTCCTTGAAGGGTAGACGCCGTAAGCATTTTACAGTGTCGCAGCCGGTCTTTTCCAGAAGTAGCTTGTACGAGACCTCAGCCAGAATTGTCTGAGAACCAAGGGCCAGAGGAGTTCCGCTTTCCATGATGGCTGCGCGGAATAGGCCATCGTTGCGGCCGTTGTAAGCCAGGATCTGTGCTCCTACTGATGCGGCACCAGCGCTCTGGCCCCAGATGGTAACCTTGGATGGGTCACCGCCGAATGCAGCAATATTCTCATTAATCCAGTGAAGGGAGAGTCTCTGGTCGCGTAAGCCTATGTTGGAATCGCCCTGCTGGAAGAACTCTGCCGAGTTGAGGAAACCCCAGGCACTGAGACGATAGTTGATGCTGACTGCAACAATTGGATGTCCAATCTTCACAGATTGCTCCACGATGAAAGATAGGTTGTATCGGAGGTCGACGCCACTGCCTTGGACGTAACCTCCGCCATGGATCCAGACAGCCACGGGGAGCTTCTTCTTTTGGTATCCTGAAGGTCGGATAACATTCAAGTAAAGACAGTCCTAAGTGGGGCTCAGTTATGATTCTTCTCTGGAGATCTTGACACTTACCTCGCTTGTATTATAGCCGATTTGTGAAGGCTGAAAGTCTTAGCATCCCGATGGTGAATTTGGTCCTTTTGACTTACTCCGTAGCCAACACAAGCAGGGGAATATTTGACGGCATGGCGAGTCCCCTTCCAAGTTTCATCATAGGGTCGAGGATTGCGGAATCTCAGGTCGCCAACCGGAGCTTGGGCATAAGGGATACCGAGAAAGAAATCTTGATCATATTCTGGAGAATGAACTCCTCCATAGCTGCCATTCTTGACGGTGGCAACAGGCGGTGTGCTATAGGGTTTATGAAAGGGACCAGCCGCAACTTGTGCCAGCGACTGGGCCAGGACAAAGACACTGATAGCCAGAGACTTCATGGTGATGACAGTAGTTGCGAGCTTGTATGTCTCGGTAGATCAGTAAGGCGATGAACGGACAAGGCGTCATTTTAACGTCTAGCTAAGCAGTCAAAATCCGGGGTCAGTTTAATTTCTGCTAAATATTTACCCAACCCCAGAACAAATGAGTCGATCTAACCTTTTATCCTGGATGCCCGAGACCGAGGTAACATCGTCACCCCGCAATATCAAGGATGGCGATGCGGAGAAACTGACCATTTGCGGAGACATTGACCCTCACTTCACGAATGGCAATGATCTCATACGCTTACCGAACGGTCTAACCAGCGATCACTCGAGCTAAAATGTGAGTTCGGCTGGATAATTATTCCCGAATGCTATTTCACCCGCCATAGCTAGTTTTCAACCTCGGGCAAAACATTGATACACTTGGACGCATTCTTGAGAATCATTTCTTGTTCACTAGCTAGGACATACTAAACATAATCTTACTCGACCTGCTTCTCATGTCTCCGCTGGTCAGCGCTGATGTAGTAGACGCCCTTTCGTGCAGAGATGAGAGGATCCTTGGACGATGTGATACCCTTGACACCACCCTTCTCCGGGACTGGGCTGAATGCAATCTGTTGCTGTCTGGCCGCATTGTCATCCGAGACCTTGTTGATCTCAAGCTTACCGACAGGAACGAAGGTGGTGCTCTTGTATGGCTTTGTGGCATTGTCCAGAATGTCGTGGGGGTCTGCGATATGTGCCTGGATCGTGAAGACAATAGGCTTGCTTGGGAATCGTTGCTGCAGGTCATCCTCCAGGTAGCTCTTGGGAAGGTTCTCCAAGAACTTCTTATCCTCGTCGGTCTTCTGAGGGTAGAGATGCTCTCCATCGGCGGGAATAAGGCGGTACCGCACGTTGGTGACCTTGCCGTCCTTGTTGGTCAGGACGTGTGTGTTGGGCTCGTAGTACGTGATAGTACCATAGTTGTGGGGGTTTGGCTTCTCGGCCGACACGAATTCCCTGGCAGATTCGTTTCCAGGCTGGCCGAGGAAGGCATTGAACGCAGTCCCAACCTGCTTCAGGATCTCCTTCTCCTTGGTAGCATCACGGCCCTCCTCAAGGGCCTTCTTGAGTGCAGCTTCAGCCTTTCCAACAGCCCCAAAGAGCTTCAGGAAGGCCAAGAAGCCCTCACCGTCCTTGGTGGCGAATCCATTGAAGGTGTGGGCAATCAGGTCGGTGTAAGTATCACAGTCAATCTGGAAACGGACGGCGATACCCTTGGGAGTGGCGCCGTTGTCCACGTCGGCAATGTGAGGGATACCACCACCGACAGAAAAGCGAGCGACGACAGGGGTTGAAGGGTTGTTGAAGTGAGGAGCAATGGAAAGTGTCTTGGCCTCCTTGGTTGGTGTGAATTTACCCTCAACAAGAAGACCCTTGGCGTGAGCTGTGTACATGAGTGAGACCGAGATCAACATCAAAGGTCTTGAGGTACATACTGGTGCGAAAGCCAGGATGCTTGCCGAAAATGGCCTGCATGGCATTCACCAAGTCCTTTGGGAGTCCACCCTTTGCAGCATCTGCGCTACCGTTGGAGGGGGCATCTTGAGTGGAAGACATTGTGAGGGCTCAGACTCGGTCAAAAGTGAATGTCAATAAGGAATACTTTGAATGCTTTTCGAATTATGGAAGAACAAGTCGACTTTATCAAGTCGAGGCTGACGCAGTAAGATTGCCCAGGTGAGAAAACAATTGAGCACGACATTCCTCAAGGTTCCATCATATTTTGCCTTATCGGAGAGTAAGCGGTTCCAGAGTGGTCGCCGCCAAGTGACGGTCAGCCATTCCGATGCATATCGGCGATCACGGGCTTCTGTTAGCCATGCACTAGCTCAGGTGCACAGCCTCCCACCTACTCTTTCAACTATCAGGATGACTATCTCAACTGCCCGCACAAAGAGACTCTCTTCTCCCTTGCAGAAACATAGCGTGAGGGGATATATTCTCGACCAGCCCATTGTCCTGACCGATGTTGCAGAAGAGAAAACCGCTCTGGCCTCAATGCACGCTACTGCAGACTTCGAATCTCGCTACCTTCAACGAAGGCTAGCGGTGTGATATGGTGCGTGGTACAAATGTGTCAATCTCGGGGCTGAGTAGGTTGTGTAACAGTGACATCAGATGTGGTTGGCGCTGTATGACAGGGGGGCACTTGAAAATACGAGCACGAGCTGAAACAGGCAGAAGACGAAGTTCAAGGCACGCTGACCATATCAACTGCCGTGATTGGGGAATTGGGCCTATAGGGTGCGGCAAGGCTTTTGCCAAGAAGCAAACTTGCAAGCTTGTGAACAGATGGGTTCCATTGCGTGAGCGCTGATGGGTCCAGAGGTCGAGGTCTAGAGCCTCACGTAAGTCACCGCCAACGGGCGTGATACCGTTGTGGCGGCTTAGGCGCACCGAGACATGCATCGCGTGTGGTGTGGAATGTCGAGTTACCCGACCGGCTGTTACCTTGTGGGCATGTCTCGCCTTGGGTTGGAATGCGGCGTTATTGGCAATAGACTACTTTCTTTTCGGTGTAGACACCAAGACTAGTCAAGCATGATGGGGCTTGCAGCAGAAGAAGGCCTCGCCTTTGAAGACTTATCAGTTGCCTCAACTCAACTGAGATTGTTGAGACGACTAATGCGAACTAACGGCCGTCCAGGTGCGGCACTACCCGCTGCCCGTGGTGCTTGGCGGAGTGTGGTGCGTTCACTGAGACATTGCTAGGCCAGGCCAGGGTCAACAGCCAGCCACATTCACAACGTATGGCAAAGATGACCAAATGCGCCGCTCGAATTCGCTCACGTCAGTTTCTTGGCTGTTTCCCCGCACAAGGGAATGTTACCACGCGTGTGTACAGGGCGACGAACCAACGACGAGACAGCTCAATGTTGTACCCCGTCCAATTCAGCCGCACTACGACTTCAGGATGGACCTTGTTCCACCTTGATGTATTATCTTGCAGCGAGCAGATTCCCGCCAGATTAAGCTGGGTGCATCTCGAAGTGGCTGGCTGTCTGGCGGGGAAGCGGAAGATGTGCAGAGCTGAAGGCATGTCTGCATTAGAAGCCGCGTGTTTCCTGAGTCTTTTTTGTTGTTGTCGCGGAGAAGACGATCCAGACTTGCTTGGCTACTGCTATTGAGACGAGACTGGAGCTCAACATACAGCGTTGTGCGACCGTCCCCCGCCGTCGGTTGAGCAAGGTCGTGATGATGTCCACAATGCCCACAATCCAGCTTGAAGAATACCGAGCGGCGAGGTGAATGAGTAGTATATAACGACCATAGATATCTAGACTTTGGACTCCTCATTCCACTCTCTCTACATCCTCATCATACCTTCTCCCCTATTCAATCCTAGCACTGCTCCTTCATCATGTCTGCCGCCGTCCACAAGCCCCTCCCTCCTCGCTCCCAGTTGGACAAGATCCTCAAGGGCAAGGTGAGGAACGATGTCGAGAAGGAAGACTTGCAAGTCTTTGACAAGGGCGTGTTCATGAACGAGCTCTTGCGAATCGGTATTGCCCTCGAGACCACCAAGCAGGGTGTTCTCAAGGGTGGCCTTGTTGCTAGTGAAGGTATCAAGAAGGGAACCTTTAAGGGCACACAGCTCGCCATGACAGAGATGTACAAGATCATCGAAGAAGCGTATGTATCCCCAGCACCCTCATCTTCAGAACCTAGCTAACGGAACTTGAGTGCTGCGGCTCACTATGACGCCCGAGGCTTTGAGCCCATCTTCCCCGTTGAGAGAGATCTCACAACCAAGCAACAGATCTACCAGTGGACTGATGGATCTGATGGCTACCCTCCTCATCTCAAGGACCTTCCTGACGACGAGAAGGATGACCAGACCAACAATCCAGAGGAACAGCCCAGGAGTGAGGGTGTCGGCAAGATCTTTGACTACAACAAGACGCAATTCGTACGAAACATTGCAAAGGCCGTCGGCTTCCTCATCCCCAAAGAAATCGAGGCCGAGGGCACGCCTTACGCTGGCCCAACCCTTGCCGATTGTGAGCAATGGAACCGAGATCACCAGAGCCCGGCCACCGACATCATGAAGGGTCGCAACATCGGCGAGCACAAGGATTGGTACTCGGATGCTCGATTTGCTCAGCAGCACCTGAGTGGCGTCAACCCTTCAACCATTGAGACCGCTCCCAAGGACAAGATCCAGGAGTACATTGCCCAGGCTGAAAAGCAGGGCCTTGGTGGTATCAAGAAGATCCTCTCGAGTGACAAGGACATTCTCATCCAGGACTACTCCTACTTCCGAAAGGCTACAGGTCTCAAGGATGAAGAGAACTTTATCAACGTTGTCCCCATTCTCAACGAGCAGAACGCACCCATCGGCAAGGCAGAGCGATACGCTTGTGCTCCGATTGTCATCTTCCAACTTCACGAGGATGGAAGGCTTCACCCTCTCGCAATCACCATCGACTACAAGGGCTCTCTCGACAAGTCTGTCACCATCTTCAACAAGAGATTGACTCCTGATGACAAGGACGTTGACGAGAAGGAGGACTGGCCGTGGCGATACGCCAAGACCTGCGCCCAGACTGCCGACTGGGCTAGACACGAGATTGCCACTCATCTCGTCGACACACACATGGTTGAAGAAGCCATCATCGTCGCCACCAACCGAACCATCCCCGAGGGCCATCTCCTATACGAGATCCTCAGCCCTCACTGGTTCAGAACCCTAGCCCTCAACTCCGCCGCCCGCACACTCCTCGTCCCAGCCGTCATCGCCAGAATCTCTGGCTTCGGCCCGACGTGGAACCCCGTGGACCCTGACAAGTCCAAGTACCGAACCTTCAAGCTCGTCGACTACTCGTACAAGAACTTCAACTTTGTGGACAAGTACATCCCCAACGACCTCAAGAAGCGAGGCTTCAACATTGAGAAGGAGAAGTATGAGAAGTACCGCAACTACCCGTACGCCTATGACATGTACCTCCTCTGGGGTGTCATCCGCGAGTTTGTCCAGTCGGTGCTTGAGACCAAGTACAAGTGTGACGCCGATGTGCAGAACGACAAGTACATTCTTCCTTGGTGCAAGGAGATCCAGAGCAAGGATGGAGGGCAGGTCACATCCTTCCCCACCATCAAGACTGTTGATGAGCTCATCGATGCTGTCACCATGTGTATCCACATTGCGTCTCCCCAGCACACTGCTGTCAACTATCTCCAGGACTACTACTACAGCTTTGTCCCCGCCAAGCCTCCGGCGCTCTGCACCGCCCTGCCCACTGACCTCAAGACCCTCCAGGGCTACAAGGAGGCGGAGCTCACCAAGGCCCTCCCCATCGGCACCGAGGGTCCTAAGTGGAAGGACTGGCTTCTGGCTGCCCAGCTCCCCGAGCTGCTGAGCTTCAAGGTCGACGACCGTTACAATCTCCTCACGTACGCCAAGTCGCTGTACAACGTCAACAAGGCCCGAAACATCGGAGACAACCCAGAGTTCAACGCAGCTGCCATCAAGGATGCGGCCAAGACCCTCTACAGTCGTTTGAATGATCTCTCAGAGATTTTCCAGATCATCTCGTTGGCTCAGACCAAGGGGAACGTTGAGTACCCGGTCCTGGAGCCATCGACCACTGCCATTTCCATCTTGATCTAAGAAGATTAGTGAGGCTATTGTGGGACGGCCTGCTTGCTGAAATTATGAACGTCGCTATAGCGATAGAAGTAGTCCGAAAAAAGCTCAATAGCACAATGTTTCCGTACCATCTTCTAAGTCCTAAGTGTGAACCTTGCCAGCCTCATATAGTAAAGATATCGTGATATCGTCCAACATTCTTATCCCGCCACTATGAAATCTCCCATGCGCCTTGCAAGGTAGACGAGAGTCGCTAGATTCTTGCCCACGCGAGTGAATTAATTGAATGTTAAGTCTGTAGCACGTACGTAAGTTCCACAAGAATGGGTATCGTTATTAAGCATCAAGGTCTCTCTGCTCATGCAACTCTTCCCACGCAAATCACGCCAGCTGCTTCACCGCGTGACGAAGGCGCTGTCCCGCTTCAGCCACGCCTCAACATCCTTGATGTGCGGATGTATGCTCTTAGCCAGCTGCATGTCCACATTGTAACCATCTTCCTTGAACCAATCCAACATCACACCAACCTCCTTCACTCCCGCTTTGAGTGCCTTCCCCAGCAGCCCGATTGTCGTGCCAACCCCGGCACCCGTGACGGTCTTGAACCTCTGATCCAGCTCCTCAAAGGTCAGCTCCTCCCCGGCAAGCCCTATGGCCTGTTTGTTGAACCGCTCCGGGTTGGCAAAGCCCTCAGCTGCGAAAATGCCAATGTCAGAAGTGGCAATCCACTGCAACGGCTTGTCCTTCATGGTGTTACGCAAGCTCGTTATGAATACCTTGGCCTGGAAGTCCGGTGCGATATTATCCAAGAAGATGACAGGGCGCAGGATTGTCCAGCCCATAGCGGATTTCCCGTTGGCGGTGCTGTCGCGGAGGTAGTGCTCAATCTGATGCTTCGACTTGAAGTGCGGAATTGGGCTGGGATTGGTCCACGACCGCTCGTTTCCGCCACGATCGACACTGCTATAGACGAAATGCTTTACATGGTTCTTGATTGATTCGTCAATGAGTGCTTTGCCCTGGCGTGTTTCTCCCTCAAAGGTGGTGCCCTTGGCCACTGCGGCTTGGACTGAGTAGACACCCCAGATGGGGCCAGAGGCAACCTTGTTCGCAGCTCGAAACAGTGAAGGCACGTCATCAAGGTTTCCCTCGACGAGTTTGACGGTGGAGGATTTCTTGGTTAAACGCACAGCCGATGGCGACTGTGCATTGCGAGTGACGGCGAGGATGTTGAAGTCCTTTGAGAAGCGAGAGAGGACGGCTTCCACGACACTGCCGCCTTGTTTGCCGGTGGCACCAGTAATTAGAAGATTACGGGACATGGTGATGATGAGGGGGGGTAGGTAGTAGGGCGATGGAGTAAGATAGCGGGAAATACGGGAAATACGGACTGCATTTAAGCAAAACTGCATCGCTAACAACCTCAATGACAGGCAGACTCTGTTTATCGTCTTACATGTCGTAATGAGGTTACTCCGTTTTTGTCAGCACGCAACAAGTGCTCTTAATTGCCAACCCCGAAAGGCCGCTCAATTTCGGTGGTCAAGACACGATCCCCTGATGGAGTCCCACAGCTCGGCCTCCGGCCAACCTGCAATCACCGAGCAATGGCTGTCCTTGGTGTTTACCAGTTAGCATTTTTCAGCGATCGAAGTCTTTAGTCTCACTTCACTATTTTTTTTTTCTTTTTCAGCAGGGGGTCGTTTTCCTCCGGCTGTCGATAACCTCACCGCCCGGTTGTGTAGTAATCGCGGATAGCCCATTCCCTCCAGATGCACCCGTTCCCGGAGAGCCTGGTATAAAACGGTGTCTTGCTCTTCAGTTCATCAGACGCCCTCACCTCGTATATACCCATCGAGGATTAGTGGTAGCCTCAGCCCAGTACCTCTCTTATAACCGTCTTGTTTCGCTCACTGCAAGCATGTCGCTTTCCACCTTTTTCTCGTTGCTGGCAGTATTGGGGCCTTAGTAGCATCCCCTGCGCCTCCTACTCTCGCATACCTCTTCCGTATGAACCTCACCCTCAGTTCAACTATCAACACCGGTCCAGGTCCATCAGGGACTCGACTGGCCATCCCCATAACCGGTGGAACTTTTTCAGGCCCCAAGGGCAAAGGCACAAGTTGGTCGCAAAAGATGAACACGATGAGCCCCAACTAACCATTCATAGGAACTGTTCTTCCCATCGGAGCTGACTTTGGTACAATCGACGCCTTGGGAAATTTCAATGTCGACGCACACTCTGTGATACAAATGGATGACGGATCCTATGTTTACAGTCACTCGACTGGCCCTTTGATCTCTGGCCAGACTGCTTTAGACAGAGTCAAGTTTGAGACTGGAAGCAGCAAGTACTCTTGGCTCAACGAGATTCTCGCGGTAGCCGTTACGGATTTCCCGGGGCCTTGGGTATCTCTCGATGTTTGGCAGGTGAACCCTAGCTCTTGATGAGTTAAGCCTCATCCTCGGCCAGGGTGCAAGATGGGAGTTTGGCTCGGTTCCTAAACATTCAAAGCTGAGAGAGACTTGTCATACCGTAGGCGCATCTTGGACTCGAGACGAAAGTTGTATTTTCTCGGGTCGGCAGAAGCATGGCTAAGCTGGTGATTGTAGATGATATGAGGTAGAAGCTTAAGCCATCTAGTTGTACCTCTTTAGGGTAGGCTCACGCAGCTCGTCAGCGCTCCCCATCCTGAACTTGTATACTCGTGTTAACGAGCAAACAGTCTCATTTTCATCTTTAAAATACCGTCCATCCATTTGAAAAGAATTTCTTATCTTGCCTAGTGACTTCATGATATAATGGCTAAATAATATTTTCCATCCAAGGCTAACAAACGGACTCTACCAATCTTCTGTTTTAACACCTGTAGACGGACCTGAGGTCACGTAACCAACCACTGCACCCTTGATTGAGTCGCACTTGGCCTGCCCGGGCGCGTGTTCTAATTCTCTTCACAGCACGTCCTGGTAGACTTGTTTTGCTTCATTTGCCAGCTGCAATGACAAATTTACCGCGCGGCTGACCCACGGAGCTAGTCCAAGTTTAATGGTTTCTTCCTGCAGGGGTTGAGCAACCGGCCTGATCGCGGCCCGTCGGTATTATGGTTAATACCGGTCGGACCAACCACGGCTCTACCGTATTACCGTTCAGACCGAACGACTTGACAAATGGTACCGCATCGGATTCTCTCGGTGGTGCAGCTATGACCGAAGTAGCGTGCTAATTACCTAAATGGAGGTGCTTCCCCGTATCATGCTTTGTTAGATGGTCTTCAGACGCACCTGAAGTTCGATTCAGAAATGGTTTACTAACCCCAGCCCAACCCAACCCGCACCATTGCTTTCTTTACAAGTCACAAGCCCTATCCCTCGATTTCCCCAGTCATGACGTCCCACGCCCGAACCTGTTCGTCATCATCTTCCGTCCCCGAAGGCAGTTCTATCAACGAGCAGAAACAAGCATTGTGTTCAAAGATGATGTTTTGGCAATTCGCCGAGATGTTGCATTCAAGCTCTAACTAACATTTTCCTTCCGGTACTCCTGTCTCGTACGGAGGTTAGAGCAGTTAAAATACCCATGAGAGGCTAGACCTTTCATGACGATGTGGCTAGGTATGACTCTTCTGCTTGGAGCGCGGCATTGCCATGGCAGGCGCGAATTGTTGTAAGACGATCTTTTCCCTTAAAAGTCAATAAATCTAACACTTATGAGACTTACTACAGGGTCCTGTTGCCGGTCCGATCATGGGCGGGTTCATCACGCAAAGCTCACTCGGCTAGCGGTGAACAACGTACATGACGGTCATTATGACAACTCTATTTGACCCTACAACATTCATAACCGTTCCCGAGACGCTAGGGTCTTCCCTTCTGACTAGGAAAACTTGCTGAGTTCGTCTCTCGACCCGAGACTGGGTCATACATGCCGTTGCAGAAGAAACGCCTATTGATCTCAACGAGATGGCGAACCGAATCCTAGTCCGACCCCTCGCCATGCTAGTGCTCGAACCCATCATCATCCTCGTGACTCATTACATGTCCTTTGTATATGGTCTCATCTACCTTTGTTTCGAAGCATATCCAGCATCCTTTCAAGAGGACCGGAGTTTGAACAGCGGTGTTAGAGCTCTTTCGTTCTTGGCTATAATACTTGGCGTTACAATCGGGGCTATCATCATTGTCATCTTCTCCAGGACCCGGTTTACACGCATAATCAAAGATAAAGGTCATCTGCCACCTGAGCCGCGGCTTCTACCCATGATGATCGGCGGGGCATGTTTTCCCATTGGTCTTTTCTGGTTCGCCTGGACCTCCAGCCCTAGCATATCATGGGTACCGCAAGCCATAGCTGGGGTTCCACTAGGAATGGGTGTACTGTTGTAAGTATTGACGACTTCGGCAGATTTGCAAAACCGCTGTTAATTTTGCCCTCGCAGTATATTTCTGCAAGGCCAACCCTACATTATCGATAATTACCTGATGAACGCAAACAGCGCCCTCGCTGCCAACGCTGTAGTGCAAGCACTGTTTGAGGCAGGATTTCCAATGTTTGCAACAGCCACGTATAAAAAGCTGGGGGTTGATTGGGCCACCAGTGCTCTTGGCTTCATAGCCGTCGGGCTTTTCCCAGTTCTAATCCTTTTCTATATTTTTGGCGAGAGAATTAGGAAGCTTAGCCGATATTCTCCAAATGGCGGCCGTCCAGAATAGCCGCAGTATTTCTTATATAGTCGTGACAAATCCAACCTGATAATGCATGTTAATGGCCTGATAAGGATGACTATAAATCATATATTTACAGCTCGATCTAGTCAGCGACCTCTCTACACATCCAACCGGTGGACGCATCTATACCATTGGCTTGACCCCTTGAAGAGACCTTCGCCCACCCGGTGCAACGCCGTGTTCTAATGGCCGGCATACTCTCACTACCGAGACCAAAGTATACGCACATTCTCACACCCGCGATATTATTCCTGGCTTGGTGAGCTCGAGTAGTCATCCATCTTCGTAGGCAAAATTGAACAGAAAGTGATGTGTGACGAGGCCTTGTCTTGTTTGGCAAGAATGGGTATTAATACTGATGTTGGCGGAAGTTGCTGTACCTGGGTTATAGTTATTAGCAACTTCAAAATCAGAAACAGTCTTTGCGTTTGCCCTCTTACTCTGTCTAGAGTGCTCGAGTCCATACCGACCTGCCTCATTCCTAAAGCAAGCTGAATCGCTAACGAGCGCGAGAACGGGTCCTTCTCGCCAGCGTGAGCCATGGCACCGAGAAGATATTGAAGGTTTTGCTCGCTCTGCGACCATTGGGTTTCCATGTAGACTTCTAGAAAGATCAAGGATGCGAGATATGCAGAAAACCCCAAGAAATGGTCAGCCATGGCGCCCTCAACATCGCCAGTCGACTTGAGAGCGTTCACTATTTGCTCTGCCGACGGTAGAAGCCGAAGCCTGCTGCTCGCAAACATGTCTGCTGGGAGACCGAACTCTCTTATCTTTGCCAACGCCGCTCGGTGTATGCAAATGACTGAGGTGTGAATACCGGCATTGACGACGATGGCGTTCCGGTTCCACCCGCACTGCGGGAGGCGTATGCTCTCTGGGAGGTACAGGATCATGTTAGATAGGTCAGTGTCAATCCCTCGGTGTCGAGTCCAGTATGGACCATTTGAAATATTCTCGATATCGTCATTCGGGAAGGACCTGAATGTGTGCTCAAGAGTTCTGTAGAACGTATAGGCGGTAAGCACCTTACCAGCAAAGGGAGAATAAACCATAGTTCCTTGAAGGGCGTCTGTGAGCCAGGGAGTTGCTTCGTTGGTGCCCATCTCGAAGGCATCGTCGGACGCCGGTAATCGGGTCTCGATCTGCATCCAGTTGATACGTCAGCCCTTTGGGCTTCTCAAGCCTCCGCAATTCATTGATCTACTCACATCCTTCTCGTTGACTGAGGCAGGCCAACCTGTCATGCCACCCACGAAGCGATCGGAGCAGAAGATGGCCCACCAGGTTCTCCTCCGTTCTTCAACCTCAAAGTAGTCTCTTGGTGGAGGAAGCGGAGGATCAGTTGCCTGCTGCGGACTATCGAGACGGTGCAACCCGAGCATCTGGGCAATCCGGACACACTTGGACAGGCTCACAGACGCGCGAGAGAAGAGGAGTTGTCGGGACTCATACATCGCTAGCAAGCACCAACATTGCGTATGGGCAATGGTGGTAAAGTATTCTCCTTGGCCCTGGCCGAATGGGTTAGGATTGCTGTTCCTTCGTGCATTTCGGTTCATGAACTCACCTTCATCTCATCTGCCTCGGCATATCGCCTAGACCGCTGATAGAACGGAATTGCGAGGTGTGTGAGTTCCTGACATGTTGTTGCGGCTAGAGCCAAGACGGCGTACTGTAATGACATGGGTGGGCGCATGTGGGCAGGGCGATGTAGAGAGGCCATGTAGCGTGTGCGGTGCAACATTGGAGCATCTTGGTGTAGTTCGTCAAAATACAAACCAACTCTATAATGTCTCAGTTAGCACGGTTGGTCACACATACCACGGATCAAAGGCCGCAATAGGGTATGCTAGAAGGCGGAGGAATCAAGACGGAAGAGGCAGTGGCTCACAGTCGTTCAATCAGATGGCTGGGCGGAAGCTGCTCAAACTGACCAAGTCCAATCAATTCGTTTGTCGTAGATGGAACTTCCTCAGACGGTATGGCAGTCGTTTGAATGAAGGGGATGCCGTCGAACTCGGGCCCGTAGAAGGTCGACTGGCTGATGTCTGTTGCATCCTGGTTCCAATCCAGATCAAGTCCAGCTTCCTCACCCAGGGAGACGGGATCTTCCAGTAGTACCTCTGCTCGGCCGCTTTGCTTAAGCATGTCCTCCAGTCGAGCTTTAAGAAAAGGGTCAGTTGATGTAGCTTATTGACAATAGCGTCAGCGTCACTCACCTAATCGAGCCTCCAATGTGACGGGATTCTTCTTCCTAGTTGTTCGCCTCTGTCGCGAGTTTGGGAAGGCGCATTCATCTCCAAGCCGAACACATCGACTGCAGGTGGGCTTCAACCGATCGCATTTCACTTTGCGAGCCCGACACTGAAAGCAGGAGAGTGTGGTTGTGCCTGTGCTGGCGTGCTCGCTTTCCCGTTCCCCCTCCCACGTTGAGGCTTGGCTGCTCGTCCCTATAGACTGCATATATTCATTGCTGTTTGATGAAGAGCCAGCCCTGAAAGGAATCTCGTGCGCCATTCTGGCTGCTTGGCAACCCGGTCAACCTGCGGTGAACACGATGTGAGTATAGGTAGGTAGCGTAAAACAAGCTGAGCGTGAGCCAAACGGCAGGTTGAAGTTGAAGACTCGGGACAGCAGATGGTGTTCTCTCATGGAAGCAATGAGGGGTCTGATCTCTTCAACGGCCACTCCAGCTGTGCCTAGGCATTACTCATCAGAAGAAGCTGAAGTCATGGGGTCAGGTAGAGAATGTCCGAGGTGTGATATTCACCCGCGCGGGTATTACTCAGCGGTGCTTGGGTCCGCTTGGAGAGCCAAGAAGGCTCCCTTTTCCGTCTCGGCAACTGAAGACTAATCTAATTACGAAGTAGTACCTCGTGCACAGGTCACAGGTGTTTCAAATGCTACCGTAATTCGTACATTCTTTTGCCACAGTCCAAAGGAATTTCCCGATAAACCGTGTTTTAGCGGATCGAGTTCCTCCTCAAGCACGCTGTTGGTGGAACAATCGAAGCCTCTGTCCATGAGAAATCTATTCATACAGTCTTGATGCTAATTTAAACTGTGCTGAAATAGAGACAGCGCCCAGCCGTTGCTACCACAGAACACATCGATAGACTAGCCAAGGTCATCCGAAGAGGCAAGTCTTGGTAAGTGAAGATTGCCTCTGAGTATAGCAGACGGTTCCATATTCAGAAAACATGCCTAAAGTGCGTAACATCGGGGGCTTTTGTTCTTTCTAGTAATCGATCTCTATGTCTCGTTGTCTTCTCTGCTCTCAAAGCTTACGGGCTATCTACTCTGATACTCTGATACTCTCCCCTGTTTCTCCCTCTCCTAAATAATGACGCTGTCTTCGATGCGCTCCTGGTCGGTAACATGATATCCTCCCCTGACACATCCCCTGACACACCACGGTCATCCAGCACAATACTCTCTTCTCTGTCCCTCTTTTCGAGGAGAACGACAGGCACGGCCTTTGCCTTTTCCTCCAGCTCATAGTATGTCTCTCCCCCACTAAACACTCCGTCTGCCGCAGCCACCTGCGAAAAGACAGCCAACTCGCTCGACTTCCAGGCTGGCAGCTTCGCCTTGTGTGTCGACCATATGGTGGCGATAAGAAAGGCAAGACTACCGATTGTAGCCAGCAAGTGGAGGATGATCCATGGCCAGGCGACTCTGTAGACGGTGACGGGGAAAAAGGTAGTTCCAGTCACACTCTGTCCCTCCCCGGCGCCGTTTCGAATAGCGACGCTCATTCCGCTGGCCATCTTTTTGAATATTTTCCCAGGGTCGTGTTGCAAGTTCTCAGCGATGGGAGGATTGAGCTGTCTGCGGGCGACGAATCCGTGCGGAGGATCAAAGTTGTCTTCTTCTGTGCAATTTTCTTGCGTCTCCATGCACTTGGTAAAAGTCTGCTTCATCAAGGCACTGATGCTATACACGGTATCTGAAGCGAGGGACCAGTTACGGGATTCATCCCCCAACATAAGCTCAGTCCTCGAAAATGCGGCGACTGCTGGATCCCAGGCGAGGGACTCATAGGCATATTCGGGGAAGTCCTCTGCGTCAAGATAGGAGTTAGGATAGATCTGCCAAGAATCCTTTATGCGCTTGTGCTTCTCAAGTGTCGTTGAATTTTCCACGAGCGTTCCGTTTTTGACGGCAGCTGTATATCGTTTGATACAGTAGTAGAGACCGCACTCCTGAGCTCCCACCTTGGGTTCAGGCCACTGGACGAGTCCATCAGGAATAGAGCTCTCGTCAACAATGATGAAACTCTGGGCCCATATGAGAGTGTCCATCTTTGTCATCGCCAATGTCTTGTTTTGATCGCCGGTGCCGAACATGACCATGGTTAACAATTGATATGCCGAGTATATGTCATCGTCTCGGTCCAGGTTGCTCAGGTACAGACCATTAGGAAGGTGATACTCCGTGCACTCGCTAGTTCCATCGGGCGATTCTTGGTCATTAACCAACTCGGCAATCTGTAGTTTTTTCCTTCGGACCACGCGCTTCTTCAAAAAGGGTGTTATGTCATGGCACCGACTGCAGACAGCCAACGAGTCAAACGATCCGTACTCACAGTCGGCTGTAGAACAGTTGTAGACCACTTGGTGTCTAAGTCCCGGGTCAACGTCAGTGTAGCTGAGTTTAATCGAGATGTCCATCCCGGAATCCGGCTCTACAGAAGCAAGCATATCATCACCCGAAGGTACGAGGCGACCATTCTCCACTGAGTAGGCATCCGGCAGTTAGCTTCAAATGGTCTTTGGACTGTCTTCTTTTTCGAGAAATGTACTTACCAGTAAACTTGCCCTTGTTGGCTTGCCCCTCGGTTAGAGGCGAATTGACGTCGCCTCGAGAATAATAATCCGCCTTAGCAATTGAGGCCCGAGATTCGCGAGGGTCATCATCCTTTATTTTCTCTTGAAGCTGTACGAGCTGCTGGGCAAAAGGGTCAAGAGCTATAGTGAGTATGGTGACGAGGGCGCCGACTCGCACTACAGGTCTGTCAAAGAAAGGGCCGTCAGTCTGTGACTCTTGCTCAATGAATTCCTGGGCATCAGTTATTACCCGCCGAGAATACGAAAGTCCAAGAGCACCTTGAGACTCCCCAAAGGACCGCGGCTTGCAGCAGAAAAGTATTCAAAATCGACAAGACGACGAGGCTCGCTTGAAAACAGTAGCCAATTCCATTGACTGATGGTACTTGCGAGCATGGCGAGGAGGCAAACTCTGCTGGTCGTGGACAAGGTTGAGATGACGGCGTTCAGGGTGATCATAGGGCCGTCAAAGACACGTTCGCCGTCAAAGTTGATAAGGAGGATCACAATGGCGGCGACGGCAGCCGAGGCCAAGGCGATGGACCCGATCTCGAATATCCATTGTCCCAGAAGTGACTTGCTTGATATCAACTGCCTCATGGTGAGTTGATGAAAATGAGCGACAATGTGCGGCCAAGAAGCCTGAGGCGCCTGGGGGGCTTTTAGGCGCGACAGCCCGAACAGAATCGGAGCGGCTCTGCAAGTCCAGCCCTGTTTTCCTTGGGAGTTTTCACTTCTGCCAATGATAGAAAAGGATCTCCTGCCGTCAGCAATTTCCCTGCAAATCTTCCCGTTGTTGTTTCGGATGGAGGGGTGTCATAGGCTCACCTACGTTGAAGTGTGCTTGGCAGCGGCAGGCTGTGATCCCGCCCCCTTTTATAAATAGCCCATGGCAAGTGTAGGGCAAATGTGTGTTATCATTTTATTATTATCTGTAATGATTACAAGAAGCCATTGATCATAACAGGAAAAAACAGTCATTAATACAGGGTAAATTTTTGGATGCTCTGTAACCCGGGCTTGGGTCTGGGTAAACAAGTGGTTCCAATTCAAGTACTAAAGAGGTGGCTTCTAGAATGACTCCTGCGATATTGATTAGTATTCAAGTTGATTCAATTCATCCCATCCCGTGTTCTTCGTTGGGTGTTTCGAAGTCAGACCGGTACAATAGCCGTCGAGATGGGTTTAGCCTTGCCAAGGAAGGCTGACACACAAGACGGGATGTATATGCAGTCATCTTTGGGCCCCGGTCCGAACTCTGGATCCCTGGCAAATGGAAACTCGCCGATTTTATTTTCGTACTCGGTTGTGTCGGGGAAGTATGCAACCAACTGACAAGTCGGCCGGCCGTCCCCATTGTTAGGTTGTACTGATGCACTGTGCATGTCTTGGCAGGCGGATTGTATTACCTAGAAAGGTAGCCTACGGGAGTGGGGACTCGCTATATCGAGACAAACAATTAATCGCAATTGACTTTACGACTGCACGCGACCATGTTAAGAGGAGAAACAACCTGGACAAGATGGCTCTCGATGAAGCCAGCTTGATTGAAGCTGGCCTCATTTTGAGAGATCACGTGGACATTGCATTAGCTGCTTTTCAACCCTCCCAGCATCCATGGCAGCCTGGTCCAGAACTCACGACCCCCGCACTCAGCCGCAATCCTTCCCTCCATTTCACTTTGCGCAGAACTTGAGGACAACCAATCTCCCTCCCAGCGATCAATCGCCAGCGATGAAGCCGACCGGTCACGGCTGAGAAACGAACGATGGAAGGTCTTGGTGTCGCCGCTAACGTCATCGCCGTCGTCGATCTCTCCGTCAAGGTCATCGCATGGCTGTCCGAGTACGCGCAGGATGTCAAGAACTCCAAGCCCGAGCGAGCGAGACTGCTGCAGGCGGCCACCCAGCTGAACTCGGTCTCACAACATGTCCAACAATTGCTACAGAGCCCACGCGGGGCGAAACTTCATGCCTCAAGGAAGCTCGCCCAAGCAATGGGCGACGGCAAGGCGCAGCTCTTCTGGCTGGAGGGATTGCTGTCGAACCGCGGGCGATTCAGCAGCTTCATGTGGTCTTTCCAGAAAAAAAAGGTCGAAGAAGCGATACTTGAGCTTGAGCGATGCACGGGCATCGTTCACAATGTCCTTCAGGTGGACGTCGCGTAAGTTGGCCCTCCCGTCCCTACCCGTCCGACTAGACTCGGGCTGACCCGCGCCTAACAGCGACGTGATCCTAAAAATGGACGACAAAGCCGAAAACGACCGACGACGAGTAGAAGTTGATCGAAGGAGAATGGAGGTTGACCGACAGAGAGTAGCGATTGACCGACTCCCCTTCGCCGACGGTGCTTCCTTTGACTCTCGAGCTGAACAACATAACCCGACTTGCCTGCAAAATACCCGAGTCGAACTCCTCAACCATATAAACAATTGGATCCATGATCCCAATGGCAAAACAATTTTCTGGCTGAATGGCATGGCGGGCACGGGAAAGTCCACCATATCGCGCACGATCGCTCGTTCACTTGCCAGCCACGGTCTGCTTGGAGCCAATTTCTTCTTCAAGAGAGGTGAGACAGATCGAGGCAACTTGGCCAAGCTCTTCACCACGATAGCACGTCAATTGGCCCTCAGTCAGCCAGCACTGGGTCCAAAGATCAAAGAGAGATTCGATTCTGACCCTACCATTGTCGGAAAGGCGGCGCAAGTACAGTTCAAGACCCTCATTCTCGACTCCTTCTCCGCTTGCGCCCACCTGTTCCGAGATGGGACGCCGCTCGTCATTGTGATTGATGCTCTAGACGAATGCGAGCGAGACGAGGACATCAAGCTCATCATCAATCTCTTTTCGCAAACTCGAGATGTTCAGCGTCCACGACTCCGAGTCTTTGTCACCAGTCGACCAGAACTGCCAGTGCGACTTGGCTTCAGTGCTGTCGAGGGCAGGTGGCAAGATTGCATCCTACACGAGATCCCTCGTCGCGTCGTCGAGCGCGATATTTCTCTCTTTCTCCAATACCAACTCAGCGAAATTCGGGCAGGCTGGAATTCTTCCGTCACCAAAAACCGTCAATTACCACCAAATTGGCCCAAGCCTACCGAGATCCAGTCACTCACCGAAAGCGCAGTCCCTCTCTTCATTTTTGCAGCAACCATCTGCCGTTTCATCGACGATCGTAAACACGGCAGTCCTGCTCGACAGTTGGAAAAGGTGTTGCACCACCAGAACAGGAGAGGCGCTTCCAAGATGCACATCATCTACTCACCCGTTCTGAGCCAGCAACTGGCCGATGCATCCGCCGATGAGAGGCAACACATCATTGAAGAGTTTCGACGAGTCGTCGGTGCTATCGTCACCCTCGCCAGTCCTCTCTCTACTATCACGTTGTCACGACTCATCGACATCCCACAGAGCACAATCGATGACAGGCTCGACATGCTTCACTCGGTTCTAAGCATTCCGAAATCCCCAGATGCCCCAGTCAGGACACTGCACTTGTCCTTCAGGGATTACCTCGTCGACACGGCGACTCGTGCTCAGAATCCATTCTGGATTGATGAAAAGGCTGTCTCAAGGGACTTGGCCAGACGATCCTTCGGATTGATGCGAGATCACCTCAAGCCTGACATCTGCAGTGTTCAAAATCCCGGAACTCGTCGCTCCGACATGGATCGTAAACTGATCGATGAGCGTTTGCCGGGCGTGGTGCAGTACGCATGCCTGCACTGGGTGTACCATCAGGAGTTGGCTGGCCTCGAGGAGGAGGATATTATGCTTGTCTATGACTTCTTAACTCACCACTTCCTTGTCTGGATCGAGGCTTTGACCCTGATTGACCGTGCGTGGCAAGTCTCGCAGCTGATCACCAACTTGCAGACTGCCCTGGTATGTACTCCGGTTTCTTTACCCGACTCTGCTTGCTGACATGTTGCAGTCTCAGTCACAGTCGCAATCCCAGAACGCCCAGCGGCTCTCAGAGTTTCTTGCTGACGCCATGCGCTTCCTGGTTTCCAACGCCACCGGCATAAATCTCGCTCCGCTGCAGGTGTATTCCTCTGCGCTTGTCTTTGCACCAAAGAACAGCCCCATCAGGCAAGCCTTCAGGAGTCAGATTCCTTCGTGGATTACTCTGGTACCATTAGTGGAGCCCGACTGGGACACTTGTTTGAGGGTGCTGGAAGGTCACCGAGGTCCAGTCAACGCCGTGGCCTTTTCATTAGATTCGTCAATCCTTGTCTCAGCTTCTATGGATCGAGCTGTCCGAGTCTGGAACTGGGACACAGGAGAGTGCATCTACGAACTCAAAGGCACCCGTGCTCCCATTTGCGCCACGGCTCTGTCGCCAGATGCAGAGGTTGTGGCGGCAGCGGCTATCAATGGAATCATCCGCATCTGGAGTCTAGCAACAGGGGCTTGCGTACACGAGTTGATGGCGGATAACGGCGAGATCTCCTCAATGGCCTTTTCCGCCGACTCCAGGTTCTTATCAGCGGTGTCGAGTGACATGGCCATATACTCCTGGAGCCGGGATACAGGAGCATGCGTGCAAGAACTCATGCCACCCGGCGGCATGGTCCGTGAAGCCATCCTCTCGCCCGATCTCAAGACTATTGTCTCTTACGGCAATGGCATACCAACCAAGTTCTGGAACTCCGGCACAGGCCAGGCCTCGTTCACTCTTGATCGCTATGAAAGGGCCTTAATCTCGCCTGACTCGAACCTGGTGCTAGCATACTTCTATTTCGACATCTATGGCCGAGGCGGTTACTCCTGGAGCTCCAAGTCCATGCATGTCTGGGGTCGAAACAGCGGCGCACTTCTCTGCGAGCTGATAGACAATGCTGGAGAAGGCCCAGGAACTGTGGAAGTGGCTGCCTTCTCTCCCGATTCGGAAACGATAGCCACGGGCTCAGTCAAGAAAGTCCAGATCTGGAGCTCCGCAACAGGCAGATGCTTGTCCACTTTCGACAATCTTCCGTCGGATGTCAAAAGACTGGTCTTCTCGCCCGACTCGAAATTTCTGGCCTTGGCTTTGCTTAACTCAACCATCCAAATCTGGAGCCTGTCTGAGAATGCTTGCGTCAACATCCTTCAAGGCCACTCAGGTCTCATCAACTCGATCCTTTTCTCCCCCGACGGCGCGGTTCTCGCATCTTTCTCCATGGACCAGACCATCCGGATTTGGGATTGGAAGCGAAGTGTTGATGAGCCACACCACCCTTTCGGAACAATAAATCAGATCAAGTTCTCTCCTGACAACACCATGATAGCAACAGTGTCAGTTGATGACATGCTTCGAATATGGAACGCCAACACAGGAGAATGTCTACACGAACTTTCAACCATGGAGTACGATAAAACCAAGCTTTCAATCGTCTTCTCTGATGACTCAAGCCTCGTGGCGCTAGGGCAGTCTGCTAAAACCTCGAGTGTCTGGAATACACGGACAGGGGACTGTGAATGGCAGTTTGAGGATGCACTGGGGTCCATTCGTCTTGCCCTCTCTCTAGACTCGCGCAGCATCGTCACAGGCTTGAATGGATATGGCGAGATCCGTGTGTGGAACCGCAGGGGCATGAATTTCGAGGTTCAGGAAGTCTTCCCGACCACCGGATATGAGATTCTGCACTTGGCCTTGTCCCCTTGCTCCAAATTCATGGCAGCAAGCATTCGCCCAACGCACTACCTAGACAGCGCGGCAGGCAAATTCCAACTCTGGGACCTACAGACCAAAAAGCTCATCGTCGACCAAAATAGCACTTCGGGGCCTCGTGAGCTCAACTTTGGGAAGGTGTGGTTCTCGAGCGATGGCGCTTTAGTGGCAACAGATCTGGAAGGCAACCTGTGTATATGGAGGCTGCCAGAAGGACGGTTTATCTCGAAGCTTGAAGACAAGACCAACTCAACCTTGGCAAAGATACCCTTCGCGGCATTCTCAGAAAAGGGGCCATATGTGGCGACTACTACATCCTATGCGGCTACTCTGGACAGCCGGGTCCCCTTGCCGTGGGCCGAGGTCTGGAACTGGCAGACCGAGGAGCGTCTGTTCAAGATTATGGATCTCACTCATGCGATTCATCAGCTTTCATTCCTGCCCGGAGACAGAGGCCTCCTCACAAGTGTCGGAGAGTGTCCCCTCCCCTCAGACTTGCGAGGCTTGACCCATAGCCGGCCTAACCAAGTTATGCACTTCCGTCAAGAACTTAGAGTCGATGTCAGGACATGCTGGGTCAAGTGGCGAGACCATGACATACTCAAATTACCGACCGACTGCCGAGACTGCCAATACTCGGTGTTAGGGTACACTCTTGCTATCGGGTGCAAAGCTGGCAGGGTCATCATTATTAGGTTTGATAGGAGGATGCTTGAAAATTTGCGGATTGAGGCGCAGATGCAGTAGTGGATATACTGACAAGAGATGGGAACGCGACACGATACACAGGATTCAGGATAATTAATAATGTAACCCATATGACGAAGCGATTTCGGACCACATAGCAACAGCATAGCATTGGGCAATACCCGACCCGCGGACCCAAAACCGTGTCCACGGGTCCGATCCCTTGATTTCCACACCGGTCTAACGGGATCATGGAAGACCAATCAAATTCCTTTTTCCGTTACCAATATCAAGATCCCGTCTGCTAAGAAGCGGCCCGACAAGCGGACTGCCACCCCGGTTTCCTGTTCTGGCAGAATTGTCTCAGGAGATCTAGATCATGCGGGACCCTGGTTATCCGAAAGGGTTCGGAATGGAACTTGTCTCTCGTATTTCTCCCAATAATAGAATCGAGACATGAGATCGGTGTCTCGGCGGAGATGTGTAAGATGGAAAGGAGGTTGCGGAGGCAGCTCCGAGCCTGTTAGGGAACGCGGAACATCGGCAGTCTCGGCTACTCGAGTAATTGAACTTGTTACTGAAAGACGTGGAAAGATCATGGATCCATTAAGGAGTGTGTTCTGGATAGCAAGAAGACAATGATTGGGTTTTTTTATTTTTGGTTTTTTTGAGAGCGACAGATGATGGAAGCTGACTTGGGGTATCATCGGTAAGTAGTTTGTCTGAGGTGGTCACAACAGATATTGTGAGCTTGCAGCTACGATATCTTTCCCAGATGTTGAACGTTACACTTGTAATATATGATAGGATACATAATACTTGCTTCAATACTACAATTCCTATTACGAAAAACAGTAGACGGTATCGGGTAGGCGTTCACGTCCGATCGCTGGAACGGAAATGAGCTGGCGGGAATCCGAAAGACATCATTGCTTCGTCCGTGACTAAACACGACCATGATGAGGAGCTTCGTGCCGTGTCAGTGGAGTCTAATGATGGCCCTCGGATGGTCCGCCAGCTCACCGACAAACGGCCTAAACAGGGAGGGAAGATTGCTTCGCCACTTGGACTTTTTTGACGCTGACTGAGAAGAGGGAGCATTGACGGAAGAGTAGAAAGGTATTTAAGGAGCATCTGGTTCCTTCGAACCTATTCATTCTTCATCACCATCAACACATTAACCATCACAACATCTAAACAACCACTCTACTTCCAATCACCAAGATGCACTCCATACTCGCCACCATGAACTGCACCTTCCGCGGCAGCAAGTGCCAGTGGGTTGGCACCGCTCCCTTTTGCGGCCACCACGCCGACCAAGGTGGCCACCTGGGCATCGACCCCCCTCACCAGGGCTGGCTGACTGCCACCGACACCGAGGACGAGAGTCTCAGCGAGCTGTTTGATCGCAAGGGCGAGGCTTTCCGAGACTGCAGAAACGACTATGGAAAGGGCTGCTTTACTGGTTACAAGGCTCTTTACTGCGAGCCTAGCAAGGAGTAGATTTTCTTCCACTGATTAAGGTACGGTATCGTTAAACTTGAGAATTAGAAGACGGACTAATGATGAAGACAGCTACCTACAGAACCACACAGCTCACAACCAAAGCAACACAGGTTTCGGGAAACATGGGTATCTTGAATGTCACAAGGGACAGGACGATTGATACCTGATCAAGCTTAACACCGAGGAGCCTTTTCACTATGGAGTATCATGTTATGAGAGTGAGGGTAAGGATTCATATTTTTATAGAAAATTTGTGACTTTGAATCGGCATTTCGACGGTTCATAGTCCCTATTATTTTTAACTTGCAGCCAACCCAGTGGAGTCTTACCGATTTGAACCACATTAGCTCAAGTCCGTAGGCAAAAAGCCTTTGGTTTTGCCAGATGAAGGAGGCGCTTAGCTGATACTTGACCAACACCCCTAGCGCTTGGTCTATGCCCGCAGGTTCTATGGTCTGGAGAATTTCGTTCACAGTATCCATGCATGAATACAACCTTGTCTGTTCTTCTGGGGTTTATGGAAACGTGTGCATTCTGGGGGTGGCGTTTCCTTGGCGATTCGGAACTAACGCCAATCGACTGAAAGTGCGAGACTCACCTGCAGGTCTGCACTGCAAATTTAACCCCCTCCAAGGAGAAAAATGTCACCTGACACCTGCCAAAAGCATGGATATCCTGCCTTGAATGGGGCCTCCTGCACAAAGACATCTCCACCAGAATCTTGGCGCAAATCAAGTGCCTCTTATCTCCCCTCGTTATCATGGAGGAGGAAATGTCTCGGATTCACCTCCCTCATTGGGCAATTTTGCCCAGTCTTGATTCGGAATAAGATTGATCAACCCCGCAGACACTCTTGAACCTTGGATTATCGATTGTCCTCCTTCACCTTCATTCATCTCATATAAGTTATGATTTGAGTAAAATTACTTGAAAATGAGCATATACGTCACCGATCTTACCGAAGCCGATATTCCTAGCGCAGTAAAGGCTGTGCAGTAAGTACTTAGCCCGGGGTGTTTCTCAACAAGTCTGAACGACTGCACTGTTTGGCATTGGGAACAATTCAAGCTGAGCATAGTACATCGAGGTGATACAAGCTGACGTACTAATAGACAGGCTTTTTCGGGAGATCCATACAATGTATGGGTATACGACCATACCAAGGTAGGCGGACGTTACTCTTTGCCTCTCAACAACCCCTACAACTTGCGCTTGCTGCTTATCCCGCCCTAGTCTCAACGTACCTCTTCAAGTTGCACTGTTGACTGATTGATTGTCTCTCCAGTTTAACCCCGAGCGGAATTCTGTGTCTCTAGGCATAAGGATGCGGTGGGGCATGCGGAATGGAATATTCCATGTTGCAAAAGAAGAGGGGAGCGACAAGGTACTTGGTGTTGCCATGTGGCTACGTCCCCAGCCTACAGATCAACCTCCCACGTGGAATGACTGGTTGGAGGGTTGGCGACTCTACATTGGTCAAATTTGGATGAACCTTTACTATGGCAGGGGAGGCCTCAATGTAAAGGTACCATGACATCCCTCACTTGTCACACCAAGAAGCTAACCCGCGACGTAGCGATATTACATCTGGAAAGATGCCCAAGCCAAAGCTCAATCAGAGCTCTGGACTGACCCCCGAGGATACTACTTTCTCAATATCATGGTGGTTCTACCAGAGGCACAAGGGAAGGGGGTTGGTGCGCAGATGATGAAGGCCGTTACGGATCAGGCTGATGCTGAGAATATGAAGTGTTATCTGGAGTCAAGCCGTGACGTTCCTAACGTGGCTATTTACGGACGATGGGGATTCAAGTTTCAGAAGGATATGATTTGTGATGATGGTGGAGACGCAATCAAGCTGTTTACTATGATTAGGGAGCCAAATGCAGAGCCTGGGAATGGGAGGCAGTCATGATAGCAATGGGTACGACGGTATCGGTAGTTGAGGATATGGGAGCATCAGAAGTTACCCATTAGTAACACTGAACAAGCAATACTCAGAAATCCCCAATATGGGTACACATGATCCCATGATGCTTATCTACACTAACAGATACCGGTCTCGGAACCGACGCTTGCCGCTTGTGTACACTGTCATTGAAGCCCCGAAGTGCGGGGTCCCGGCTTACCTCTATCAGTTAGCCGTTCGGACCCGAGGGAGGCCTTATAACCCCGCCTGTTTCTTGAATCAAGACTTGATAACTGTTTCTTCCTCCTTCATAAGCACATTGAGTTGTTGAAGTTGCTGTAACCCCTGCACGGACTAGTATCTACCAGCATTCAGGCGTCTCTTCAAGTATGAATCACCATTTCTCAACGTTGATTACATGAAGCTAACCATCAGAATCAGAATACACAATGGCGGCTTACGAAGCGACAGTTGCTTCGGCGAGGGCCAAGCGTGATGAGTCCCTCGCCAAGGTTTCCCCCAAATTGGAGGGGATCCCAGAGGAACTACCCCTCAACTCCCAGGGTCTGCCCAAGGCCATCTTGACCGAACGTGAGATTGAAATCACCGAAAACTACTCCGTCACAGAGTTGCTTTCTCTTTTGCGAGAGCGAAAGATCAAGGTGGAAGAGGTCACGAGGGCGTTTTTGCGGAGAGCCGCGTTGGCCCAGGCTGCTGTACGCCCTATGCCTTGTCATCATGTCACAAAGTGGATACTATCGGCTAACGACTTTAGACAAATTGTCTTGTGGAACTCATGTGGGACGAGGCGATTGCCCGTGCTCAGCACCTCGATTCACTCCCCGAGCCGAAAGGAATGCTGTTTGGTCTTCCAATCTCCACCAAGGAGCATCATGGCATGGTGGGCGAGAATGTCACCACCAATGCATCATTTGTAGCCTGGATTGGCAAGCCTCATGGGTCCAACCTGCTCTATGACACTCTTTACGATGAAGGTTGTGTCTTTTATGCGCGAACTACTCAACCGCAAACAATTATGCACCTCGAGACTATCAGTGTTGTCTATGGTCGAACGGTTAACCCCTATAACCGCGACCTGACATCTGGAGGAAGCAGTGGTGGTGAATCTGCTCTTTTGGGTATCCGTGGAAGTATCTTGGTAAGGCGCGTCCCACTCTGCTAAGAAAATCTCTAACGATGCTAGGGCGTTGGTGGTGATATTGGTGGTAGCATCCGATGTCCTGCAGCCCACGTTGGTGTTTACGGGTTCAAGTATGTGATCCAACGGTTATGAAATACGAACCAAGTCTAACTGTTCTCTCCAGGCCAACTCTCAAGCGCATCTCAGTCATGGGCGGACGAGCACCCATGGCTGGCAAGGAGACCATCGCCTCAACCCCAGGCCCCATGACAGTCGACCGTGAAGCTCTGGAGCTGTTCATGAAGGCCGCCCTGGCATCCAAGCCTTGGAAGATTGACCCTTCGCTGACTGTCAAGGAATGGACCCCGTACACTTTTACGAGACCTATCAAGGTCGCCGTTATGTGGTGGGATGGCGTTGTGCAGCCCCATCCCCCCATGACCCGGGCCTTGACCGAAGTTGCGGAAGCTTGTCGAAAGGCAGGCATGGAGGTTGTGGATTGGGATCCCGTGCCGCTTTTCCATGACAAGGCCTGGGATATCATCTCCGAGTTGTACTGGCCTGACGGTGGCGAGGAGGCTCTCAAGACTATGGAGGCTAGTGGAGAGCCTATTCTGCCCCTCACCAAGTTTATCATTCAGGAGCAGCCCAAGGTCAAGAACCACACTCAACATGAGCTTTGGAAGGTACGTGTCCATTTTCGAGTGTCCAAGTTTCGGCGCTAACATGTCTCAGCTTTGCACTGAGCGAGAGGATTACCGCGCTGCATACGCACGCGCCTGGACAAACACAGGTAAAGACGGACAAGAGGTCGATGTCATCCTCTGCCCACCCTCTTTCGGAGCCGCTACACCCCACGATCAGTCACGCTACTGGGGATACACAGCCCAATGGAACCTCCTCGATTACCCAGCAGCAGTCTTCCCAGTCACGACTGTCGATCCTACCAAGGATGTCAAGAATACTGGCTACGTGCCCAAGAACGACCAAGACAAGTTTGTGTACGACATGTATAGCCCAGAGAAGTACAAGGATGCTCCCGTCAGCTTGCAACTTGTTGGCCGACGACAGTATGATGAAAAGGTCCTTGCTGCGCTGAAGGAGATTGAACATGCTATGGGTAGAAACTAGAGCATATTAGACAAGACTAAAATGTTGAATTGTTTTTAATACACAGCATCATTTGCATGCAGCTCATTATCCTCTCTATGCTCGCTTATCTGATGGTGCTGAGGATACGACCTTCTGACTCAGCTAACCCATCAAGGGCCGCCCTTCAATTATAAGAAAGAATGCCTTCTAGCACATCATAGCATCATCCCAGTGCCAAGACGCTGGGAATGCAACAAGCGTGATTTTGAGCACCGAATAATTCTACTCTAGCCTAAGTATGTACATCTTTTCAAGGAAGCCTTCGAGGTTCAACACTCTCCAAGGTGGGCTTCACTGGCAGGAAGAGTCCCGTATCTTGATCAATGTACAGCTTGTCGATAGTAGTCTCCCTTTTGAAGCCACCACCACCAGGAATCTGGAAGCGATGATAAACAATGTACCACTCATCAGTTCCAGGAATGTTCAGCACCGAGTTATGTCCCGTGCCGAGAATGCCAAGAGAGGTATCTTTCTGCAGGATAACCCCTTGGTAAGTCCAGGGACCAAGGGGGCTAGATGCCGTGGCGTAGCCGACGCGGTAGTTCTCAGACCCGGTATCATCGATAGAATATGTCAGGTGATAAGTTCCATCGCGATAGTTGACAAAGAGACCCTCTCGGAAGTTGACGAGTCCTTCAATCCTCTTCCAGCCGGGCTTGAGAGAAATCATGTCGTCAGCCAACTCGGCGACAATGGGTACGCCGTTGCCCCAGTAGATGTAGTACTTTCCAGTCTCTGGGTCTTGGAAAGCAGCGGGATCGATGGATTGGTTGCTGACAATCTCTTCATCCTTGGTGCCTTGGATCATGGCCTTTGACTGGGCCTTGAAGGGTCCTTCGGGGTGATCGGCGACAGCCACTCCAATGCTCTTGTGGCCTTCTGAAACTGAAGGGTTGTTACCGCTATGATAGAAGTAGTATTTTCCATCTCTAGCTGCGAAGCCAGGCGCCCAGGCATTGCCGGTGGCCCAAGGGACGTTGCCGTTCTCGCCGTCGAGGACAAGGAAGGGCTCCTCGCTTCTAGTCCAAGAGACGAGATCTTCAGACTTCCACCAGAAAAATTCGTTTCCACCCCATCCTGGAAAGCCATCAGTCGTGACGTAGAGGTAGTAGGTGTTGTTCACGACGGCAATGTTGGGGTCGGCCCAAAGGCCTGGTAGGACGGGACTATCTCTCTTAACGAGAGCTCGGGAGAATGCCCCCTTGGCTGCGAGAAGAGCCAAGAGAGCACTCAAGTTGGACCGAGACCAGAGATGCATAGCAAAATAGTGAAGGAGACTCGAAGTATGGACAGGACGATGGGCTGAGCGTGATCATCCAAAGCATCACCTTTGCTGTGCTGTATTTATAGTACTAACTTGCCGGCCCCGGCTTCCCCGGATCGCTCCAGACTTGGAAAGTGACAGCCGATCATAGAAGTTTCTCCGAATTTTAAAGTTGGCGATAGAATACGATTCGTGCGCAAGACAAACAAACACGCTACCCCGCGAGTAGACGTTGCATTGCGGGGATGGCCCGTGACTCCAGGTTAAGCGCTCAAGTCGTGATGTAGGATACTCTCAATACATCCGTATTTAAGAGCGCAAGGGGGTCAACGCCCGGCTCCTAGCCTTATTTGGGCAGTTTGAGCATATTGTAGATGTAATATGGCACGTCAGTCAGGCCAGTCGACGTGATAATACTCCTCCGAGGTTTTGGGGATGTAGAGATTCGTCATTGGTGCCCAGAATGTTGTTGTCTTGGCATAGTCCCATTAATGAACGGCTACTCGGCCTACAGGGTTCATGACTATTTTCTAGAGAACGGAGAAGCGTGATAGCCTGTGTTTACCTGTCGCATGCTGTTATTTGAAAAGGCTGGACTCCAGGAAAGGTGATGGTAATGGAAGTTCATGTCTAAACGTGTTCGGCAGTGTCTCTTTTCGGTCCATGGGAAATGTCATCTAACAAATAATGTATTGATCAATACCTATGATTCAAGGATGGGTACTCATTGTATATAGTGTAAGATTTCTAGTTCCAACATTTATACTCGTTAGAATCACATTCAGTTCCATGGGAGCGGAGCCTCGGAATAACCTCGCAAGCGACTGATCTGATTGACTCGTCCGAAAATCGGACCAAAGTCACCAGCCTCAAATTAATGTCTCAGCTCTCGTCAGTGGCTGGTTTAGCCCCCAGCAAGCGGGAGAATAGCGGTCCAACTGTTCCCCGACTGACCCATGCCAAGTGAGTTAGCATTCCAGAAGTTCGTGTTTTAGCTGAGTAATGGGGGCAACCGGTTAAAAATCCTCCCGATTGTTTGGAACTTTTTGGTGCATCGTGAGGCTTCAACTTGGATTGAGGCTCGGCGACTTTTTAATCGCCATGAGAATAAAAATGCAAGTCAGCAGCTGTTTTATAGTAGAAGTAGAAAACTCACCAAGAGCTTCAAAAACATCAAAATGACAACAAAACGAACAATTCTCCTGACGGGCTGCTCTGATGGCAGTCTCGGCTCTGCCCTCGCCATCGCCCTTCACAAACGCGACTGGCGCGTCTTTGCCTCTGCGCGCAACCTTGCAAAATTGACGGCCGTGAAGAATGCAGGCATTGAGTGCATCCAGCTTGATGTTGGTTCCGAAGAGTCAATTGCTGCTGCTGTGGAACATGTCAAGCAACTGACCGGCGGCTCCTTGGATGGACTCGTCAACAATGCTGGCACAGGCTATAGCATGCCCATTATCCACATCGACATCGAAAAGGCTCACGACTTGTTCGAGCTCAACGTCTTTTCCATCATTCGTGTCACTCGGGCGTTTCTACCCCTGCTGCTCAAGTCAGACCGCAACCCCATCATCGCCAACAACACCTCAGGATCAAGCCTTCTTGGCTGTGCGTTGCCTTTCCAGGGAGCATACGGTGCTTCCAAAGCTGCGGCAACCAGCATAACCGAAAGTCTTCGCATTGAACTTGACCCTTTTGGCATTCGTGTCATCAACCTCTTGACTGGCGGTGTCAAGTCGACCTTTCATGACAACTCCCCTCATCCTGTGCTTCCTGCGGACTCAATCTACAACCTTGCCAAGGAAGACATCGAGGCCACAATGTCCGGAAAAGAGAAAGGCATTGTCAAGCCCGATGCGACGACATGGGCGAATCAGGTTGCTGCGGATATTAGCCAGCGTAAACCACCGTATCTAGTGTCGAGAGGAGGAAAGGCAGGTACAGCTCGACTCGCCACTTTGCTTCCTATTGGCTTGACAGATGGTACCATGAAGAAGATGGCGGGTATAGATGTGCTGGAGAAGAAGATTCAAGACAAGGGTGGGTTGGAAAAGATCAAGCAGTCTTGAGCCAACAACCTAGTCTTGCCCCGGCGGAGCTCCAGTTTCTGTCCCTGGTTTATTTCTTATAAGAAGCCAATTTTGAGAGCCTGCGTCGTGCTTTCTGCCGCGATCTTCGATTCGGTTCTCGCCATTTGGAGCGCGTCGCGTATGGTGTCGAGGTCTGGGATATTGTGGATCTTGTTGACGAGGGATAGTGCGCCTATGGCCATGACTTTGACCAGGCCTTGGGGAATGGGCTGGTCTCGCGCGTTCGATGCACAGGAGGGCTTCCCTGAGGTATTTGCTAAGTTGCGTGGCCTGCTCGCAGAATTCGAGGCGTATGAGTTCTGCTTTGGGGCTGTTGTTTCAAAAATTCGTTCTCGCTGTTGTGAAAAGTTTTGCCCCTCTTTTCCCCCCGCGCCCGTCCTCTAGGAGCCTTTCGTTCCTCAAGGCATAAGGAATGTAGCTGCACTCTAACTTAAGAATAGGCCCGAGACGCAAGCGGCGCGATAAATTGCGGCCTGAACTACTCAGTAGTCCGTTTGCGTCTAATTGATTTATATATATAATAGTATCGGCATTTTAGCTGGATAGACATCATTTTAAACAGCTCCCTAACATTATTCCTAAACTCCTCTAGGCTACTGACTTTTTCATTCTCCTAACATGGATACTTCGAGATGTTTTCCTTGGGTAAAGTCGCAAAAGCCTCGGCCGTATAACTTCAACACCGATGATGTGCTCCCGGTTCATTCATCTGACGATAGATCTTTATACCGAAAGGTCTTGCTCAGTTGGACTCTCCATTTTGACGATGTCCTTGACACTGAGATGCTGCAAAACTCACTTAGCCTCCTTCTGAAAACAAGCAACTGGCGGAAACTCGGCGGTAGGCTGCGGCAGACGGTAAATAAGATCTTGAACACGAAAGAGTTTATGCTAACAATTTCAGGCCGACGGGAAGCTGGTTTTGCACATACCAAAAGAGTTCACGCCCGAGAGACCGGCAGTCCGATTCTCTCACCAGTCCTTCGGCACTTCCATCGATCAACACCCTCTTGCTCGTCAACTACCAAGGGCAACCGAGAATCGTCCATCCAAACACTTGGGCCCAAAGACATTTCGGTTGTTCAGTGCACGTCCAGATGCCCCAACTAAACTTCAAGACCTGCTACGTGGCGATGAGCCGCAACTATCGGTTCATATCACGTCCTTCAGCGACGCAACACTTGTCGGCCTGCGATGGCCCCATACAATGACAGGGGCAATTGGGTTGTCCGCGTTGATGAATGCGTGGTCACTCGCACTCGCTGGTCGATGGAGTGAAGTTCCTCAGCTTCAGGGCGTGCATGAGGATCTGTTGGATGAGGCTGATGCGCGGTTTGATCCGGATCAAGAACCATATTCCCTAGCACAAGCACAACTAAAGGGGCTTAAGCTATTGCGATTTGGTTTACGATTCTTCTTCAGGACTTGCTTTCGTCGGAAAAAGGAGCTTGGGATGCTTTACTTGCCAGCTTCTTTCGTCTCAAAGCTCCGCCAAGAAGCATTCAACGACCTCAAATCATCTTCCAGTGAACCAGTGTTTGTCAGCGACGGCGACGTTCTTTGCTCCTGGGCTACGCGAATGATGGCTCGTCAGCAGGGAAAGCAGCGACCTGTTCTAGTTCTGAACATTTTCGATATCCAATCCCGCCTCAAGTCAATCTTCAGGCCGGAGCATGCGTACGTTCAGAACACAGCTTTCGGGTCTTTGTCGATATTCAGGTCAGGCGAAGTCTCCAGTACCTCGTTCGGAAAAACCGCCTTCAGGATTCGCGAGGACTTGATCCAGCAGTCCACCGAAGAGCAGATTCTCGCCCAGTTACACCTTTCCAGAGACGCCGAAAAGCTTGGCCATCCACTCATCTTTGGAGAGCCGAAATCTCTTCTTCTTATGATTAGCAACTGGACTAAAGCCAACTTTTTCGAAGTCATTGACTTTTCCCCCGCAATAGTAGAAGGAAAAGGGATCACGAAAGCGGGATCCCTGAGGCAGGGGAAAATAGTTTATCACCATTCCGAGGCTCTAGCCCAGAGCCCTATGGCTACCAACGTATTTGTTATTCTGGGAAAAGACCAAGAGGGTAATTATTGGGTTGCGTCGTCGCTCTCGCCTGACAGCTTAATAGATGTAGAAGATGCCGCTAAGCGAGAGTAATTTATAACCATTTATATATTAAGAGTAACGTACTCCACAAGCGAGTGTCTTAAAAATCTTGACCTTTTAACGTACATCATAAGCGAGTGAGCCAGATAAGCGAGTAAGCCAAAAATCCTTAACCTCTCGGACTAAAATCATAATAAAAACACTATAGATAATTTAATTAATTAAAACCACTCGCTATATTCTTCCCTAGATATCTTAATTACTACCTAATAGATCCTTGTATTATGACCGGGCTTATCGCAGACACTATAACGCCGAATACCCGGTCGCGTTAACCTCCCTTAACCACCACTTCTCGATAATTCAGCCACTACCTGCGCATCTACATCCATTTGATCAATTACTTGCCTTCCTTCCTCTACTGTCATTACCCCTCTTTTGTGTAGCCGGGTTCTTTTTGCCCTCCGGCGCCGGCTTAGTGCCTCATTTGCTAGTCGAAGCTCTCGGACCTCTGCCCTCACTAGAGCCATCTCATGCATATTTCCCTAGACGCCTCAATAGTCCAAGCCACCAGACCGATAATTGGCCAAAAACGCGATAAAATGGACTCAGCCCCTCGTGACATTTCAGCTGCGATTGTTGACCTCACACTTTGTCGAGCGGCCTCTGTCGCTCTTCAGAGACCTCATGGCTGATCCTCTGAGTATCGCCGCTTCTGTTGTTGGCCTGGTGGCTGCTGCGGGCAAGGTCTATGGCGTCTTGTCCAATTTTGTTTTCACGGCTGTGGACGCGCCCAGCTCCGCAGCCTCAGTTCTCGGGACGGTTGAACAGATGAAGCTGACGCTCTCCTCGGTGCAATCCCTCATCGACTCTATCGAGACTCTCGACCCCTCTCGGAAAGCCTTGATCCAGCTCGATCATCTTTCTATCGTTATAACCCATTCCGTCTTGACGATTTCTGAGCTCGAGTCCCTTGTCTGTCCCAAAGATGGGCTAATGCACCGCCTTCGATGGGCATGGAGTGAAAAGAAGGTCATGGGCCTCTTGCCGAGACTTGAGTCTCAAAAGAGCTCGTTATCGTTGATGGTGGCAGTTTTGCAGAGGTTCGGCATACCCACAGAACGTACTGGATGTCACTAACTTGAGCTGCTATATAGTAAATCCGAGCTGGAGGCTCGCACCAGCCATACCACGCTCCTTTCCAAAGTGGACGAAGTCTTGCAGCAGAATGAAGCCCTCGCACATCGCTTACAGCGTCTCGAAGGTAACCTCATGATGTCTGATAGCCGCTCAGTCAAATTCTTTGATGATGCATCATCCATCATCTCCAAGAGACTGTCTTTTCTGAGCGTGAGAAGTGTTGACTCCTCTTCCTCCTCCATCTCATCGACATTACAGAAGAGACAGTCCATCACCATCACGAGTCCCTCCATCGTCGCTAGGAATGACTTTGAGCTAGCGCTTGAAAGATCTCGAGTATACAACCGAACCCAGTTGAACGAATCTGACATTTCGTTCACGTCATCGACAGCACCAACTGATGCTTGGAGTATGCTGTCAGGTTTGAGTTTGAACGACATATCCATCGTGTCGGCTTTCCGGCTTCCGATCACCCTTGACGATATTGACCTCCTGGCGCCTGGGTCAACCTTCTCCATATTGCTTACTGAGCAGCTAACCGCAACTACTACAACTTCTACGGTTGTGGAGGGGCCACCCAGACGAGAGGATACTCAGACACCAATCCAAGCAGTGCCGGGGCCAATAAGGAGGCCAACTGGTGAGCGTAACAAGGGCTCGACGCGACTGGTTGCCTCTGCTTTGAGAGGCTACCAGGCTAAAAGAGCTGTAAAGTATGTTTCAGAATGCAGCGCGTATGATAGGGTTGCTAAGAATACGTACAGAATCGTCGTCATCGGGGATGACAATGCAATGAAGAACAAAATCCTTCAGACTTACGCGTACCCGAGAGGCGCCACATCACGCGAGTATACGCCAAAAACCTTTGAGAATTTTGTTGTGGAAGTCAAGTAGGTGCCCAAGCTAACATCCTATCAGACTGTTAACACAGAGCAGGGTTAATAACCACTTGACACGACTAGCGCTGTATGATACGACCGGCCAAGAGAGGTACATGCGGCTTCGAGTTCTGGGCTACCAATCAACTAGCATATTTCTTGTGCTTTCACGGAAGACAAAGTCAGGCCCTGAATTGTACCAGGTTGAGAACAAATGGATCCCTGAGATCATGGAGCACTGCCCCGGGACCCCTTATCTCATAGTGGGGACATACAGGAATAAACCTGGGGTGGAAGCACTGCCTGATAACTCAGTTGAAGGCGGCCGGGTCGCGGAAAGGGCTGGCGCAATTGGCTACACTGAATGTGATGTGGAAGATCCTACCAGTGTGAGCGCAATGTTTGGCAAGGTGAGAACATCAGTCAACCACAGGACGAAGTGATTAACATTGGGAACAGGCCATCGCAAGAGCATTAGGACTTGACAAGACATCATCAGGCAGGCTTAGGGACTCACTACGACGACGGTCCTTGAAGCCGTTGATTGAAACTGAACAGTTTGATGAGGAGTGACAAGATTGAGCACATGGGTATTATTTATTTGATGGCTGGGCATTACTGAGGACTCCATTTTGCTGTTGTTTTTGTGATATCCGCGGAGGATGGACGGGCACACTTGGGGACTTGGGACACTGAAACTGCTTGACATGCATTCACGAAACAAGATAACCGGGTCACTCAAGTATAGTATCGGAATTTTTGGAAAGTCTACAGGCCCTGATCCAAACAAATGCCTAAATCACAACAGAACCTTCCTTTCCCCCGACCACTTAGTTGATGATAATGTTGAGCTCAAGATCGTTGCCCTGAGAAACCTTGTACTCAGTAGCAATGGTCCTGCGGTCAATGTTGAGAATGGACTGCGAAGTACGCTGAGACTCCCTAGAACGAGTCCTGTCGGAAGCGTTGCCGTAGTACTCAGGCAGGGCCTTGACGCAGGTGACGTCGTCGGCGAGGCCGGTGACGGTGTCGACCCAGGGCTTGTAGTTGTGGACGCCCATGGCGATGAAGAAGGCCTCCTTGCCCTGCTCCGTCTTGAAGCGGAGCATGCCAGAGGTGCCGCTGTCACCCATGGTCAGGGTGAGGACGCCGTTGTGCTCGCTCCACTCGGCGCCCTTGGCGTAGTGCCAGCAGCCCTTCTCCACGATGTGGAAGTAGGCGTTGGTGTTGGTCTGGTAGACGCGGACCTTGATGGTGTAAGGCATTCTGAGGGGGCGTTAGTGAAGGGCTTGAAGGTGATGTTGGAAGACAAACTTGAGTGTGTTGCTTGAAGCTTTTGTGTAGTAGAGAAGTGGTTGTAGTTGTGTAAGAGGCAGTGAAGTTGCTAATGATGTTTAGAAAGGAGGGAGAACCGTCGAGATGAGGCCTTTTATATCTGTCGAGAGTCACTTTCGATAAGATCAAGACGAGCCCGACGGCCCGAGATGCGAATACGGAGAGTCAAGACGCGTCAGCGGAAAAGGGAGGATCAAGCATGTCTCAATACTTGTCTGTACGATTTGTCAAGATCACCATCCAACTGACGACAATTCACATGCGTGGCCTGTATACTCTGGTCCATTGGCTTCAAGACCCTGCACCAGAGGCAGCGGTCAGTGTCTCGAGATGCAATGCAACATCGGGGTCTTGTCTGAGTTGCCCTTGCCTGTGAAGCTGTGAGGTCACATATGCGTTTTCGAGAGGGGTTATGATTTTGTTCACCAATTTGTCTCGGATAGGTCATCTAATGCTGACTAGTCCGATGACACTCATTCTTCATGTCAAAACAAATAGAGTATAGGTCTTCCTCGGCTATCCAGAAAGGAGTCCGTACCCAGTTTAGACTTGTGCTTCAGCTCTCGGCCCGTCCCTCTACGGGTGAATCTTTACCACATTGAGCGCATGAGGAAGCTTGTCCGAGTTCTGCGGGACTCGGTACTATCGAACTGTCTTTCAGTCTAGCGTAGCTGCATAAAATGATTCACTCAAGGTGAGACATATCAACGCTGGCTGCACCACCTTTGTAGCCCAACACATCAGGGTCGTGCGGGGTTGAGCTGCCTGATGCTTGGAATGACCAAAGTCTTGGCCGAGGATGATGTTCGAATTACGCAGCGTTTTCTTGTGATCCACGCTTCCTCAGCTCTTCTCAAACACTTCCCAGTTCTTCCATGCCAATTCTTTGCTAAGCCGGCTCCATGCCATAAGAGAGGGTCTGAACTCATCTACGAAAGGGAATCCTTCGCTTAGCCATGTTTCTGTAGCCGACAAAGAGTCGATCCTAGCTTAGGAACTCATCGGACAATCAATTGAGGGGTAATGCATGTAATCTCGCCAAAAGGCTGCTGTCTGGGCTCTTTGAACGTAGCGGGCAAGACATACATATTTCAGCTCGCCACAAGTTCTCAACTCGGTCAGCCAGCCACATGCAGCCGTGCCACCTCAGCCAATCGGTTCCGCAACATCGGCTGCCAAGTCGTGTCTTTGACGAGACAAGTTGTCACGCCACAGCGTCAGTCCGGTCTATGATCAACTGAGGGGTTGTGCCCGTCAGAGAAAAGAATAGAAGATTTGCCTGTCGGTTGACCAACGAAATCCGACTTTCTGCATACCGGCACAAGCCGCCAAGTTCCGGCCCCTGCGTGTGTTGAAGACTCGAGATTTGATTCGATTCACTGAAACATGGCTGCGGTGCTGAGCGTTCTTTGACGACTCGGATGAAAGATCGACAAAGAAGTAGTCATGAAATACTGAATAATGGGCTGAGATCTGTCTAGTTGATGTCTGACTTCCCCGCTACTGCCTCCGACTGCCGAAGCTACTGCCAGGGTCTGCATGGGATTGCGGGTCATTATGAGGACAAGCCGAAGACCAGGTACCTTAGAGGGTTGAGATGATACGTGTAGTACAGAAAACTTGGGCTGAGGTACAAACGCTGTTTTTGTCCCGTCAAATATTGGCTGGCCAGGGGGTTGGATTGGCTACGGGTCCCGTTAACGAGAGCTTGTCCCAACGGCTGCTAAAAGACCACTCTACATATTCAGATATCACCATGCTTTGTACACAAGTTGCATGATATCATTAAACATTGGTCTATACCTATCGACAGAAGAAAAGAAAGAGGATATGTGCTTAGCAGGCTATCTATCAAGGCATAGCAGACATGGAGATTTCCTTGCCAGGGTAAGGACATCTAATTTGCAAAGCCCAGATACGTCGTCATCCTCCGCAGCGCCTGGTTTTCACCCTCCATCGTCCCAGTGACCGTTTTGTCAACCCACCCATTCGTCCATCCACCCGCCAAGTCAATAAGCCAAGCGTCGTTGTTCGGATCAATGACCACATTCGCTGCCTTGCCATCACCCCAGAAAAGCCCAAAGCTGTGTAAAAACCCCATTGTCTCACTTATCTGAAGTAGCCATTTCTGCCTCAGCTTCTGGGGTACGTTGTTCAGACGAATCTGGCTTAGGGTGCCTCCATATTCTCCTGGCTCAACAAAGTCGCGTAAGAATCCAAGTACAGCCCCCGAGTCGGCATGGACTATGAGCCCTCTGAGCTGTGGAATTCGTAGCTGGATTCCAGCTTTGATGCAAGCTTGGTATATCTTGTGATGGGTCTCAACCTCTTTATCAAGGTCCGAGTGATTGATCCCGCTTGCAAAGGCCTTGCAAAATAGAATACGTGACCCAACTCGCGCTTTTGCGGCGCTAAAAATACCTCCAAGGTATTCCTCCTTGATCATGATGTCTTTTGATGAGTATCTGGGAAGTGAAAGGCCGGCTGGGGGCCCGTAGGTGAAATTGGGATCTGGCACGTATTCTTTACGGACATACGCCGCATCTTCTGGTGAGATGGGAAAGATGGCGAGTTTACCATCGACGGTTTGTAGGCGAAAGTCATATTCTTTCGGATAGAGGGCAGAATGTAGGTCTGTGGGAGGAAAGTAGGGAACCGTTAAGGGCGGCGCGATCTTGGCGAAGGGAACGGCTCCAATCTCCATGATGGACATGGCTATATCATCGACGAGAAGCGCATATTCCTCCATATCGTCCATCGCAATATCAGCAGCTTCGGCCAAGTCAAGGATGAATTGGTCCTCGAATCGTCCTCCCTCATTTTCGCCTCCGTTATCTCCATCTAGCGAACTGGCAAAGACAGAGAGGGTGATCTGTTTGCCATTTAACTCGAACCTGATATCAGCCCTGTCATCAAAATCGACGTGTTCTCCGGCATTGATGCCTCCGGCGATGAACTCGGAAAATTCCACGTAAGGTAGTTCGCCACTCATGGCGCAAGAGATGGCTGAGATAAGGCGAACAAAAGAGATGATGCAATCGCGAAGTGGAAAATGTTGGAGAAGCGCGTCAGCCTTTTACGGGTGCACTTAAGAGGGTTTCAGAAAAAGCTAATTCGCCTGTGCGGGGAATGCCTTTATGACTCCCCGTACCATCACCAACTTCAATGCTTCCCACCCTATAGAGTCGAAGAAAACCAGCAGCAGCAGCGGATAATGCGAGGTTTGCAGTTTAAAAATGAGAAATGGTTTAAGTTTGAGTTTTTTTGAACGGTTATAAACTATTTCATATCGAAACAGTCATGGGATTATGCGGCGCAACGAAGGAGTGAGTTTAAGCACCTGGACTGCTTTCCATCCACATTTAACACCACCAAGGCCGCCTTTTTGCGTGATTGATCTCTCAGTAACCCAAGATCTTGTTCACCTCAGACACAAGGCCCTCCTTTCCTTTGGTCGCCTCCGATGTGTTCAAAGGGCTCAATCCCATTGCAAGCCTGCCAGAGTCACTTAGAATGTCCTTGGTAGTCCCCCTGTCCGCAAACTCGGACTCTCCGCTACCACCGGGGAAGTCAGGTGGAGGGACTCCCTTCAGAAAGGCATCCCGCTGCTGTGCGACATATTGCTACACGAAATTAGCTAGAAGTTCTCCCCGAACAAGGCTCAAGCATCTTACCGCGTTGCTAGCTGTCAGCGGGACAGATGGAATGTAGAAGACGCAAGCGTCGACGTTTCCTGTGTTTTCGCTCTCTGTGCCGTGTATAGTGTCGGCACTCCAGAACACTGGAGATGTTAGCTTGACATTGTTTTGACTTCATGGGAACCTACCAGTGTCACCGGGCTCCACAGTTGGATAAGGTATCATGGTTTCACTCAACAGTAGATGAGGGTGATGGTCAGGGTTATGTTCCTGCGAAGTTCCAGGGTTCGCCCCATGAAGGAAGACATTTCCATCGTCATCGTCGAGTGAGAACTTCCATCCATTGAGTGAACCCTTTTGAGTGGGCTTGAAGAACGGACGGAGCATCCAGTAGGCCGTAGATGGCTGCAAGATGGGATGAACGACGAGAGTTCCTGGTTTGATTAGCCATAGTTCGGCGTACAAAAGGTTGCTAACTCACCTTCGCTAGGTCCATGTCGAGACAGCCCAAGCCAGCTTTGGAACGTGCGGAACACAGAGCATCCTCCTGGTCCCTCATACATGTTCATATTGGCGTCGAGCCGGCCAGTGAGATCCCAAGGGTCATATTCTTGCCACTTTGCACGGTTAATGACATGTTCTATAGAGCAAGAGCTTTAGCTTACTTTTCCTTGAAATATCTTGCGATAAACATGGTTGTAGGCTTTGTCCTCCCATCGTTCCACCCCTCCACCATCAACGTGTGGCGAAAGGGCAAATTGTTTATCGCCAGGGGGTCGAATCTGAACTCGGTCGCAATAAGAAAGAGGAGTGCTAAGGTCAACTATGATCGGCCGAGTTAGATTCTGCGGACAAGCGCATCGGAGAAAGACTACTAGCTTTTCTGATCTGCATCGGCGTGGTAAAACTGATTCATCCACGATTGTGTGGCCAGCATGTTTGGATGCGACCTCGCCTTGACCTGGGATGGGCTCCAGTACGACTCGTAAACGACCTGGTTCGTGTTAAAAAAGCGATCTGCGACGGAGGTAAAGTATTACTGACTTTTTGGTCGGCATCTGATGGAAAACCCTTGAACGCGTGCTTGGAAAAATACTTGCGGACGTCGCTGAGAAGTGCTTCAGTCGTGTCCTTGGGCACAACCCCCCTGATGACAGCAACGCCGGTTCTTCGAACAGCATCAATGCTTGCCGAGGAGACATTGTTAGTCTGAATGTCAGAGAATTGGATCTGAGGAATAATCTGCTCGAGTTAGCATAACCCCATATCATCTTGGGGCAGTGCATAATCTTTCACAACGTACAGATTCGCGCTTTTTCGCAACTTCCTCAGTCCGGACTTTGAGAACCTCAACCAGATGATCCCAAGATTTCTGAATTTGCTCTTCAAATCCAGCGGTGAGGTTCGCCTTGAGGTCTCGGAACCGTTCGGGCAGGGGTTCGGCTTTCCGACCAGAGAAGGACGTGAAAACAGAGGAGATATCGCCCTCCTTCTTATCCTTTCTATTGAAAGAAACGGCCTCGGTTGCCATGCGCCGTTTGGAGGCCATGGTTCCTGCACATTTTCCAGCAAGAAATGTTGAGCACTTCAGGCACTTTGATGCCACGGATCTGCTTGTAAGGAGAGTCATGGCGTCGCGTCGTTGGCTAGGTGACTGGCGGATGTAGAGGTAGATGGGTTGTCATTCGCAGCAAATGATTTCTTTCCATGCCGCTTTTATAATCAACTGCTCTGCTTATTGATAGCAAGTTTGGGCACCTGAAGTAGCCGAGTTGGAAGTTCGACGTTGAGGGAGCTTCACGGTGTTACCCAAATCGGCAATTCCGGCGCCGCCTTTACACGGGAACGCCGGTGTGCCACTTGCGAAACCAATCTCTTTCCAATGAAATATTCTTCGATCGTCAAAATGAGGTAATGGGACTCTCAAGAAGCATATCCGAGGTCTCGGGGTTCATGTGGCGCAGAAGATGGTCCTCCCCATTATTTCCTCCATTTGTGCGGGGCCCCGCGATATCTGGACTCCATCCCCATCTCGGCCTTCCTGGAACCAGATTCGTGATCTCATGAACGAACAGACTTGATTGGACGATACCGAGTCATGATATGTTGGAGACGCTGGCAGAGGACCGACACAACCCAAGAGTCGGCGGAATTGCCAATTATAGCAGGTCCACGTTCGTTCGTGTCATGTTGGGGAACAGAGTCATGATGCGATATGACGGATTGTTATTACTCCACGTCCTTGGAACAACATCATACCTATTAATCGTTGGTGTATCTTCAGCCATGGGCTACAAGTTGATGAGTCCCGGCTTCACGCTTTGACGTCACTTTGTGGCACCGACCCTTGCAACAAACACATCGACGCTGTGAAGAGCGGGTAGAGCATGACTGACGTTCCTTTGTGACAACATGCGTAATGAGGCAACCATCTTAAGATTATTTTACGCAAGCTCGTATCGCGGTTCCTATCATTATGGACAGTTGGACGACGTACCTACCCAGTCTACATGTGAAGCTGTCCAGACTCGCTAAAGGGTGTTGGATGCTTTGTACTCTACAACACTGGATCCTGCCAGCACACGTTTCCACTCAATGGCTCAATTTGAATCTTGAGGACTCCGTAGTGGAAGTATAATTGAAGCCTAGACCGCCATGGCTTCTTGGCCAGAGGTTGACCATATCCGAATGCTGATGTTCGGCCAGTCTGGAGCACCCCCGGGGAATCCGTTTCGGGCAGTTCCGCGCTACTCTTCCACACCGTCTCGACCACCATGACAATTTGAAGGATCATGATACGCCATCATGTTTGACGGGGCGGATTCGTCTAGCCCTATTGTGGATTGTAGGGATCCTGTTTCTTTTTAGAAGAACTCGATATTGAGCTTGGGCCTTGTTCAAAGGTTGTACTGGAAAGGGTCAGCCAAGAGGATGGCTATGGGAGTGGTCAGGGGGTTTTCGCGCAAGAATGGGACACCCCAACTCCGACAGCAAAAGGAATTACCATTCATGCGCTACCACCAAGCAGCTAGGATCTCCTTCGCACGTAGCCTGACCTACTTCGGCTGCTGCATTTGCGAATACAAGGCTGTAAAATCCACATTGTTCACAACACCAGCGACTGCAATGCTGCGCCCGTCTGCAGCAATTTGTGATATGTCCTGCTCGATACGTATCTCTTCCTCCTCTGCGTTGACAAGCCCCGTGAGAGCCATGCTATTGTCCGTGGCTTTGACATCGCGGATGGTCTGCCCGGTTCGCTCGGATACAACGGTCTTCAATGCCTTTTCGCAAATCCCTTGGACTGCATCAATCGTGGCGCGCTGTTGACCAAGTTCGCGAATCAAGTCTTGTTTATCCCCAACCCCACTTGACTCCAGGGCTTCGGCCTCATACCGTACGATCGCTTTCCGATCCTCGTTAGTCTCTGCGAGCTTTTTGCTGAGGAGGGTTTCTAGATGCCCCAGCATTTGGTCCCCCAGTTCCTTTATCATGCCCTCTTGGCGAGCCATTTTTAGACTTTTAATTGCGTTAGTAAGTTTATGTACTTCAATGTCAGTATGGGGCGAGACAGACTAGTTGGCAGTGTCAAGGGTGACATTGAGTATCTTGGTACACCCGTTCAGCTGCTCCTTCAGTGTTCGGACCTGATCCTGGCGGAGAATCCCTATCTTTGCACTGTCGATCTTGGACATCTGACTGTCAGTAGAATGCCTCGTCCAATACTCGAGGGACTCGCTGGACTTGATGCAAACTCGGTGACAGTTTTCGAGGGCAAGCTTGATTTCCGAGCCTAGAATGAGTCCAGAACGGCCCTCTTTGATGGCAGACTCCAGCTGGGTCAGAATGGGCTTGAGCTGCTGAATCTCATCTTGAATACTTTGCACAGCCTCTGGAGCATTTCGGATCCTCTCGATGGTGTTCGAGAGGAGCTGCACGCCCTGGACAGCCGCGGCAACAATACCTACAACCGATGCAGTGACACTGAGAGGATCGCCCATTTGAGCAAGGCGGATAGCGGAGGGGACCAGTTTGGTTTGTTCGCGGTATGTAGTTCCCAAAGGTTATCAATCAGGGCTAGGTGAGTTTTGAGAGGAACCACAATGTATTCTTTGTTATAGTTGAAGCCCGGCCCTCGGTGCGATAACTGAGCCAGAGGATCGTGAGGGGAACCACACTGCTGCTTTTCAGCCGAAGAGTCACCAAAATGCGGAATGCGTCGCGAGCAGCTATATTTAGGTCTCTGTTCTGCGCTCCTCATCTGCTGTGAAACCAGGTCGTGAAGATAGGCACAATGATTGGCGACCTCGGGAAAACCCCATGCTCGTGGCTATCCAGCTTGCCTTAATATTTTGACTAGGGCCTAATTTCAAAAAGGGAGGCTGCTCTTCGGCATAAATTCGCGCCAAAGGAGCAGCCGCCCACCTTGAACCAACGACTTTATTCCCTCCTGCCGTCATGCCAGCCCAACCACCGGAACCAATGGGCAACGGTCAGCCCGCAAGCCGACAGGAAATTCATAACATTTCCGCAACGAATGGAGGAGTCTCTCTGGCTGGTAACTTCAAAGACTGTACAATTGGGGGCACTCAGGATGGTAAGAGTTCCCGCAGCAACATGACCTAGCCCGCTAACGACTCTATACAGTGACCGCCCAAGAGAAGATCGCCCAGTGCCGCAATACTCTCTTCGTCAGCGACCCAAAGATTGACCGAGTGACCCTCATCGGCTCGAAAGGCCAAAGAACGCCCGGCACTTGCGAATGGATCCGGGAAAACTCACACTACCAAAAATGGCTTGCTGGGGAGTCGCAGCTTCTGTGGATATCAGGCGGCCCTGGCAGAGGCAAAACCGTTTTGTCACTCTTCCTCAACGAGGAGGTCGAGAAGCTTTGCAAGGCAACGGAAAATCGCCTATTGTTCTACTTCTGCCGGTTTCAGGACGAGAGACACAACAACATCATCAACGTGCTGCGGAGCTTGATCTATCAGATCCTTGAGTTCAGCATTGATGGACTTGAGGTTCAGCAGGCTCTGGAGTATTTCGAAAGCCCCGAAAAGACTCAATTTGCTCTTTCAAGTTTCGAATGCCTGTGGACTGTTCTAGAAAAGCTTTTTGCCCAGCCGGGACTCCCCAAAATTTTCTGCGTCATCGATGGAGTTGATGAATGTCACTCTTCTAACCAGCTGGTAGAGAAACTCTACAACCATTGCAAGTTGCAGGCTCGAAGTAATGATAGTGCCGGACTCAGATTAGCGCTGATAGGTCGCGACATTGATGGGTTGGATGCGTTCCCTGGCATCAAGGTCGATCCAGACAACGAAGAAAACGTAAACAAGGACGTCAAGGCATTCATCTCGTCTAGTCTGGAACCACTAGCGAGAATACAGGGGTTTGACGACGTCCGCTTCCAGGTTGAGAAGTCACTCCTAGAACGCGCCGAAGGTATTTTTCTGTGGGTTAGCTTTGTCATTGATGAACTATCCAGGAAAAGGACGTGCCTCGAGATTCTGGACACGATACGAGTCTTGCCAAAAGGCCTACACCCAGTCTTCGCCAGGATGCTGCACCAGATCGAGAGCGATCAGCGGCAGACCAGTTCCCTGATCCTCAAGTGGGTGGCTCTCGCGATGAGGCCTCTTACACTGGATGAATTGACCGCCGTCATGGGGGCTGAGCCTGGGGACCACGATGTGTCTATCGAAAGAATCACTGCGGACAGGGTTGCGATATGTCGACCGTTTCTCAAAGTGCACAATAACCAAGTTCTTTTTGTGCATCAATCTGCCAAGGAATATCTACTGCGGAAGCAGCATGATGCAGACCAAGTGCTGGAGGGATTTCGCATCACAGCCGACCAAGGTCATGTGGTACTAGCCCAGAAAAGTCTGCTTGTTCTTGAGGACAGCGTTTTGCAACACACCATCCTGGAACTGGACGACGCGCCTTGGCAAGGCGAGTCCCCCCTGCTCTTTTATGCAATACTGCACTGGCATAACCACGCCAGGCTTGCTTCTAGAGACACAAACGATCTTTTCAAGCCAGACCGGCCATTTTTCAAGCAGTCGTCTGCGCTGCGAAGCAACTGGCAGCAGACGTGCAATTTGTTTCGGGACAAGAACAACGAACGATGGGTACCCGAAACACCGCTGCACATGGCTTCTTACTTTGCCATTGTTCCTTGGGTCGAGATTGCTTTGCAACGTAATAAGTCTATGCCTTACGGTTCCCGACTATGGCCATTTCGAAAAGCCATTGACAGTATCGACCATCGTTTAACGCCGTTGGTATGGGCAGTTATGAGCGGAGATGAGGACACGGTCCAGACTTTGCTTCACTCTGGCGCTGGCATTGATACAACAGACTCGGTGGGTATGACTGCCTTGTCTCGCGCAGCAGACCAAGGAGACGAACCGATGGTCCGGCTTATACTTGACTCGGGCGCCAGTCTCGACCCTAAGAATCGGCAGAGCATGGATGCACTCATGAATGCAATTTTCAAGGGCCACGAGTCAGTAACTAGGCTACTCTTGTCCAGGGGTGTCTCAGTCAAGGGAAAATACAAGCCCATGTACGCTGCAGCTTTGTGCGGACATGAGGAAATCATATCACTCTTGCTAAAATATGGTGCTGATGTTGACCTGTGTGGAAATTTTGCTAGTAAAGAGGGATTAATCAAGAGGACACCACTTTTTTGCGCAGCTGGCCATGGGCAGGACAGGGCGGTGAGGTTGCTACTAGAACACGGCGCTGATGCCAATGCAAGGGCCAGCAAGCCTTTCCGACACCCAAATTATACATCAGCAAGGCTCATCCCTGTTCGCAAAGCAGGCTCGGCTGTGGGATACGCAGCTAGAAAGGGCCATACGACAACAGTCCAGCTTCTTCTAGATCATGGCGTCGACATTAGCATCAAGGATGAATGTGGGAGGACAGCGCTGGAATGTGCAGCCGAAAATGGGTTTAAGGAAATTGAGGAGCTACTACTTGATTACAATAGGGTAAAGGTATGAAGTGGCCCCAGCAAGGTTGAAGTTTTTGACCTCGAAGTTACAAGAGGTTGCGGATGTAGCAAGTACGGATGCCGAATGGGAACTCGAGAATAGGGCTCAGTTTAACCTTTTATTGCCAGTAATAAAAGAGTTAGACCTAGCTGCATTACTATGCAAAGTCAAACCTCTCATGGGTTATTTTACTGCTCTAACCTCCGTACGAGAAACAGGAGAGAATTTTCCACCGCAACAACGCCTCGAAGCGGGCAAGAGTCGTTGAGCTCATTTTGGGCAGCCCGACCCGAGTCTTGCCGCGCATGCCGCTGTTAGCATATGATTGGACAATGCGCGATGGCGCAGTCAACTCCAGGGCCAAAATGAAGTACCGTGGTTGCATTGCCGCTGCGCCTCTTCACAGGCAGCCAGCGAGACCTCTCTTCATTCACAAGATTGCCATTGACAGGCTTTGCCTGTTTCTTGACCTCTGCAGAGGTAACCAAGAGTTCACACAGATTTCTCTCCTTCTATCGAATTTCTTCCTTTCCCACTCTCTCACGCTTTCACAATTATCACATCTCCTACCATGAGCAACGATATCGATCAATCAAAGTCGAGTGATGTTCAACCACTGGTATCCTCAGGCAAGCCCTCCTGGTTGATACATGTTGAGGACAGGATAGCTGAGGAAAATGAACAATTTGACTTTCGCGCAATTTACTTCGAGATTGTGCGAGATTTGCTCCTCGAACCCGATAACGACGGCACTGCAGTCCCCAAGGCCATCAAACGGTTCAACGAGCATTACGTTGCTGGCTTCGCCGGCGAAGACTTTGGGAGAAGGCAGCCGCCCGAGTACGCTGCTGGAGATATCCTAAATGAGATCTCCATCGCTGTCTTTGAGACAGTCGGCAAAGTCTCCTTCACAGACATCCGACATGACAGGCTTGCCAATCTCTTGACTGGTATCAAGCGCGATACAGCAGACGAGTTCAACAAAGAGGTGAGCTCTCTTAACTAGTTGATCATCATTTTTCGGTGCGCTAACGACTAATAGGACCCTCAATTTGTCTTTTTCGGATGGGGGCTTGAGGCTGCTGTGGCCGAAGATTGGAATAGCAGTCATGGTGAGTAGAAGCCAGCCTCATGGCCTGTAATGCGATGCTCATATAACCTTCCGTTTACAGCCCAGGGAACTACCACAGACAACGAATTCCGGACTGCAACCCAGGCTTCTGATTCGTGGGTCAACAAATCAGCTCTATTGGCAAAGCTCTTCAGCGCAGGGCTTTTGGATGCTGATGGGACCCGTTGGATTTCTGGGGATTTCGAAAGTGCTTTCAAAACGCGCACTTCGGGAGACCTAGCAACCAACATTGGTAAAAAAGCCCAAATCGTTGCGCAGGCCAACTACATTCTGATTGCGGGAGATGCCTACATCAAGGAAGTAAAACAGCCCTCAAAAAAGTACCGGGTTGAGGTGACGCCAGCGAGGTGGAAGCTATGGGCATCGAAGCTACAAGAGGCTGCAGATGCGGCAAGCATAGATGCAGAATGGGATCTCAAGAATAGGACTCGGAAGGCTTATGATAAGATGGTTGAGTTATATCCGGAGGCGTTCAAGACAGAAGAGCCGCAGGTGGAGAAGAGCTGAGCGTGGTCATGCGGCACGGATGTTGATCATGTTGACTATGGGTTACTAGACATTAATGGAATTTGAGATGAATCGCTTGCTATGGAGATTTTCTTTGCGGTCACCAAGAACACCCCTCAACTTGCGGGTATAGATGCAGCCGGCACGTCTCAGGTCTTGACTGTGGCCAGGTCCATCTCCAGCTTGGCACTGCTCACATGCCACTTAGCAATCCATGAAGTGGGCATAATCTTAAGCACCAGGTTTCTGAAGTGATAGCCCCAGACGCTTTTTGGGATATACATGGCAGCCATTTTCTTGCTGCGGTGCTGAAGGTTTTCGATAACGGGGCGGAGCTTCTTCTCGTGGTTGGCGAGAGCCTGCGGGATATCTTTGGTCGCCATCAACGCCTTGCCCAAGATCTCGGCAGATGTGAGGGCCATGCCGGCACCTTGGCCGGAGAGTAGCGTGAGGCAGTGAGCCGCGTCTCCAAGGAGAAGAACGCGCCCCTTGGACCACTGTGGCAAGCACACCATGGTTAGACTGTCAACGATGACAGGGCTGTCAGTAGCTTCTGCCTTGTCGATAATTTCGGTCACCTGCGCGGCTCCTCCAGCTGTGACTTTGCGGAGAATGCTGAAACGATCGTCTCGTTCTTGGAGATGGGCGAGGTCGTCTCGCCAGATGTGCATTGCCGCCAGCCGGTCATCGCGCAGACCGTAAAAGACATCCAGATGTCCCGGGCTGTTGAAAGAGACACATGACGCCTCGAGCTCCTTCTTCTCTTCGATGTCGTATACCGCGTATGAGTAGCCGAGGTCCTGCAGGCAGTCGACGCCTTTCCAAAACTGGTTTCTGATGGAGGAGCGAATTCCATCAGTGCCAATCAAAAGATCGGCTTCGATGGTTTCGCCACCTTTCAAGGTTGCTTTGATCTTGTCTCCGTCGTCAATGACGGTTTCCAGCGTCTGATCGAATTGAATAGAGGCCGTCGCTGGCAACGCTTTGAAGAGGACATTGGCAAGGTCGCCTCGAGGCGCAGCAAAGCTATCCAGCCCACCATGCACATCAGCATAGTGCAGCCGGAGCATTTCGCGGCCCTTTGTATCTTTGACGAGGTTTACATCATAGTTGTACGATCGAGCCTTCAGCTCGTCAAAGACGTCCATCTGTTTGAGGGTGTCGAGGCAACAGCCGGAAAGACTGATGACGTAGCCTCCTTCTCGAACGCTGGCGGCTCTTTCGACAATGATCGGGGTCCAGCCAGCTTTGTCGAGCCACCAGGCTGTTGCCAGACCTGCGATTCCGGCACCCACAATGATGGCCTTGGGTTTGGACTCCATCGGGATCGTAATGTGTAGACTAACTCCGGGACGAGAGGTTGCTCGGAAATTAAAGAAGTCTTGGTGACTTCGATTGACTCGCTCAATGTTCAGGCCATTAAAAGCGACGGTATCACTCGTAGCAAGTCCGTCGGGTCGTCGGGTGGCATTGACTTTTAAATTATCGATCAGATAAGATCGGAGATTAAATCACCATCACCATTCCCACACGCCTGTCAGTCAAGGCGGTTTTCGGAGCCATGGAGTCAGGCCACAGGCAAGTTGAACCAATAGCATGTAATTTTGTAGGTGTTTTGTGCTCTGGGCGGCCAGCTTCCGCGCTCGTGTTCCGCAGTCGGCCTTCAGCAACCAGGGGAGTCTGTGGAGATTTAGGTAATGAGTCCATCAAGGTGTGCATGGCTCCTTTATGTGGACGATGTATGGGGAAATGCTCTTGTCACCGGTCCATTGACTGGTGCGAAGTTAAATGCGAAGTAACTAACCCTGTTGGCAAGTGTCTGTGAAGGCAGTTGTTGTTCACTTGGAAATGGATGCTTATCGGAGTCCCTTGTCGATAAGACAGCTACCCTGGACGTCACCAATTTCTTGGCACAGAACACAACCAAGTCCATAGCGTGCGGTGTTTTGAAGATGATTAAGGTGGGATCCTGACGAATGTAGTGTGCGTCTTTTCCTCACAGTCGGAAGGGGTCAACGCATGGAGGCCTCAATAAGTTATCCAAGAAAACTGTGTTGGGTCTGGATCCTTAAGCTCTTTCGATCTGTTTAGGGTTCCACGACGAGGGAATTACCCACCCATATCCCGGCTTGCAGACCGGGCCATAGTTGAGTGCATACGGAGTAATTACTCTCCGAGGCGGGATCGGATAAATAAACGTCGCGCCGTCGGTCCAAACTTCATTCGAACCGCGCATTTGGCAAGTGTACTCCGTATGCGTATTTGACAAGGAAGGGTGGTGGATGCCTGGCATCTCAGGTATCAGCCCTCGATAACCTTGGTGCAGAGGGCACGGTCTTTCTCATTCAACATCTACACGCTGTTCGAAGTCCAAACGTTGATCTTCTCGAGGAACGTGTTAATCAGATACCATGGATTGTCTCTCTCCCTCCTTGGCCCAAGTGGGATGTTACCAGCACCGAGCATTCCTTCGATGCCAGACCAAGAAAAGACCTGCCTGCCAGAGCCTGGTCATGTTTGGCACTCGAGGATACGCCACTTCAGACGCGCAGCCACCTGCTGCAGACCTGAATCGAGGCGACCTGAAAATGCAGTGAAGAGGAAAGAGACAACAGCGGGGTTGACCTGCTTCTTCGCAGCCTGATCCCGTTTTCGACTTCCATCAACTTCCATCATCATCTGATCCAGCTACGAGCTGATCCTCGCAAGACGGCACGATGAACAGGCTGGATCCTGCGCTTTATACGATCGCGTGGATCGCCCCGTTGGAAATCGAGGCTCGGGCCGCCTTCCACATGCTCGACAATGAACACAAAGGCCAGTTTCCCGTCAGCCGAGGCGACGATTACGTCTTTGAAGCGGGAGATATCAACGGGCACAACATCATCATTGCGACCCTACCTGCAGGCCAGGAGTATGGCACTGGCTCAGCTGCGGCTCTCGCGAGTCAGGTCAAGAAGTTCTTTCCTAATCTCTGGATCGGCTTGCTCGTCGGCGTTGCAGCCGGACTTCCAAATCTTGACAAAATCCCCCCCCTCGACATCCGCCTTGGAGACGTCCTGGTCGGCCTCCCAGAGGGCGAGAGTGCAGGGCTTATTGCATATGAGCTCGGCAAGGAAACTGCCCATGGATTTCAGCCGCTGCAACTTGGTCGTGTTCTGGCCAATACCGAGACTGTCATCCGATCGGCGATCGCAATGATCAAAAGGAGGTGGCCCAAGGATGTCGACCTATTCTTGCCTCTTTATGAGGCAATGAAGGACGAGAGGCACCCTGGGGGTACTTTTCAGGATCCCGGCCAGGACAAAGATATTCTCCATCGCATTGACAGCGATGGCACCACTCATGTCGTGACGCGAAGCGAGCGGTCAGCGGGCAACCGTACCCGCGTGTGGTATGGCCCAATCGGGTCTGGCGACAAGCTTGTCAAGAATGGACAGGTGCGGAATGAGCTGAGGGACAAGTACAACATCATTGGGCTGGAGATGGAGGCAGCTGGTACTATGAATCGTATTCCTGTCGGTGTCATTCGGGGTGTTTGTGACTATGGGGACGAACACAAGAACAAGGACTGGCAACCATATGCTGCCGCAATGGCTGCTGCTTATGCCAAGGCAGTCTTGTATCATCTGGGTCCTGGAGATGCCGTTTCTAGGCAGCGTGGTGAGTAGTCTTCACCCTCATCCTTAAGAGTTTGTTCTTAGTTTCTTAGAAGTATCTTCAGTTTCTCCCACCTATCTGAAGGGAGCAATTCTACGCGAGCTTCCACCAAAAACTGACCGATTCTTTGGAAGGGAACGCGAGTTATCTGAGATGATACAATACCTGGAAAGCCCGTCTGAGAGCGTGAAGGGAATCACTCTCTGCGGCATCTCTGGTTCCGGCAAGACACAGTTGATCCACGAGTATGTTGCGCGGCGGAGAGACCAGTTCTCGGCGGTCCTGTGGATTGACGCAGGCTCAGAGGTGAGCATAGATCGGTGTATGAGCTCTTGTTTCAGCCGGATCTGTGAAGCGGCCCCTGGGTTTCGAGATAATGAGCGGAACGGCACCCCAACGTCCCACGTCCTCGACTGGTTGCAGATTCCCTCGAACACGGACTGGCTCGTTGTAATTGACGGAGCCAACGATCCGATGCAAAATAAAAACTTGCTAGAACCTTTTAGGGGGTTTCCGCATGGGTCTATTTGTGTCACTTCGACGCACAAAGAGGTAGCAAACATTTTGAAGATGAAACATGTTCTGGTGGAGCGACTAGACAAGGAGGCTGCACAATCTCTTCTTCTATGGAGTGCTTTCGCAGGCAAAAGAAAATTGACCGAAGGGGGTAAGTTGTGGCTGGTATCATTGTTTGGACTTTTCATTAACTCTTTCAAGACCTCGCTGCGTCCAGGCTAGCAGACGAGATCCTTGGTGGCTTTCCCCTGGGTCTTGAGCTGGCCGGAATACTCATCCATGAGGGGATCGTATCCTTAATGTCCTTCCCGAAGCATTTTATGAGCAACTACACCCGCCTGTCACAATATCAGGTTGGTCCCGGGATGTGGTTATGGAGCACGAATGACTCGCTGTTTAGCATGTTCGACGCCATTTACAAGTCATTGGCCAGCAAAAATCCCCAGACTGTCTATCTACTGAATCTTTGCTCAGTATATGGACCATGGAGCATTCCTGTCTCTCTTTTGCATGGTTTTGAGTTCCACGAGAACAAAGATACATTGGAAGGCATCAACTCGGGAAGCGAGTTGCAAAGTCTCGTCGACAACGAGGTTGAGCTCAATATGGCAATCCACGAGATTTACCGCCTCTTCTTGGCCAAGAAACTCAAAAACTCTGATGGCGGGTTGATGTCCATTGCTCTTCATGCCTCCCTCTGCCAATGGCGTCTCGCAAGCATGGGCGAGGAGAGAGCGGGTTGGATCATGCAGGCGTCTCATGGCTTAGCAAAGCACATCAAATCTCAGGATTCTCGCAAAGGGTGAGTATGATTCTTGAGAGAACTCTGTGATATGGGCTAATAGCGGCTAGAAAAATGACAGAGCGCATGAGTAATGTCGATACCGCTCATCGACTCTCTAATCTTACGAATCAATGCCTCGATGCAATCTCAACCCATGTTGACCAGGGCGATTTGTCGTCCCCAGGCGGAAGATTTGCGTCACATTTCTTTACGTTTTCTTCCTGCGCCGCCGACCTATATCTTTCGTTAGGAAAACTGGAAACCGCGAAAAAGCTCTTCGCGGTCGCCATCGACCACATACGCACGACGCAAGCTGAGGAATCGAGTGATCCAGAACTCATGCGCTTACTTCACGGCTTTGCAGAGTGCAATAGGAAGACTGGAGACCTGGCCATGGCTCAAGAGGCGTTGCAGTCGGCGTTGGCAATTGCAGGGCCGGCATTTGGACCTATGAGCGACGAAGCTTTCGAGATAGCCGCTAGGCTCAAAACCGTTGTGACGTCAATGGCAACAGACCGGGGGCACCACAAACGAGCATTGATGGCAAGTTCAGGGTGCAAACTACGTCGGAGAGGGACTCAGTCCGACATTGCCAACCCGCGCCCAAGCAGTTCGACGATAACTCCCTCCCACGCGACAGTCCTCAAAGCCCATATGACTGAGATAATCATAGAAGGAGACATAGAATGCCAGCTATTGTTGGCAAAGCCGGTCATCATCCTGCCCCCAAGAGACATGCCCAACAGCAGCGTTTCTGAACTCAAGGGGGCGGTACGCCTTCGCGTCTTCAGGGATGTTAACACTGGGGCAGTCACTGTCACCCTGAGGTGCATATCAACAATAGGACAGTCCGGGAGAGGTGGCCATCCCAAGATTATCTACTGCCGAAAAAAAGTTCTGGAGCTGCGGGAGCTTGAAGATTTCGATTTTTACCCAACGGCAAGGGCCCATGGGTGGTTGGCGGAGGGAACATACGTCTGCTCTTTCGGCTTCATGCTCATCAACGACGACGATGACAGCTTACAGACCAGCCATGGATCAATCAGGTGGGAACTTGAGGCTACGTTCGAAATCATTGGACAGTCTGCGGCCCCCCTCTTGCGACTGGCGCATGAAATCATTGTGATACGAGATCCCACCCACCCCATTTACGCACTGAAACGCATCAGTCAGATCGAGAAATGGAACAACTATCAATTTGAGGTGAGCGTTTCTACTGAACTAATTCCGCTTGGTGGCGTGATACGGGCCAAGATCAAATTTTCAAGCCCCGGCAATCACCCAGAGCGCTCACATGTCAGGTGCGACATTGTCCAGGACGACATGGCTCCTTCGCAGAAGCCTTCCAGGCGCAGGGTCTCCCTATTGAGGGAGGGCCAGTCTATAGGAACTACATGTGGTCTCTGGGATTTGGTCCCAGAGAATGGGCTGTCTCAATATGTTGTAGTTTACCTCCAACTACCAACTTGCAGGCAAATGCGCCACGCCCAGGAGCAGCAACTGAACCCGAGCCGCACTTCGCCTTCCGCGACAGTCAAACATTATCTTGAGGTGAGTTCCAAGCCTTTCTGGAACTTCAAATGCATAACCTGATTGACACCTTTCACTAGGTCACTTTTTGCATCATGTCGCCTCGCTTTGGCAACTCCGTAGCTGAGCAGTTTGAGACTGTGGAGCCATTTTTCATCCCAATCACTCTTGTTGACTGTCGAACTAAGCGCCGGATGGACCGTCCTTGCCATAGCGGATGGGAGACAATTGGCGGTCAGCAATCGATCTATTTGAGTGCTTGCGGCTGTCATGACGCTGAGCAATCCCGTGTCAGGTGTTTCGGAGTCCCACGCTATGACGGATCGCCAGAGTTAATGTTCAACCCGATTCAGCCGAACGTAACTTCCAGGCCTGCTCAGGAACATGTAACGGCTGCAATTGGTGGCCTCCGAGAGAGCCCAGAAGCCCAGTCCCGACCGCTTCACCCTCGAAGAGCAGTTTCTAGCATCCTCGAGGTGTCTCCTCCACCTTACAGTCAAGGCCAAAGAGCCGGAAGCAGCGATGAATACGGCGGGGTATCATCCAGCTCCAGGGAGCACTATCCGGGCAGATCCATGACATGAAACGGGTTCTGGACATATTGTGACAGTGCCACAGTCTGTCAACATAACGAGAGAGGGGCCGGGAGTACCTATCCAGGTAAAGAAAATGTGAAATAGAATAGATGGCGACCACACAGTGCGACTACAATGAGACCAAGACTGGTTTGTCACTACAAATAGTAGACAGACACAGAGTTGCCTGCCGGTTCCAGTTATTCCTCACCTATGATCGCTCACCCCCCGCAAACACCACCAGGAGGGCTATTGGGTAAAGGTTTGGCTGTTGCGGCCGCTCATCATCGTCGTCTCTGCGTTATAGAATACGGCTATTTCTAAACGATTAGCGCTTTTCCCATCACGATTTGGTTGAATCGAAATGTAAACCGGAGTGCTACATCAGCCCGTTCGACTTTTCCTTTCCCCCGCAACGGTAGATGTATTGCATTGATCGGTAGCTCTACATGGCCATCTTGTGGCTGCTAATGTTGATGGGTACAGTCGCTATGCAAGTAGGCAGCCTGACAAGGTGGGTGTTGATATACATATACGCTGACGAGAACTATTAAAGCAAATGCTCGGAACTCGAGATTCTGCAACAACTCTCTCTTAGCAGCAAATCCACCGATGTTTCTCACTCATAGAGGTGAAGCTGATGAACTTGTTGTCACAATCTAATAGATCTTGATATCCGCTAAGTTTTGTTCACCCTTAATAGCTTCCCCATACATGATTCCGTGGACATAACACTCGCCAACAATGGCCCAGCCTTCTCCCACCCTCCGAAGGATCATTGGTGTATTGCACCCTTTGAGAATCGCAATACTATCACCAACTTTGGCTGCTGATGCGCCCAGTCCCATCCTTCCTTCCCGGGTACCAAAAAGACGTCTCCATGCCATGACATTGATGGCCCATGAATAGGCTTCGCGCTGTATCTCTGTCGCAAAGCAAACCTGATACCCTAATGCCCCCCTTGCTCTTTTTATCATCGAGAAACGTTGCTTTGGCCCAAAGACGAGCTGTTCCAGATTGTAGCCACATAATGAAAGTCTCTTGTTGCGGATCATGAAGCTGCGGAACCCAAACCCGTGCGTGTAGACTCCGTCCATGTCTGCTGACCATAGGTTACGATCAAGAAGCCAAGAATAAGACTCGGGTGCTCTGCAGCGCCCTTGTGACGTTGTGTCGCCAACTATTGTGCGCCATAGAGCCTCTCTGGTGGCTTTGAAGTCTCCATATATGCTATGATCCGATGGAGCCATATTTGAAGGGTAAGTCTCATCGACCTCATCTGAATGAGACGCGCCCAAGCATGCGATTGTGTCCAGTACAATACCCTGGACAGTGATGGACAAATCAGAAGACGGATATATCGGTGACAGTGGCCCCAAGCCGAAATCAGTTTGATACTTGCCTCCAAGATGGATTGCTGGAGGGGGCGTGCAGGTCCAGCAGACTGCCCAGGAGGGAAGATTGTGTGTGCATGGTGTGCCTACTAGAGCTTGACCGGGTTTGGATCCTTTAACCAAATCTAGAGACCGAAATATAGCAGGAGCAATAGTGCGGTGCTGTAGAGGAGAAGGGAGTGTGTCGAGGCGGCGGCGGACAGGTATTGGCCCAGCTGGTCTTGATATCAGTCTCAAAATGTTGAGGTCTCCAGCCTCCAGAAACTGGGAAGTGAAGGACGAGTACAAGGCAGATAAGGAGATAGTGTAATCTGGTACGACAGCAACCCTCTCAGCAACAGCTTTGATGCCCAGAATGCCATACACTCTGTCCATTTCTTCGGTGACGTTTGAATCTCGGCAGAGGCTCAAGACCAGCGTAAGGGCCTGCCAATCTCCCAGAGAGCTCAACTTTTGATTCCGCTGAATGCCGCCCAAGGCAACCTGCATCCCCCACAGCCTCTCCGATGACAGATGCGTATCCTCGGCGAGTCTGTCCCGTGCAAACTCGTAAGTGTTGAGGGCAGCTAGGGGTGGCCGACTGCTGTCGAGAATATCGCGGCCGAGTCTTGCCTGGTCGTTGTTGATGACCACAGCCGCTCGGTAGATATCATCCCAGGCAATGCATTTGTTTCCACACAGAACTGGCGCAGCAGGTCGACCGTTTGCCACTTCCTGTATAATCCACATGCGTCGCCAGTAGGTTCTAGTAAAGAAACAAAACAAAGCTTTATAAACCGCTCTCCTGAGGGGACTTTGATAGCCCGGGATAACGACGAAGAAGGGACGCGCGTCAATCGCCATCCCTTGACGGTATACCCCTTCTAACGGGGTCGGTCGTCTTGACTGGTTAGCTAACCAGTGAAGAGCTGACAGGGCCAAGGTGCTATCGTCAGCCTCTTGGCCGATCCAGATGACCACCTGCCATGCAGACCGATAAATGTCTCGCATGCGAGCAACCTGCTGGCCTCGCTCCGCCAAGTCATCTTGGTTGATGCAAATGGCGTCGATCCAGAGTCTGAAACCTTGGCGTATTCTTTGGGCACGGCGAAGCTGGATCAAGGCATTGTACAAATTGGGCGTGACTCCAAACTGTTCACCATTTAGAGTGATGAAGTGCCGAGGTGTTGGAGATCCCCATTGGTAGGATAAGGCAATGAAGTCTCCCCACGGATATCTCCATGGCAGACGAGCGTCCTCATCGAGGGAAGGTGAGAATTCTTGTGGGGCTGAGAACGGATCGCGGCCTTTGTCAAAGAGGGCGTCTGTATCGTGGGGATTGGAGACCTCGGGCCAAGCATAATCCTGTCCTTTGAACCGCCGATCAGAAGACGGTATTATTCCAGGCAGAAGGTTGGCATGCTCGATTGTGCATAGAATTGGTTGAGAGTCGTTCGCATCTTCAACTGGCTCTATTTTGACAAGACGGATCTCGTTGTCCACCAAGGGTTCGTAAGAGAAAGACATGTTGATTCTGCAAAGACAAGACAAGCAATTCAGTTCAATCCATGCCTGGCCCCCCTTAAATATGTTCAAACGTGAGGCGGTTACAGAATCGACAGCGGTTATCCCAACCAATCAACGAGTTTGACTTTGCAGTGTAGACCCATACCCAACCCATGCTGCGTTACATTGTGGGTCCATTATTGCATCTAAGCGCCAACAGGACAGGGCATTCATTGAGGCCTTTTCCTTGCCTACCTACCCTAGAGTGTAGAGGACCTGCTATCTTGCTCTATCGGTATCAAAAAGTAATACAAGATAGGGCACCTCTTTATACGCAGTTTCACGTCTTTAGAAAGAACCGAGGCGACTGCTTGAACAAGAGCTGTTGTTTGAAGATAAAGCCAAGAACTAGCGTATGTAAAACTGTTAAGAGGTAGCTATACACATTCAAAGATAAAAATGCTCCATTCAGGTATCATGGAACTAACTCGTAAGAACTTGATAAAGCACATATAGCTAGCTATACCACGCAACCACACATAACCTGTGATTAGCTACCTAGTGTTTTCGGATTTTAAGCTGTAGTCTTGGGGGCTTCTGACGTTAACCTCTTCTTGGTAAACCACCACGTCAGAAGCCCAGTAACAGTCATCACGAACGGAACTCCAAGACCTACACCGATACCGATACCCAGCTTCCACCTGTCGGCCTCCTTCTTCTTTCCAATGTCATACTGTGCTTGGGCAGCTGTAATAGCCCATCCGTTCTGCACCGAGAACTGGGAGCTCACGTCCTGCCAGCCATCCTGAGCGTCACCCTTTCCTGGTTGTCTGATGAAAATGACGTTGATCATGCCGCTGGCGAGACTACGGATTTCGGTTTGTGTCAGGTTGAATTTGGGGGAGGATGCCATCTTGGCGAATAGGTCGTAAGGTTTGAAGACATAGTGACTATCCGTTGTGTCTTAATACAGTTAGCATCGACACGTCCTGAATGTCAGAGTAAGGGAGGAAGTAAAGGTAACCTACTGACTCCCCAGGAAAGAGTTTTTCCGCCGTAGTCAGGCTCTGTCTCGCCTACAAGGAACCGCCACTCAATTGAAACCGGATAATCCGAGTCGGCGTGAATCCAGGTGATGTTGTACTCGCCAGTGCCAAGGATGACGCCGTACCCAGTATTACGGTCGTCGAGGTCGCTGTGTATCGAGAGGATATTGTTGGGGAAATTACACGGGCTTGAGTCGCACCAGCGGAAAGATGTCATGCAGAGTCTGTTGTCGCAGTTGTGTTTAGCAAGTGCGCCACCAAGGTAAAGCCATGTTACACCGAATACAAGTGGTATTTTGTGAATCATTCTGTTGTGGTGAAAGATGTTGCTATTGTTGTCCATAAATCGCTGGAGAAGAAAGAAATATGAGGATGTATCTTCGATGGGTATGCTACTGGGGCCGCATCCCATTATATCCATTTTTTAGAAGGATTTTTGGTCATGTCATGTTAAATACCGAAATAGCGGAAGTCACGGGCCCCTCGCAATGATTACCGCAAGGCGAAGGTGGCGCAGGGATCAAGGGCAATTCTTTGTTCGATCCCCGTGAATGCCAAGGACCAACGTCAGTGCTGGCAGGGAAATCCCCGTGGCAGGATCTCATCAGCTAGTGGCAACTCTGCCAACAAGTGTCAGATGCTTAAGTGTTTGCAGACAGCAATGCAAGATCAGCCCACTTTATCAGGATGACAGGGGCCCAGGCAAAGTTCTTACTGTCTTCATCAAGCTTAAATGGGTTGATAAAATGCCAATTTCTGTTGCCCTGTAGTCCATGAGGGAAGGAAACCCGAGGAACTGAATAAAAATGGCTGTGGGAAAAAGTTGGAGCCATGGAATGATGAGCTGGTGACCGTGGGTGGCTGACCTTGCATAGCCCCTCATGCAAAGAGCTCCTCCAACAACTTCCTTGGCGGAGCTGTCATTTTGAATGGATAACTCTGAAACTCCGGCCACCATGCACTAAAGGAACACGTTCAACGTCAATGCATATATGGGGCGATCGATAAGGGTAGGGATGAAAGCTTCGCCACAGAAACAGCGCACGAACGCCGGGGATGTTCACCATCACGTTTCATAATTCCCAGCTGAGGCGCAAGCTTTGATTTGTTCTCAACTCGACTTTGAAACCAAGTGATGGGTTATATCTTTGAAGAATAGGGACTCCAAATTATTACTTAAATATGCCATATCAGATGCTTGCTTTGCTTGATGAAATGTGTGTGATGCTCTTAACCGAATGACCAAACCATCGCCTTCAAAACATCCAACAGCTTCCCGTTTGCAGACCATTATCCTCTCTGCACGTCACTACTTCCTCTGACCAAATGGGTTTCCAGACTTCTCTGGCATGAGCCTCGCTTCATCACTCTCACTGTATCGTACACCATAGGTCTTGTGAAAGACGATCCCAGGTGTCTCCACGTACTGCTCTTCGTCAGAATTCGGTCGGTCAGCGCTCGCAGTTGCCACAGCCTGGGCTCCCATTATGCCAGCCATGGGTGGAAGACTGTTGCGTTTATCGTAGTGCTGATTGCCTCTGCTACTTTGCGTTGATGAGGCGGACAAGACGGGGAAGACTTTGACGAGAACTCCGCGCATCGCTGGGAGACAGGCGCACATGATTCCAACCGTGATCTCGATGGTGGACCAGACAGACGCATTGTATAGCTCCCGTGTCTTGTCCATCGACTTTCCAAAATTTACCAGGGATCGGAAACGGATCATACTCACGACGGTTACGCTAGCAAGAGATCAGTTTTTGTCCGTCAGAGTAAGAGTACGAGGGGATACAACTTACAAGGTGCCAACACTGAACATGAAGGCCACGCCGACCTTCTTTTTCCAATGAAGCTGCAGACTTCGCAGCTGCCATAGCGGCACAGCTAACATCCACAGATCTAGAGCGACGCTGAAACTGGCGTGCGACCACAGAATAGCATTGATGTCCATGCATTTCCCTTTATGTAGCCCATCCCACTGGGTCCAGAAATATGAGATGGGTGTGCAGGGAAAGACGCCCACAATAACAAAGGCAACGCCCCACGCGGTCGTGAAGATAAAGGTACCCCATAGCAGACGTTGAGTTTCCCGCATAGGGAAGATGCGTAGGTAGAAGCCGATAATGGCCAGCTTCACCAACATAGTCTGCAGGAAGTATAATGTTCCCAGGATGTAGCAGAAGCGGGTGATTGTTGTAATATGTTGGGGACTAAGGACCCAGATGTCTCGACCAAACCCGTTGGCTGTTGTACCACGTACAGCGACGATGGGAGCGGGAATGAAGGAGAGCATTGCCGCCAGGACCAGCCAGTCGTCGATATCGATTTTGATAGTTGGGACCGTCAACTTGTAACCGAACCGAAATGCGACAAAGACTCCTGCCACAACCGTGAGAGTGATGGAGAGAGTAACAAACTGTTGCGAGCGGTCGCGTATTGGAGCGCCGCAATCTGCTAAGCTGGAGTTTTGGGCCTCTGTCGTATCAAGTATCAGCGCAAATCCCGCGGATGAGGACCGGTTGTTCAGTAGGCAGGGCTTACGCACTCAATGCTTCAGGGATGGTACAGCTCGCAGACACACAGGCGGTGACATTCTGTTGAAACTGGTCGTCTACACAAATACAGGTTTGGTTGCTAGGGGCACAGAAGCCTCCTTGAAGGGCGCTGACCATGCATTTTGCCTAGAGAAGATTGTCAAAAGAGGGGATCGCCGGATGGAGGCGAGTCGTACCGCACAGCGAGGATACTCGGCTAGGCTGGGCGAAGATAGATCTCGTGTAAGCGCGCTTGATACGAAAAATGCGACAAAGAGCCCTAAAGCTAGTATTAGACGGTGCTGGAAGCCCATTGTTGTATCGTTCAAGCGAACATAAACAGGTCAAGAAGGTTGGCCGGAGTGCAGCAGGAGGAACCGCGGCTTTGTATGCACAGTTCTGCAGGATGACCAAGGTTTGAGTTACGTGCTGAAGCTTCCTTGCGCCATGGCTCTTGACGTGCCGCATCCGATATCAAGAGGCGTCAAGATGGGAGAGCAATAGGCTCGGGTGCAGCCATGGTAGCCCCGGAACGCCGCACGATCGCGAATCATTCAGCCACTGTTCTTATGGGCTTGGTTGTGCCTTGGGATAATCACTGACACATTGCCTGTTTTTATGCTGTACCGTACTGTCAAAGAGCCCTCCACTGAGGCTTCTGGTCGAGGCTGTCGAGGATGACCTATGACCTTCCTGGGTGCTGGATGAGAGTTAAAGCCTATCGCCATGGTCAAGCCTCTTTGGTCTCAACCTCGATGTTACTCTTCAACCCCATCTGCTTTGAATGTTCTTAGTCCTGTACATTACCTTGTTTCGATGAAATGCAGTCTTGCATGAGGTAGAATGCGATGGTGATCACCTATTGGTGCTACAGTCCGGTTCCTTGGCAGGTTCCAGCCACAAGACGACATGTGCATTCCCGGGAAGGCTGCATAAAATGCACGACATAAAAGTAAGTTTGTTTGTGACACTAACGGTGCAATGGCCTTGGCGATGGAACTACACCTCTCCGTTGAGTGCCCAAACGGTGATACATCCTGAGGTTTCAGACAGCCTATCTAATTGGACAGCTCTGGCTGCTCTAAATGACGGAATTGGAATTCAATGCCGTCATGCGTTGATTGCTATCTTCTTCGATATCGTGACCGATAGAGAGGCCATCGAGAAAATCACCAACATCACATTCTCTTCTGCGACGTTTCTATCACGGGTTGCGTAGCCCAACTCACCCTTCCTTACCTTAACTACAGTTTCAGGTACAGGTTTCATCTGGTCTGCCTTGGCAATCGGCATCGGCAAAAAGAGCCGGTCCAGACAGCCTGGAATTCCAATAGTCGATAAAACGCCTGCAGGTTCCCCGTTAGCCATTGGCTCTCGGCCCAGCTTGGTTAGCCACGTCTTGTTCAGCTCGCTGCACAGCCATGGTTTCTTAGCTTGTGATTGGTGGCCTGGTTTCAACCCCGATTCAACCTTGGCGCTTGTTAAATAGGTCTCGACCCCGAAATCAGGCTGTGACAAAAATTCACATCTTTCATCCTTATCTTTGTCTTCTGGGTTGAAATTGAACAGTCTGTGATAAGCTCGTGAGGGGATTGCGCTTCACTCGACGATGGCGAACTCGTCGACGCAAATACCGTGGTCTCTTCTTATACCGCATGAGAATAGCACCCATGACCTACGAACCATTTTCGCCCCTACCTGGACCGATTCGCCGAATGTCCGCGGCAGTCTTGATATCATACAGAGTTGCGTATTAACGCTCGTCGCGTGTATCTACACAGCATTGCATCTTGACGTCCCTATCAAGACCTCTTCACGATTTATTTTCCTTCAGAAGCTAAAATGGGTCGCCCTTACTCTTTTTGCACCCGAAATAGCTTTATTCATGGCGGCATATCAACTACGGCAAGCCTGGGGTCTCAAATCCAAACTCCTTCAAATACGACGCAGAAATCGGCGAGAAGCCCTTGAGCTTGGGCGGCGAGGGGGGTCAGATGCGAACGTATGTCTCTCCGCATGTGCTCTATACATCAAAGATGTACTGACACGATAAAAAAGTTTGAAATCGATCTCCGATATGCCTTCTTTATCATCATGGGAGGTCTCCACATTGACGTTGATGAAATCATGTCTGAGAGCGACATGGACACCGACTGGAGGGAACATTTCACGACGAGACCATACACCGCTCGCCCAAGCACTCAGACCATAATCTGGCTTGCGGAACGGGGACATTGGATCAAGATTCTAAAGAAGGACATTGACGACAAAAGCAAAGCCGATATCCTCCAGAAGTGCTTGGTCGTCATCCAAGTTCTTTGGATGGTGATACAGTGTATTTCAAGAAAGGTTACGAACCTTCCCTTGACATTGCTAGAGGTCCACACCATGGTTCACGTAGTGTGCGCAGTACTCTTCTATGTTTGCTGGTTTAAGGTATAGTTCACCCAACGTCCAAAGCATCTCCTCGCAATTATTCTTAATCAAATGCTAACATGCCCTCTTAGAAACCTCTCAACGTCCAAGAGCCTCTTGTGGTCAAGATGGGTGACTTCGAGAGCGAGATAGCCTTGAGAGTCCAACAACAGTTTTACTCGTGGGCCTGCTACCACATGGCACTCTTCGAAGCGCCAAGGAGTGACTACCAGGACCCTCCACTGGGACTGGACGAGAAACCTATGAAATGGATTATGCCCGAAGTAGGGTCGAAAATGTATTATGGCGATATACTCCCATCAGGCGTCGCCCTCTATGGACACAGTACCCGACATTATGGCCATGGCATGCGGCAGTCCATCCCTGATTATTTTTCAACATATTCCTACAATAATTCGAACCGGCAATCTTCAGAATTTCTGCGCAAAAATTCTGAAGATTCTTTGGATGGATCTCTTTTGGCTCCTTTCATTAACAGTGGGCATATGGAGATATCAGAGGAGTTTATTCGCCGGTGGGATGCCATATTCAAAGCTTTCCCTTTCGAGAACCGTCGCGAGTTGTCAATAGTCTCCCCAAAGGTCGGGTTGAGCGACGTCGATGAACCCATGAGAATACCGGGTGTCCTCCCGAGTGACGGGGAACCCTTACCACTCTATCTTTCTCGGATGGACGAGTTCATGCCCCAAAATGATACCGACACCTTTAGTGAACTTCCATTCACTAATCGGGGAGGAAATCTGGATTTCAAGACCTTGAAGGATGAGGAAAAGTCGTACGGGTTTTATCTGTTATTCTGCGCCCGACTCTTCACCCTCTTGAACACCCCCTGGGTACCCGTGTCAGCCATGATCATGTCAGCTATATATGGAGGAGTGCATCTCTCGGCATGGAACTGGATTTTCCCGACAACTGCAGAGAAACTTGCTTGGAAGGTCTGTTGTCTGACTGTCGCCTGCGCGTTGCCGGTATTTTTCTTTGGCATTGGCGTCGCCCTGTTCATCACGTTTGAGGTGTATTCGACCAATACCAAGGATGTCCTTGGATCGACATACTTCAAGTTGAGTCTGGGTATCTTTGGGATGCTTGTTGTGGCATCATGTGGTGCCAGGGTTTTTATAATTGTTGAGTCTTTTATGAGTATTAGGAAGGTTCCTATAGGGGTGTTTATATCGCCCACATGGATCCAGATGGTTCCTCATTTTTGATAGTATCACGATACATAGACAATGCAAGCGTCTGATTAGGCCTCTTACCGCCTGTTGCCAGCATGCATTGGAAGCATCACCATGATGATATCACCAGGTCAGCTGACTATACCATAAAATATGCTCGTGAATGGAAGAAGCTTGATGTGTCCAATATGAAGCCGTGAAGGTTAAATAATAGAACGGAGAGGCCGAAGCGCCTGACCGCGGCGTGAGGACAGTTGTCTATCTGTATAGGTAGGCCACGGGGACATAGAAATTACGAAACAGGGCAATAAAAGCGCCCAAAATTAAGAGCTTTAAACTAAATAGGGCAATGGAAGCGCCTTAAACCGAAACCCGACTCCGGTCTGTTGGGTCAAAGGACCGATTCTGTTCCTACATCGCGAGACAGGCGGCGACTTGCGCCAATTTTTGAACGTTATCGTCGCGCGGTGTGACATCATACGACGCCAACTTAAGTTTTCACTTTAAGCTCTGGCCATATCGAGGTTCGGATATAGATATCGGCAAGGCATCCCGGCATCTATCTTGTTAATTCCGGCCGTAGTGGAGTCTCTGGGAGCCGCATTTTCCGAGGGAGTGGATGACGTTATGTCGGTGTTCAGCGGGATCACCAGATTTGGAAAACTATAAGACGTCACGAAACCCAAGCCAAATCAAGAGAAAGACTTTTATCTACATAACAATACATAAATCTTCATAATGGCTCTTCCACGATACCAAACAAACACACCCCTCGACCCATCCTTTGAGGATGACATACGCGACACACACCTTGTCTACGATTACAACGCTACAGACGCTCAAGGCAACCCAGAAAAATGGCGTTATGAGATCTGGTTCTTTTCTGAAGACCGCGTCGTTTATGCCATCCACGGTGGCCCAATGGCCGGTCGTATCAACTACCAAACCGCCGCATATCAGTGTGTACGACCAGGCGAGCTCTGGCAAATCAATTGGCTAGAGGAGACAGGCACCATTGTGTCCTTGGTTTACGACATTACGAGCAAAAAAGTCAATGGAATGCTAGGCTTCTCGAGAGGACACTGGGAGCACGCGGAGGAAGCACATGGTGATAAGAGAAACCCGGAGGATTTTGAGCGTTGGAAGGGGCTAGCTGCCATCGGAAAGCAGACGGATAGGTTCATCTTGACGGAGCAGGCTAATATTTTGGAAATCTTCAAGGGCAAGGGTGGCTTGGTGCCCATCACTCCAGACGCCCCGACCTTGTAAAGCGGGAATATTTTCGGATCATGGAATGGCGCGCGCATCTGATTTTCATAGAGCATAGAGTTCTGAGCATTATACAAAATAGATTTCGACTCCTTCAATGATACACAGTGGTAGACATGTCACAAATTCTCTGTCAAACCGACCGGCAAAGTCAGAGAGGGATTTCGCCTGGATGCTACGGTACCGGTATAGTTCAGCTTCATATCAAACCCAATATTTAGTTCTCGATGGTGACTTATAACGATGTTTGTGGTAACCCCAGCTCGGTTCCTTTTTTCGATGTAACCTCGGTTGACGACTCTCCAGTTGATCATTTGACATCCCTCACGAGGCGGAACGTCACCCATGGCCAAAGATACTTCTTCTGCCACCAGTTCAGGCTTCATCATATTAGTATAAGCAGCATTGAACCACACCAAATACTCACAAGCTCTTTCGCCCAGCGATACGAGGGTGTAAAGCCCAGCTTCCCCCTACAACGGCCATATGCTTCTCATCCATAAAGTCGGCTGGTAGATACGTCAGCTGTGTTAAAAATCACCTCGACTCAAGGAACTCACCACTGTATCCCGGATAGATATGCATCGGCTTGAAATTGGGTTGTGGGGCAAAGAAGTCACTCGTCCATTCCGCCGCACCACCCGTATCACCTAGTCCGCAGAGGCTGTCTTTGTGTGTAATCGGAAGAGGATGAAAGTTCTGGAAGCCCGAGTTTGTACCCGTGAGATCGGTGAAGATGGCACGAGGGTCCGTATGAAAGCCTTTGTTCACTTCGCTGTTCGGGGCATTGCGTTGACGCTCGACATATTCATGCACACTCCGAAGTTCGGGTAGATTGGGAATCCGGGCTCCCGCCCACTCTACGTATCGCTCTACCTCATCAAATGAGGCCATGACGGGCCAATCGAGAGCTTGAGCCAAAGGAACTGGCCCCCAGACCGTTTTGACGGCGAGACGGGAGATAAAAGGGTGGAAATCAGGTTGGCTGTGGTAGTCGCCAAACTTGCTCCAAGTTGCCGGGATCTGCTTCAGTTTGGTGTCGATCAAGTACATCGCGTATTCTCCATTGCTCACAGGCCGAGCTTGCGATTGAAACTCTGGCACATGGACATCGCAAGGTTCGCGCTCATTATCCCACGCAAAGAATCGGTCTGGTCCCTGGTCACTTTCTGGGTCATGGAAACCGATGGTGAATGTTGTGCTAGGTATCGTAAACCATGGATTATCAAGGCGCCGGGATGCTGCCTCTTTGGCAATCTTCGCAAAGTCAGGCTTTGCGAGCCCCGGAGGTGGTAAGATATTAGGACTCTGGATGGTCATGAAAAGAAAGGTTTCAGCGTGAAGTCCTGCGTAGTTGGTGTCAAATCAAATCTTCAAAATCTCTGCATTGCACTTACCCTCATGCTCAAAGCCAATCCAAAGAGCCCGACCAACACAACGATCTGAATGTGCTTGGCCTGTTTCATAAAGATGCTTGATCCGAGATTTGACACGCACACGATACTCAAGGATCTCACTCAATGGAGGGAAAATATCGGGTAGTTCGCTGTGGTCATGGCATTTGGCTGGATCATCGACATCCGGGTCAATGCCTCTCTCAAAGATTTTGTGATAGTACGCTGGCTCGGTCGGTTTCTTGTTGGTTACTCTGGTCAGGTGTATATCTTCACTGAGAGATCATCATTAGCCTAGCAATGAGGTAGAGTGGTCAAATTTGCCCAACGTACAAGGTCGGGATATGTCCCAGGTAGAAAAGAAGTGGATTGCGCAAAGGAATCGGTTGCTCCATCAGAGCATCAGAAGGAATCATTTTGGTCGTCACAAGATCCCAGACGCTCCATAGTTGTCTCCATTCCTCAAGCGAGGGCACCGGTCTCGGCGCATACTCTTTCGGCGAAAGAGGAAAGGCATAGGGATTAAAGCTCATATTGGCGATTGAAGAGTCAAATTGGGAAATTGGATTGAAAAGCCAACCGACGATGATTTTAGCCATAACAATTCCAGGACATTTTGCATCGTAGACGTCATTCTCGGCAAAACCCCTTGGAGATCGGCCAGCCAAGGCCAAAGTTCCTCCCCTAGCGAACCATGTTCCAGCCAGCCACCAATCTGTAGGTGAAGCGCATCCAGTAAATTCATCCAATGTGACAAGCCTTCAGATCCGAGCTAACCAGCCATGGCTTAAAGACTCCGTTGGCTTAGAGATTATCTCAGGAGGTGGATCGAGATCCGCAGAGCGACGGGCCGACGGCGAGATCCGCAACATTGATTGGGTCTCTAACCGACACGACGACGGCAAGGTAAGACATAATAAATTGAAGAGGAATGGCCGAGGTAGGAAGACGCATTCTCATCAAAGCTGGAAGTTAACTGTTTTCACGCCTTGCGAGGAGTTAGACCTCGCACTCATGTGGCCAAAGGCTGCGTGCCAACCAAACATTGGACCCTTTGTTACGATTGAACTCTGTTATAGAATTTGGACGCGTTTTATTAGAAAGGTGCAAAAGAAAGTATTTCATATATTCCAACCCTAACATAGGGTGCTCCTGATGGTATTGGTGACCAGTACAGACACAGAGTCACTCAGTTGTGCTGTGGTCTAGGTTAGTTCGTTGGGTCAGAAAGCGTATAGGAAACGATAAGGGGTAGGCAGGGATGTCAACATTTGCAAGGTTGAATTAGGCTTGTACACGTGAATATCCTCGTGACGGATTGTCCATGCCCGGTTCTATTTATCGCATCCCCTGTCATTTCACTCCACTATTCCTATTGTAGACTTTGACTCGGTTGTTGGGCACGGCAGTTGAGGCACTTCGGAGAGGTTTGATCTACAGTAGGCGCAAAAGGCGAAAAGAGGCATTAAGATTCGTGAATTCAAAGGAAGGGATAAGATAATGAAGCGTCGCATAAAAGTGAGAAAACTCCTCCGAAACGGGTTGAAGCCAAGAAAGCTGCCATCAATGGGAATCACAAAAGCGACATTAATCCCTCCTCTGGAATGCGTCATAGACCATGGAATCCCAAGGCCAAAGAAAACTTCATGAGTATACTAAGTCTCACGCAGACCATTATTGCAAGAGTCTTTCCCAGCCAGAAATGAAAACAGCCCCCAGTTCATCCATCTTAGCCCTTCAATGCGAGAAATGACAAGCGCAGTGCTCAGACCAAGGATATCGAGTGGAGACGAGACGTTCTGATCAGGCATGGAGCTTACATCCCACACATGGCCTGGGTGGTTGAGGGCTTTGATACACGACCGGATTTGGAGACCCTGATACGTTGAGGAAGCCAACAGCTCCTTTGTCCAGGCGGAAGATGGCATGGTCTATTAGGGTGTATGTCCCTGGAACTGCCATCTTGAGGTCCACGATTGTTGAGCCGCCAGAAGGAACCGATACTGTCTGGATGCCTTGTGACGGGGGGCTGAGAACACCGCCGTCTCGGTACACGTTCTTGAAGTGGGAGCCGATAATGTGGAATGAGCTCGTCAAGTTGGGGCCAGCGTTGCCAAAGAATATGCGGACGTTGTCGCCAACATTGGCTTTGAGGGGCTTGTCTCTTGTGAGAGCGGATTCACTGCCGTTGAAGGCGACAACTTGAGGTTCTTCTCGCAGACCGTTTGGATAAGAAAACTCGACAATCTCAGAACGACGTCCGTCATCATCGACCTCTGGGGGCTCATGGTAGAACTCGCTTTGCATGACGTAGTATTCTTTGTCCACTGGAGGGAGATCTTCGCCCTCTGGCTGCACGTACATCAGGCCGTACATGCCATTGGCGATGTGAACGGGCACTGGCGCGGCAGCGCAGTGGTACAGGTAGAGTCCTGGGTACAGTAACTTGAAGCGAGCGGTTTTTGTCTCATTCTCTTCAGCTGTTGTTACAGCAGCGCCACCTCCGGGTCCTGTGAAGGCGTGGCAGTCGATGTTATGCGGATTGCCAGCAGGATCCTTGTTTGTAAGGCTGAGCTCCACGACATCGCCCACTTTAGCACGGATGAAAGGTCCTGGAACTGTGCCGTTGAAAGTCCACTGCTCATACTTGTACTGGCTTGTGAGCTGTGCAAGTTTTGTTGTGGTGATAAGTGGGACTTTGACAAGAGCAGGGTGATCTCTTGTGATGGCTGGTGGAACATTGGGCGCGGTTGTAAGAATGGCATTTTCAACGGGAAGATCCGCCAGCTGGACGCCATTCTCGGTGATGGGTTCGAAAGCCTGTACATTCGGGTCTCCACTAATAGCAGGAACCATGGCGATAGAGCCCTGGGTGATGTTAGTCTAGGTTTAGAAGTCACAGGGGCTAAGCTGGGAATTTCCACTTACCTCTGCTTTGGAGCAACAATCCAGACCCCTGCCTTCCATTGAGCAGCAGTCACCCTCCTTTTCTTCTTTTGGGACGTTCTCGTCTACGCAATTGTGGCATTTCGGCGGTGTCAAGTCCATCCGGACAGGGCTAGGGCCACGCTGGTAGAGGTAGTAGCCGAGAGCAATGCCCGTAGAAGCTGCAACAACAGGAAACAAGCGAGCATAATTGGCTCCATTATTGACTCTTGGCTTTGAAGTGAAGGATCTGATCCCAACAGCCGGAGCTCTCCGGGCTTGTCTCGATAAGGTTGTACGGAGAGCAGTGGAGACGGCGGCTCTGCTCCCCATTGAACAAAGTTGACTAGCTGCTGGAGAGAGGCTCCAACATGTAGTCACCAAGCGACTCATTGTGTAACGATGAAGAAAGAAGCAAGTAAGAATCCCTGGTTCGGTTGATAGGCTTAATTTCGGGCGCATACAGGGCTGAGCAGGCCAGGATGTTATCTTTATAACAAGCAAATCAGACCACGACGACGGCATAGCAGAAGAAACCCAATGTTTGGAGCATAGGGGCTTGGTAATCAGACAGGGTGACCCGCCGTGTGACAGGACCCTTAAGACCACGGCTCCTCACCGTTGGCCGGAGTAGGCTAGACCCCTGTGACATTAGCCTGGTAAAAACATGCGAACCAAGACGTCGACGGGGCCACCGAGGACCGACTGGTCATCTGGAGGCAGGGCATACGCATTTTCCTATTCATGAGGTCTTCTGATGGTGGTAAGACTATCTGGTAGAAACGGCCCTACCATGGAGGAGAATGGGTCTCCTGAACCTTTGAGTCGGGCCAGAGTGAGAAATCTCAGAGGTAATCTCATGATGTCAATACGGCTACTAGGAGTCTTGCGTTAATTAGAAACCAGCTGTCAGGAGATGTTTAGATGCTCCGCATGCCTTGCTGGTCTCGGGACGGACTTGGGACTGCGAGGCTATTCTCGAGGGTTATGAGTTGGGAGCGTTAAAGAGATGATAATTCTCTCGAAAAATACGAAAATGCAAAACCCAAGCCAATTGACCTCGATTGTCTATCAAAAACCTTTTGTTGAAGTCAGGATCTCACCTTGATACCTCCTTCCTCATTCACCTTCACCATGAGTAACCCGCTTGTGGTAAACATCAACAACCTAGCGGCGTATACACCCGCGGAGACTATAGAACTCATCTCTAGGATCGGTGTCAGAAGAGGAAACATGCGGCCTGACAAGGTCTTTCTTTCCGCAGTTTCTGCTGGCTGCCTCCTCTCCTTTGGGTGTGCCGTGTCCCTCACTGCCATGACAGCCCCTTGGTACCAAGAGAATGCCCCTGGACTTATCAAACTGATAGGGGCTGGAGTTTTCCCCCTGGGTCTGGTGATGGTGGTTCTCACTGGGGCTGACCTCTTCACCGCAACCACCATGGTGTGTTTGGGTACCTCTGCGCCTCTCGAGTCTTGGCTAACCGAGTTTTCCAGTTTACAATGACATCTGTTCTCCATGGCCGGCTCCCGGTCCGAAAGATGCTGCTCCACTGGTTCCTCTGCTTCTTCGGGAACCTCGCAGGCTCGCTGTTTGTCATGGCCATCATCATGGGATGTAAGATCTCGCCAATCTCGTCCACGTAGGAGTTGAAGCTGACAGAGTCGAACAGATGGCGGTGTTTTTGATGCCTCTCCCTATAAGGAACAAGTGGTATCCTTCGCAACCAAGAAGCAAATAACCCCTCAATTGCACCAGATATTCCTGCGAGGCATAGGGTGCAATTGGCTCGTGTGTCTGGCCGTGTTCCTCGGAACCCAGGCAAAGGATCTGAGCTCAAAGGTGATTGGAATGTGGTGGCCCATCTTTGCATTCGTGTCCCTGGGACTTGACCACGTTGTCGCCAACATGTTCTACATGCCAATGGGCATCTGGCTACACACTCCCGGTCTGAATATCGGTCTATACATCTGGAAGGGTAAGAAACTCCATTTCCAGCTGGGGGGATGAAAAGCGAAACTGACAGTTCATTTCAAGGCATGATCCCTACAACCCTTGGAAACGTCCTCGGGGGCGGTCTGTTCGTTGCCGCGTACTACTGGTACATGTACCTCTGTATGGAAGACCCTGTCAAGATCGACGGCGTCGAGTATCAGGGGCCTCACGTGGAGACTCACTCTCACCTGCATTTCCTCGACGGCAGGAAAAAGAGCGCTGTCACGGACGAGGAGAGCGGAATCGACACGAGGGACGTCTCCGTCTCTCACAGCACCAAGTAAAGGGGGAAGCGCCTGACAATAACGAATGATGAATACGGCAATGGCAAGACTTTTTACGGGGCAGCCTAGACTAATTAATGGGGGTTCGCACCGGGCTAGATGAAGGTTTTGACGCGTGGGCCTTGCACGATGATTAGCGTTTGCTATTTCTGTTCGCTGTTGAATATTGATTCCACATCATTGCTTGCCGGACGACGTATGCTGCCCAATTGCCCCTTTATGAGATGCAGTAATCTCGGCTTACGAGAGAAGAATTGGCATGGAGGCATCTTGTGAGAGCATCTCCGGTAGAGGGCTAAGCTCGCAGGTCGTTTGACCGACAGCGTGATCAGGAGCTTCCGCGGATTTCTACAAGGGATGAAGAAATGCATGCTGACCAAGTGGAACGCTTTTCCTGTCAGATCATGGCATCATATCATTTTAATATTTCCCCGGGGTGGGCATTTAAGCGGTAGATTTCAGCATCTCCGCGGTACTTGAACCATCTCCACGGAGGCATCTCAAACGTCGCGCAGGGGGCCTGGACCAACGAGATCCATTTATTTACTCATCAGACCATGATGACACTAACGCACAAAACGTTCTAGTCTCCGCCGTTGGATATTCGGACGGCTCGGGACGATACAAATCACTTGGAGCTGGTCTAGACCCTCGTATCGGGATCTTGGGTCGTAGTCGTTGACACTGCGCGGTACTTGGGGCGTATCACAATGACGTTGACTTACATTCCGGCGACCTTGGATACAGACATAGTCTGCAAATAGAGACTCTGTTATTTGCAACTCCTCCTTTATGGATCAGCGCTAGCAACGTGGTACGTCCGATCCATTGCAACCTTGCGAGAAGTCAGAAGAGTGGGCCATCTCCGAGGACAAATCGAATACTGCTTTGAAATCTGATGATCTCATGATGTCCCGTATACTCCGGGAAGCTGATTATAAGACTTCTGAGACTGATGCTGTGAATGATCGCTTCTCTCATCGCCCTGCAGATCATCAGCATCCATATCCATAAACATGCGGCCCGTCCCTTCAAAGATGATCTCTACCAAGTTGCTCTTTCGCAATCCGCCCACCCGACAGTTCATTAGGACAGCTGCTTCAATGGCGTCAGAACCTCCGAGTTTCCCGTTCAAGAGGGCTTCTGGAATGGAGCCCCCGGCTGAGTTTGCGCGTTTGCGAGCCTCCGACCCAGTGTCCAAGGTCAAGCTGTTTGATGGCAGTCTTGCGTGGCTTGTGACCAAGTACAAGGATGTCACGTTTGTTGCGACCGATGAGAGGCTCTCCAAGGTAGGACTCTAAGAAGCTCCTCATGAAACTACTTGGCTAACAATCATCGCAGGTCCGCACACGCAAGGGCTTCCCGGAGCTAAGCGCCGGCGGCAAGCAAGCTGCCAAAGCCAAGCCGACTTTTGTTGATATGGATGCTCCCGACCACATGAAGCAGAGGTAAGCCTTTCACGGCGACAATCCCGGAACGTCAGCTCTAATCTCTTGCACAGGGGTATGGTGGAGCCTCTATTCACTCGGAAACATGTCGAGAAGCTGCAGCCGTACATCCAAAAGACAGTCGATGATCTCTTGGCTGCCATGAAGAAGAAGGGTTGTGCCACTGGCCCCGTTGACCTGGTTAAGGAGTTTGCGCTCCCAGTGCCGTCATACGTATGAAGTTCTACGATACCACTGTCATTAAGTTGCTGACTATTCACCTTCAGATCATCTACACGATCCTTGGAGTCCCTTTCAACGACTTGGAGTATCTTACGAATCAGAATGCCATCCGAACAAACGGAAGTTCCACAGCCCGAGAAGCCTCTGCAGCAAACAAGTAAGTACATGTTGTATCTATCTCAAGATTTTAACTCACTCATAAACAGGGAGCTCCTTGACTACCTGGCCAGCTTGGTTGACAAGCGTCTCGAAGCGCCCGAGGACGACATCATCAGCAAGCTTTGCAGAGAACAAGTGAAACCTGGCAACATTGAAAAGGCTGATGCAGTGCAAATTGCATTTTTACTTCTCGTTGCCGGCAATGCCACTATGGTGAACATGATTGCGCTGGTAAGTTTGGATCTCACGCACCCTATTAGTGTCCAGCTTCTGACCAGTATCAGGGAGTTGTTACCTTGTTCCAGCACCCAGAGCAACTGGCGAAGCTAAAGGAAAACCCATCACTGGCTCCTCAGTTCGTCGAAGAACTATGTCGATATCACACAGCTTCAGCTCTCGCTATCAAGCGAACTGCCAAGGTTGACCTCGAAATTGGCGGCAAGGTAGGTTGGCAACAATTATGTGGTAAGAACTCTTGAAGCTAACCCGTCCCAGCATATCAAGGCAAACGAAGGCATCATTGCCTCAAATCAATCCGCCAACCGCGATGCAGACATCTTTGAGAACCCCGATGAGTTTAACATGAACCGAAGGTGGCCTGCTGAGGATGCTCTTGGCTACGGATTTGGTGCCCATCGATGCATTGCCGAGCATCTCGCTAAAACGGAACTGACTACGGTGTTTGGTAAGTGATATCTCTCAAGTTTCTGCCTTTCTAGAAGTGCTAATTAGAGCGATATAGCCACGCTGTTCAAGGAGTTACCCGATCTTAAGATTGCTGTGCCCTTTGAAAAGATCAACTTTACTCCGCTGGACAGAGATGTTGGCGTGATTGACTTGCCGGTCACATTCTGAGCTGGGGATACACGATCCCATCTCATCTGTATAATATTACGGCGTTTATTACTAGGTAACATGGAATTCTTGGTGAACCATCCCCACGACGAAAATAGCCTGCTTGGGCGATCATCAGACTGTCTGGCGCTGCTTGCAAGTACGCGTTCTTGCAAGATAAGGGAATAAACTTATCTGCCTATCAAAACCCTGATTTCGGCGAGACTTTATCTACTCTTAATCAAAGTTGGCTGGTGGTTGCCTGCCCGGAAAAGCGGCTCTTTAGGTTCGCTCACTCTTGAGCCATCGAACTCAGCTAGCCCCCTTCGCAGAGTTTGTTACAACGTCCGCAAGCGATTGTAGAGAGTTTGATGCTGTTGCATATCTATTTGCACCGTACAACCCAAATTACTTAAGAGAATTACTACGAGGACCATGCACTTCTACTACGTTCATTTGTCTTACGACTGTTTTGTTTCCGTTAGATTACTGAGAAGCCCACCCTTTTGACAGAGCACTTCTACCAGGAACATCCTCCCACAATTTATGTAGCCTTTACTTTATCTAATTGCAAGAGATAATCAACCAAGCTATTGAAGATCCAACTTATCTCAGCAAAACAGAAGCACACTTGCCTTTAACAGCAAGAGAATCCACCATCATGCTGGCTTAAACGTTAATAACCTTTTTCGGCTATAGCCACGAAAGTTGTGTAATATCAATGTAAGCTTTGTGTATATCGGTGTTTTACAGTATTGGGTTTCATGCCGATATATGCTCGTAGGGTGCTCCTTATTCTTATGCCTATTAGGTTCTTTTGACGGAGTCACTATGCCTAACAAATAGAGAGAGAGACAGAAAAAGAAAGCCAGGACTTGCGTCTAAAGTGCTACCGTTGCTTCTCCCCAGAATGCATAAATAGCATTGCGCTCCTCAGCCCCCTTCTATTCAGCGATCTCAACACACCGAGCTACTTGACTCAACTGCTACGTTGTGCCGGCAGTAAATACACCAAGCAGACAAAGTCTCCAAATTTGAGTATTCCTTGGATATATCACAACCACAATTTTCAACAGACTGCCATTTCACACCACAAAACACATGGACGAATTAAGATGTTCAAACGAAGAAGAAGCGCAGCGATTCCTATCCCTGGTAGAGGAACATTTGCAAAGGCAGAAGCAACAGCCGACATCGCCAATCTACCCCATTAGGCCCACTCAGTCAGTTTTGGGTGCTTTCACACGTTTCAGAGAGCATCTAGAGGAGCAGCAGCGAATAATCGATCAGAGCAAGAAGAGAATACGGGAGGCACAGGAAAGTGCAGCGGCTAAGCAGAGGGAGGAAGAAGCCACGGAACGCAAAGAACAAGAGAAAAGGGAACGAGAAGCCAAGCAGCGAGCTGAACTTGCACGACAAAAGGAAGAGCTAAGGAAGCTGGAAAGAAGACACGAGTGGTCAGATGCATGGAAGAGGTACGAGAATGGTTGGAAATCCGCAGACGACACGGACAACCTCGGCGGCAATAAAATCCCATGGCCGACAAAATCAGGACTACGACAAGATTTGAGCGAGTCAAGTGTGCGACAATTCTTTCAGAAAACGGCATTTGTTTATTCCTCCAACGATCACGCTGAAGAATTGTTCCAGACCATGACAAAGGAGACGAAACGGTGGCATTCTGACAAGATCCAACATCGCTTCAGACGAGATATCTTCCAAAGCAAGTACAGAGAAGATATTGACATGGTCACCAAGCTGATTGTGGTTTTGTGGAAAGAAGCAAAGATGGGAAGAGGGGGAAACAAATGAGAGTGAGTGGCAGTTCTCTCTCAAAGGCCTCTCCATCATGTGGTATTATTACAACACTAGAAATTTCCCGTGATTCATTACAACACATTAACTCAACTCAAAAGAAATAATGTCTCCCTCTCATACCGTTTCTTTATACGTGCCTTTGAAAGTACTCTCGCTCCGACCGTCGTCACCATCGTCCACCACGACCGTCGTCTCAACAGTTTTCGTGATTCCGTGTGGCTCAGGGAAAATTGCTAGATGAATCTCGGAGCCATTGTTGCTGCCTTCACGAGCCGGTGGGGCCTCCTTGCCTAAACGGCTCATGAGTGTGTTGCTAGGTTTCGAAACCGTGGCAGCGCTGGTGATGATTGCACGCGACGTGATACCGTAGTTGGTTGGGTTGGATCTCTCTCTGCTGTTTGAGTACCAGCCTTCACCTCGACCAGTTTCGCTGCTTCGAACCACCTTGGAGATGAGGCTGGCCATCAGTAGCTCGATGTAGAGCTTGATGATGTATGCCACAGGAGCGAATTGCACATATCTATGGAAGGTTAGTGGCCATCCCTCAACTATAATAGATAGAACCTACAGGTAGGGGTTAGGCAGACTCAAAAAGCCAAGCAACAGAATATCCATGGTTGTGGAGATGCCCACCATGCCAGCGTTAAAGTTGAAGAGCCTCCAATACTTGCCCAAGCCATCCTCAATCAAGCGATAGCGCACCAGATATAAAAAGTAGAGGTTAAGTCCCAAGTCGATGATAAGGAAGAAAATCTTTTCCACCTTTTCAAAGATAACGTTGTGATGGACCTGAGCAGGAGTGGCACCTTTCATGTGGGCGACGGTCCAGATATAACAAACGGCAATGTTGATGAAACCGATGCTGATGACTAGACTCCATTTCAAGTGCGTGGCCCGGCGCTTGTTGGTCATGATCAAGGCGACTCGATTCGCGATGATCTGGGGCAGGAGTTGTGTCTGGAGTGCCCATAATACAACTGTAAAGAGGAAAAAGACGAGGCTGAAGATGACAGTTGGCCATGGTCCCCCAGGAATACTCGAATCACACTTACCTTCCTTTAATGACATTGTTCAAGAACAAAAAGGTAACAATGGCAAAGATAAAGTTGGTCCAAGCCTCAGCCCAGATCAAGTACAGGTACGTATTGTGAAAGCTGTGGGTGCGCTTCCAGATGCTTCGAGTCTGCCCAAAGACCTTTGCAATAGTAAAGACAAAGACACCCACAAAGAGGCCAAAGTAGATGGAAGCAAGATCCACCATCTTGGGCAACAGAAAACAGACCAAAGAGGACAAGATGACGAGATACGAGGAACGAGTGAAGGGGAGGAATGCACACGACACCTTATATCTTCAGTACTTGTCATGGGGGAGTACTCGGTAATTCGGCAAGTTGACCACCGATCGACAAATCGCTCTCTTCTCCTACCCACTAGCTGTAGATTCCCCATGTCTTTCAGGGCCACATGCCAAAGTCTGGTGCTCAATATCGACAAGCCCTGCGCTTCCGCATTATGAGGATAAACGCCACTAATAAATGTGGCGTCCAGTCTGACGGCCGTACCTCGCAGACCGTCTCAGAGACAAGGCATCGTCACTATCCGCTGCCGGCACTTGATACCTGCCAGCAAGGATGAATTGACTCGCGTTGCTACCAAGACGGCAGGTTCCTGGGCTAGTGACGAAGCTATCGTCAGGGCAGTACCGGATGCGTCATCCGTGCGGCAGCGTTTTAGCTGTCCAGAATGGGATCAAGGTTGCGAGCTAAGAGGTCGGTAATCTCGACGAGTCAGCCTAGCGTGTAGCATCGTCCTGCCTAGTTGGGAACGATTGTCTCAGCTTGACCGTTATTGGTCCCTCTTGTCAAAGCCCATATCCCAGGGTTTGGGAACGCGTAAATCACTGGATCCCGTGGTGATCATTGATCGACTTCTTGGTCCCTGTCCTCCCCCGCTTCAAGAGATCACCTTCAGGGACAGTGACAACCTGTCTAAGCTATTAAAGGTGACACGTCCGACACTAAATCCCCGAAAGGGATCAGCATCTCGTAAACATCCCCGGTATTGAGCCGAAGGGGCCCAGACCGTGCCTGGAAAACTGCGTCACCTGGCGGGTTTAGAGTTTGTGTCTAGTTTATCTTGCCAGGGCTGGAACTAGATGCCACCGGAATGGCGTTTCATCCCAACGGATGATGCCTGCCCCAGCGGTTTTCGTACTCTTCAGCCAACTGCCGGTCTCTTGGCCTAATCTGTTCTAGATACACAAACGTCTTGAATGCCCACCTCTTTTCCCCTGGACCCTGAGAAGGCGGACTCAACTCTATCCATGTGGCTGCAGTCTTCAGCGGAAGATGCCTTGAAAAGGCGTTCATGACCTCAACCACTTAACTCCTTATCGCTCCATGTCCCAATCTAGTGTCCATAGTCAATTCCTTAATGCCACATGGTTCAGGAACCGCTGCGCAGTGGCAAAGTCTCTTTAATCCGTGGGTAGGGCAAGCTTCAGATGGCATGGGCTCGAATCCGCCATGAGATATGAAGCACCCGTGCTTCGGCATCGCCTTGAGACTCGCAATCGTAAGTATTCTTATAGTTCAATATTTAGGAAATACTTGTGGCCTATATTATCTCGTATTCTATGCATTAAAATCCATCTCGCTCGCGATTAACAATTTGGTAGTCCAACTAAAACAACGCAAGGAAAAAACTCAGCAGGAAACAAAAACAGGAATGACAGTAGCCATCAACGCTGCCACCACAGATAACACCACGATTCCTAGTTAGCGTGTAGCTTAATCTGCGCCTCGCTCCATTCCCAGAATTCTTTGGCGATGCCAGTGCCTCCCTCTGCCCGGGTCTTGGACCCAGCGACCATGTCCTTGGTAGCATGCCACAACCTTCCCCACGGAGCCACTATTGAGTAGTCAGCGACAGATCGATGTTTGATCGAAGCCAATATCAGATAAACTCACCAAATAGTCCCGACTTTTCCAAGGTCACTTCAGGGGAGAAGCCAGCAAAGATGTTGGTGTATGCACCGTAGATCGTGGGAAACAAGACGGTCTTGCGGAGAAACCAGTGAAAGGCAGGGCCCATGGTGCGCCAAAAGTCCGAGTCCAGATTTCCGGGGTTGAGAGGGGTTGAGATGATGCCGTGTTCCTTGTATCGAGCGGCGAATTCGGTGGCATAGAAGTAGTCACCAAGCTTACTGATGTAGTACTGTTCAGTCGAAGTTTCTTTGGTGATATCCTTGACTCTCTGCATGTAGTTCTTGGTGGTGGTGGCGATAGCAGCAGTGGATGAGGCCCAGACCACACGAACCGTTCCAGCGGGCGAGTCTTTTGCCGTGGAGAGTAGCGTGGGGGTCAATTGCTGCGTGAAAGCCAAGGTTCCGAGACAGTTAACTCCAAGCTGAATCTCGTAGCCCTGCTTGGTCGTGGAACCATGTTCAGTGAAACCAAGACCTGCATTGTTGAAGAGGACATGGAGTTTGCTTTCTCGGCGCAGAATTTCTGCTGCAGAAGCCTTGATGGTGGGGAGATTGGCAAGGTCCAGGGGGAGGCAGATCAGTTCTCCACTAGACTTGGGAACAGCAGCTTGAATGGCATCACAAGCTTCCTTGTTCTTGCTTTCAGAACGTGCCATCATGTAGACACGCGCATTCTTGGAGTAGAGAATCTGGGTGATTTCTTTGCCAATTCCTGTGTTGGCGCCAGTCACGACAATGACCTAGCAAATTGTTAGCATTCTTGGTGGGGGTGTAGGGTAGCCAGGGTTCGTGAGTGCACTAACCTTGCCCTTGAGATCTGGAAGATCCTTTGGCATGAACTTCGGGGACCCGGCAAAGAAGGCTTGCCGCATGATGTTGAGAGTACCTGACATGATGGATAGTGGGGAGCTTGTGGGAATGTTGCTTGTGGTAAATCGTTGGAAACGGTTGATGGTAAATTGGTTGGGATGATACTTGGAAGAGTGGTTGCGATAATGGTCGTAGAGAATGGAAGAAGGAAGGCATTTCATAGAACGGTTAGAGCACTTATATACGCGATCTTCAATGGCCTCATTTCCTGCTTGAACTTCGAATGCCGTCGTCAAACCCGTCGTCAAACCCAGCGACATTGAGACATGGCGTACTGAAACCCGCGGGGTTCAGACACTCTAGTGCCTGAGGCATCAATGACGCGTGGATCCCGGCCCAACCCCGCGGGCTTCATTTCCGCCTCGCCTGACACCAGCTATCAATCCACTTAAAGTACCTTGGGATTTGATCAACCTCGGGCGTCGAGCAGCAGAAATGGCTCCGAGTACGGCTCCTTATTCCACGCCATGGATTCCGGCACCTTATGGTAGAGCCTGCGTTGGCTGCTCTCGTGCCAAATGCAAGTGCTTTTATCGCTCAAATGGTGGAAGATGCGAGAGGTGAGATCCGTTTAGGCGCATTCTACATGCTGACAAGATGACATGTCTGACTGATTCTAGATGTTGTCGTCTTGAAACTTCCTGCGAACCTGCTGCCGGTGTCCGAAAGAGCAGAGTCAACGCGATACGATCTGCACCAAGTGCCGATGCGAGATTGGAGCGGAGGCTTGACGATCTTGTCTCTCTAATACAGTCACAAGACGCCAGCAGACCGACAGCTACTCTTGGGACGAACGGTTTCCCTTCAGTTGAGCCTAGCGGACAAATTCCTTTCGACCCACCGCCAGAGTATAGCACTCCAGCGTCGCCTGCATCATCATACCAGCCGGACGTTGCGATAAACTCGGCCGATGCCACGGTCGAGCTCCTACGTCCTGCAGATTCCGAATCAAGCGATACCTCTCTGATACTGAGTGACATGTCTCCCCATGGCCTCACAGATCGTGTCGCTGAGGAGCAGCTCAACACCTTCCGACGTTCCTTCTTACCCAACTCACCACTCTTTCACCTCCCTCCCTCTCTCACTTCTCGACAGTTTCGTCAGCAGAAACCATTTACTTGGCTTGTGACTATGGCCTTGTCATCCAAGCAGATCTCCAAACAGTTTGCCATGGAGGAGACCATCTGGCGGATCATATCAAAAAGAATAGTCTGTGAGCATCTCGCCAACCTCGACTTGCTCATTGGACTCATCTGCTTTGCGTCATGGTATGAGAAGCGGCTGAAGACAGAATCATGCGTTTACTCTTTCCTAGGTCACATGGCTTCAAAATGGACAAGCCCTTCATGACAATGCTTACTCAAATGGCCGTGTCACTGGCGTTTGAACTCGGTTTGCATAAACCTCCGGTAAATGGGGCCCAGCGCTGCAAATTCGGGCGATCTGTTGCCGAGCAGCAACAAGCACGGAGGGGACGGACACTAGAGGAGCGACGAACTATTCTTGCTCTTTTTCACTTGTCTTCGTCGTATGTATCCATCAACTCTCCTTGAGCGCCCAGTCTGACGTCTTGATCCCAGAACTTGGACCGCATTCCGCAAGACGGAGCCTATGCGCTGGACTGTTTACATACAGGAATGTCTACAAATTCTCTCCGAGCAAGGAGAGTCGCATCTTGATGCAATACTAGTGGCCCAGATCAAGTGTCAGCTTATCTTTCACCAGGCGGAACCGTTTGCTTCAGTGCAGCCATTTTTGGAGGTTACTCAGACGTCACCATCTGCGACTCTCATCACAGCACTGCTGAGGCAACTTGGCGAAGTGAGAGAAACGTTGCCTCCCAATATCAAGTCTGAGAGTGAGTTGAACATCTCCAAAGCATTCGCGAGAAACTTACAGTCCCTAATGTTCTTTAGGAATTATCCAGCTGTACCTTTGTTATGCGGAACTGGCCCTCAAGAAACACCTCATCGGAGAACCAAAGACAAGTAGTCAATCAATCCCAGAAAACTCCCAAAGACTTCAAAATCTGGATTCAGCTTTGGGCAGCACCGAAAGATGGCTGGGACTCCTGTTTGATATGCCTCTAAGCGACCTGGCAGGCATCAATGTCGACTTTTGCACGCAGTTCCTCCACTGTCTGGTAATACTCTTCAAGTTGACGATCCATAAAGAGCCAGGATGGGACATGGAAGAAGTGAGGAAGAGGATCGATGTGATGAGCGTTCTTGATCGTTCCCATGAGGTGCTCGGGGAAGTTGCCATGGCTATGGGTATCGTGGACGACCCCGGTCCTCGTATGGGCCTCTTATTTAGGACGGCTGGTCTCCTAAAGGCTGTCAAAACCTTGTTTATGGCAGAGATGCAATCAAGGCTACCGCAGGATGTGCCACAAGAACAAGTTGTCGGGGATCTGGGTGGTGGAATGGATGGCCAGGGTTTGAACTTTTCAGATGAGCTTTTCGAGGGCTTGTACGAGGAACCATGGCTTGCTGAGTTGTTTGACTCAGCGTGGCAGGGAGACTTTGATAGCGTGTGAAAATTTGGTTAGTCTGAGCATGGATATAGATTATACGCCTGGTTCAGTCGCCTTATCTTGATCATGGCAGCACCGTCTATTGGTTTCTCAAGAATGTGTCCCGTTCTGATCTGTGTTGTGGCAAAACCGGCAGCCCAAATAGTGTTAGCAGCCACATTAAACTTTCAAGCAGACAATGGTGTGATTGGCGGCACAACGCAACGGGATGGCCGAGACTTGAACATGTCTTGCTTCAGCTTCACTTATTACTCGATTAGGAAGTAGTTGAAGCAAGCTGTCGCAATGACCTATACGGGCAATTCACCCATGTCTACCGTTTCCACTTTTAAAAAGGGATAGAAACACTCGATAACAAAGAAAAATGATGCACGATACATTTTTTCTTTCAACGGAGATTCTGTATGAGAAAGAATGGCGCCAATCGACCAGTTTCCCACTTGCGAGAACATGACCGCCAACGACGCCGAGGCTCCGCCACCCGCAACGGAGCAAACTAGCCTATTGCCGACAGTCAAGGAGAACCGTAACGATGTAGCCAAGATTATTGCTGTCAACTTTGCCATGCTGATGGCTGGCATGAACGGCAAGCGATACCTCAAAGAACGTACAGAGGCGAAGCTAATGGGAAGTACAGACGCAGCAACAGGGGCTTTGATTCCCTACATCCAGCCTGGCTACAATGTGGGACTGCTCGCCGTCGCGATCCTTTACTTGGTAAACTTCTCCGGATGGTTCCTGGCAGCTTTTACCAACGTCCACCTCGCCAGCCGGCTCGGCATGGGAGGTACGCTTGTCATCGGCGCCTCGATACAGCTCATCGCCTACGCTCTCACCTTCTGGAAGCCCCCGTTCTTGGTCTTTAGTTCATCATTCTTCTTTGCCGGTCTAGGCGTTGCGTACCTCGACGCTCAGGTCAATACCTATGTTGCACACATGAGAAATTCGCATCGATGGTTGGGCGTGTTGCACGCTGCTTATGGACTGGGTGCGCTGCTTAGTCCCATCGCGGCGACAACGTTTGCTACAAAGACCGCTTACTGGCATTTGTTTTACCTCTTGATGCTGGTTCTGACACTTTGCAATATCGCATGGTTGTCTTGGAGTTTCCGGGATAGCCTCCTTAAGCCCTCTAACAATGCCGAGGGCGAGGACGCTACCGATCAGTTGAAAGCAGCGCTTTCGCAGAAATCAGTGTGGATGATTAGTCTCTTCTTCTTTCTGTATGTTGGAGCAGAAGTTACTGCTGGTGGTAAGCCCATACACTCCAAAACAACTGACTGTGGTGGTGCTAATGAGTCTAGGCTGGGTCATCGAGTTCCTCATCGAAGTGCGACATAGCCCCCCCAATGTCGCCGGCTACGTCGCGTCTGGCTTCTGGGGAGGGCTAATGATCGGGCGTATTCTTCTCGCTGATATCACGCATAAACTTGGCGACCGACGCATGGTGTTTATTTACATCCTCATTGGACTTGGGTTGCAGTTGGTGTTTTGGTCTGTTCCTGACGTAGCCGTTGATGCAGTCGCCATCAGCCTCCTCGGCTTTGTTATTGCACCCTTCTTCCCCGTCGGGGTATCAGTTCTCACAAACTTGCTACCTCGAGAGTTGCATGTCGCCGCTATAGGTATGTTGTGTTTCAGCTCTCGCCACGATGGAGCCAGTAACTAATTATTGGCAGGGTTTACGGCCACTGTTGGCCAGGCCGGGTCAGCTGCCTTTCCATTTTTGACTGGCGCGATAGCCTCAAAAGCAGGTGTTGCTGTTCTGCAGCCGATTATGGTGGCATTGCTCGCTGGGATGTTTTTATGCTGGGGCCTCATTCCGCGGGCCAAGAGGAATTAGTGATGTGTTGGACCCTCATTGCACTGCATTTCCCTTCGTTGGATCCTGCATGCATTAATCTTATCTACCTACATATAGATTTGAACTGGCATGTCCGCGTTTGCCGCAAAGCGAAGCGAGCCACTCGAAGTGACACTCTTCCCTGCGTTATTTTCTCTTGTCACCCTTCTGCTCTCTTTCCTCAGACCTGACTGTATTGATGCCCCTCAATGGTCATTTGGGTTGAAAATGAGGCGGACTGGCCAATGGAATTGGTGCAAAGGAACCAGGCTCTCGGAGAATGCAGGCAGCGACCTCCAGGGAGGTCGGCGTAGGGGCGTCTGATTGGAGGCAGCGGCTGCTAAGGCGTTTTTGAGTCAGAAAGATGGTGACTGACAGTTGGGAGTACAGGCTCAGCGCTTCAAGGCTGTCACCAAGGCATCTTTCACCAACAACTTACAAGTACTCATTCAACTTGGTCAATCTAGAAACCTTAGCAACACTTTAAATTTGTTATGCTTATTCGTTGAGGACCAGTGAACTGAATCGTAGTATTATTTGTAAATTCCTTTCTCTCATCTGATTAAATAACATGGGTTGCACCGGTGGTGAATGACTCGGGGCTCAAATTGTCCAATGACAGCCCACCCCATCAAGACCTGGTGCCCTCCAACACGTTTCCTCTTCACATCGGTGACATCTTAGCTCAGCTGAGACGCCACATGCAATGCAAGTCAGGTTGCCTCTTGGTATCAGGCTGCCTTGCGACACCATAAAATCCTTCTGATTGCCCCGCAAACCTAGCTCGCTCTCAAACTCCCTGTCAGTGCATTCCGACCGATCATCATGGATCCATTGTCTATCATTGCAGGTGTCGCCGGCATCGCCACGGCTGGTGTCTCCCTTGTGGAGGTGCTCTTTGACACCATCGACTCATACCAAAATGCCCCCAAAGACATCGTCTCAATAGCGCGGGGTGTCCAGGATCTCTCCATCATTTTGGACCAACTAAAACAAGTCCTCATCGATGGGCGAAACATGCATACAAGATGGCTTCTCAAATCCGTCGCTTCAGCCATCAGACAAATCGAGTATGTACATGCTGAAGTATGGGGGCTCATCCCTCGAAGTGGCTCCGGATTTGAGAGGGTCAAGTGGACATTTCGGAAGGGGAAAGTCAGAGATCTCATGAATAAGATCGAGACTCAAAAGAGCACTGTGCAGCTCGTCTGCACGACCCTCCTCCTGGCCATTCAGCAGAAGAAAGTCACAAAACACAGCAGGCGACGCCCTGGAAATGATTCGGAGAAGTATGCGAGGAGCAGGTTGAGGAGACAAGCCGAAAACCTGGTCAAGACTGCTCATGAGTCGCTTCTCGACTTGGCCCAGAGCTCGCACCGAGAGGAAATCGAGGGGTCTTCCACCGACACCTCCCAAAGTCAGAGGCATGAGCCGCAGACACCACTTATCGATGGCTCCCCGACTACACCCACCATTCGTGTATCAGGCCCCGAGCAAGACTTTCCGGATCACAATGAAGCTATTTCACCCCAGAAAACCCCCGACGACACAGCTCTATGGATCTACGATATGGTTTTCTATCCGACAGCCGAAAGAAAAGCTCACGAGGGAGATGTCAGGCCCCGACCTGATGACAGCAATGCCCTCATCCTCCGTAACCCACAGGGCACTGATATTGTCTTGGCTTCAAAGAGGCCAATGGCGGCAGAAGTTGTTGACGATCTTCTCTACGACTGGACTCACTTGAGTTGGCATGACATTAAGGAGACGTCTGAGACTGTGCAGGCGGAGCCCCCAGAGCAACCAAGGAGATACTCGGATGAGCGCCTTGGAGATGCACAGGTCTCGAACCTAGAACCACCGCGCCAGTCAAGACGAAAGACGCGCCATCATCGAGGAGCCTCTGAGGAGCATATTCGGCGAGGTATAAGTGTCGAATACGAGAGCGAAGGATCCTCGGGCGGCTCAGCCAGATCCGAACACTGGTCTTATATCGACAGTCAACCATCTGACTCTCAACGAGAAACCACAAGAAGGCGACATTCCGCTCAAGATTCAGAGCGAGAACCGCCAACTCCCCCAAGTGGATACAGGACCAGGTCGTATTCAGATGTGGGCCCAGAACCGAGAAGAAATCCACGTCATGCAACTGTCGAGGATGACCCAGATGATTCCATGGATGAACTGGCGAGAAAACGCGCCAGAGCCAGGTCTGCACATGAAGAAGCCAAGCTCCGAGCAGACGTCGAGTTTGAGAAGCATCGTTCACACACACAACAGCCATCAAGATCAAACACGAACCGAAGCCGAGATCGAGAGGCAGACGACAGTCCAGGCAACAGAGAGGATCATTCAAGCAAACCCAACCAGAGTCGGATACAGAGGGCTGCCGCAGCGAGTTTAATCGCTGGGGCGACTGAAGCGTTTCGTGTCTATAAAGAGCCAGGCGGCTGGAAGGGTGACAAGACTAGGAGGGTATTGACAGCTGCAGCCGGAGCTGCCGGAGTTGAATCGGTGTCGTGAGTGCCTGGACAGAACGATTAGCAGGGCATGCGAGACAGAGCTTGAGAGGAGTCAGACTGACGAGATTTCAGTACAAGGATCTAAATAAAACTCTCTTTAATCAGGAGGTATAATGAATCGCGGTTAACAAGCTAGGAGAGACGTGTTTTAATTAACTATCCTGTTTCCGTAACCAACACTCTGACACACCTCCCTAATATATACTGCGAGTTTAAACCGTTTTGACATCAGTGAGTTCACCTGTATGGACCATGTCCACCTCGCCATTCGGGATACCAAGGATCGTTTCCTTATCCTATGGTCGTCAGTGGTTTGATGGTGACTGAATGGGTACTTCATCCAAGAGGAACGTACAGCAAAAATGGCATCTATCTCTTCCAGGGGTAGACCGAGAGTATCTGGGAAATAGTACAGAATCCCAAAGGCACAAAAGCATCCCGGAATAATAAAGCACAAATAGAATTTCCACCCAATATCACTGTGATAGTTAGTCATGCGCTTGAACCAGTCGTTCGAATCAAGTGTAGGACCTACTTGAAAGCGGTTGGTGCAACAGACAACCATATGACATTCATCAATGCAAGTGTTCCGCAACCCAGTGACACCCCCTTGGCTCGTATGTGGGTTGGGAATAATTCACCCAGATAGACAAACTGGGCGCTATCCAATGCAAACTCGTAAATGAAGACGAAGATGAATAGGATAGCAACCGCGGCCCTGAGAGCAGTCGTGTTGTTGGTACCCACAAAGTTGGCGACCAATGCCGCCTCGATAATGAGGCATGCCTGGCACCCGAGAAGACCGTAACCGATGAATTTCGGCCGCGGTATCTTGTCGACCACAAGGAGGGCGAGACACCCGCCACCCCAGCCGAGAGTGAGCCAGGCTGCTGCATACATGAGTTGCGTCTTGTTGTCGAAGCCAAGTGTGCCATAAATCTAAAGCAATGTTAGCCAAGTAGACGTAGCGGTTTCCAAGATGATGACGCTGACCATAGGACCGTAGTCTGTTTTTAAGGGTTAGTAAATGCCCGTATCTACTGTCAAATCCAGCAAAACTCACTATTGATGACCAAGATGGCGGACGTCTGAATACTGGCAAAGGTCCCCATTCCAATCAGAGTCCGTTTCCTGTAATTTCTGTTTGTAAACATTGCCCAGTACGAATCTTGGAGATGTCTGTCGACTTCAACCTGCAAGCGGATCTGGGTGAGCTCCACACCCGCTTCTTCTGGAGTGTGGAGTTTCAAAAGATTGTCCCTGGCTTCCTCATAGCGGCCTTTAAGCATAAGCCAACGGGGAGATTCTGGTAGCCAGTAAAGAAGTGCAAGTAAGATGAGAGCAGGCAGTCCTTGAAATGCTAGTTAATCATTAGCGTAGGCCAACACAATATCACAGACAATATCTATCTCACCAAAAGGGGCTCTCCAGGCGTGGGGGCTGTCCAAATGATAGAAGCCGAAGCCTACCCAGGCAGAGGCGGAGTAGCCAAGCAGTAAGCTGGCTCCTACAAGGGAAACAAACACTCCCCGGACTGCAGGAGGTGCGATCTCTGTCATCCACAGTGTTACTGCTGAGATCATCATGTATGTTCTGGAATGTGTTAGTTGAGGCCGCCAGTGGCAAAGTGATGCTGACTTACCCGGCCCCAGATACGAAGCGGAAGACTATAAATTGACCAACGTTGACAGATCCTGCCATTACGGCTCCAGATATGACAATGATGGCAGCTGACTGATTGAATATAATAGTCAGAAAGCTTTTCGCCCACGAAACTTTGCACGATACTTACCACTGCCACGGCAGCTCGCCTGCCCCATTTATCCGCGAAGAATGGGACTATCAAGATGAAGATGGCGGCACCAGCGAAAAAGAGCGACTGGAACCCTGATGTCAGTACGGCCTCCCAACACTGAGGACCAGGTGTCTCACATTCATGCACGAGATGAGGCTGGTGGAGTTTGATCTCGTGGCAAGATCGAAATATTCCACGAAAGACGGTTGGGCTGCGACATGGGTTAGTCTGCGTCGGACAGCGTGGCCATGATACTTTACCGATTGTTGGACCAATCACACCAGAAGAATAACCAAAGGACATGCTTCCAAGGCCAATGCTCAACATCTACATGTATTGTCAGTCTGGATGAATATGTTGGACAATCAGGCAATGTCCGTATACTGACTACGACGACCAAGTAAGGTCTCCATTGTCGCTTGTTCGAGTGTTGCCCGGCCACAACTGGCGTTTCGTGGGCTTCGGTAGATGCGGACATCTTGGGATGATCTTCAGACATTTCTTTCGGAATTGAATGATGAGACTGAGGGTGAGCATGTGGAAGATGGAAGAAATCAATGGGTCTTTATACGATGTTTTTCATTGGATCTTATCGCATTTGAACGGCGGGTAGAAGAAGAACATCTTTCATCCTATCTGTGATATCAATTCCAGGGCCGTATCTCGGTGTTCTTGTCGTCCTGAAAAGAAATTCTCCCCTTAGCGCTCGATGATCAGTTTGGGAGCCTTGGCTAGTCGTACCGGGCGATTTCCGGGTTTGTTGGATCTATCTGAGCCAGAAGCGTGGAGCTACAAGGTCGATTAACTGATAGGAAGTAAATACTCTATTAGTCGATATTCATGATCAGAGCCGGCAGCTGTATTTCTGGCGCCCTGTTCTTTCGGATGTTAGCACGGAACGCGGCCCGGGTCATTTGATTGCCATCTCCGAATCCCGAGCGTAGTCCCTCGAGCTTTGTCATACTCCATGTCTTTCCTCAAGCGTCATGACAGTTGCACCATCCTTGAGGAGAACAGGTTAGTAGGGAGGGGAATGTGGTGATCTCGGGGTTAGTTTCGGGATCGTTATCATGGGTCCAACTCATGAATTACCACAGCGCCTATCGGTTCGTCAAAAGTCTTCTGTTAGCCATGAGACGGCTCGGCCAGATACTAGGATAGTCACTGAAGGATAAGACACGGCCCGAATCTCGGGCCGTACCCACCACCGGTCACGGCAGTGGCGCCTCCAATACGTCTCGAGATAAGAAACCTCCCAGACGTTATCGTTCTGCGTAACAATAACGGAACAGTTTGAGCCCTGATTTCCGAAGATTATGAGTGCTTAACGATAACAAAACCCCTACATTTATGAACTACTTGTGGCTATTTAGTAGCCTTTCCCCTCTCATTCAGGAAATACATTCCTGCGCCTCTAGTCAACAATTTCTTTTTTGTCCATCTTGATAATCCTTATCGTCCAAGAACAATCTCTCAACATGGCCACCGTTCACGAACTCGAACATGGATCTCGCAGCACTACCGGGACTTGGACACCGTTTGACTGGGAAGACCCTGTCTTCGGCCCTCAGTCCAAAGGAGAAGTTGTGACTATCCGGTCTGGTGGGACGTCTGGGTCCCTCGCTGCTGGCCTCTGGCGTACTGGCCCTGGTATCGCTGGATGCAACGACGATGGCACCTGCGATGTCGTCTATTCCGCCCCTCTGGGTGACGAAACGATGCTATTGTTGGAAGGCTCGGCCGAGGTCACGATCAAATCCAGCGGCAAAAAGTATCGTCTCGAAGCGGGAACAATAATCAGCCATCCAAAGCATGTCCAGGTTTCCTGGCACGTTACCACACCCTTCTTGAAGAAGTTCTGGGTAATCTGGGATGGTACTACTCCGGGAACCAAACTAGACGACGGCATCGTTAGCAATATCAATCATAACCCGCAAGGTTGGGCTCCTTTTACCTGGGAGGAGCCAGGCAAAGGTCAACAGGCCGTTGGCGAATTTACGCTGATACGCAACACGGGCTCCACGGGAAGTTTGGAAGTCGGCCTCTGGCGAACAGGGCGTGGGATCCCAGGCTGCAACGAGGACGGCTCCGCTTCTTTCGAGTATAGCTCGCCGCTTGGAGACGAAACAATCATGCTGCTGGAAGGACTGGTGACTATTGTTGAGCATGAATCCGGGAAGACGCACAAGTTTCAAGCCGGAGACATTATTGCACTCCCCTCTGGCCTAAAGGTTTCTTGGACCTCCGAAGGGCCGTTTGTGAAGACATACTTCGTCGCCACAAACGACAAGCCTGTCCAATGAATCTCAGCGAGCCATGCGTCTTGAGTGTAGCTGAAGGAGGAATTGAGTGCGAGACACATGGTAGCTGGCACACAGCGGATGTAGAATGGTCACAGGGGAAGTATAGTTATTGTAAGCGAATAAACTTGTTGCAGTTGTACATCTACTCTCTAATCATTGTAGCTGAAACCACTCCTCTTCTAGGCTTGGTAAGTAACTATTGATGTTTTCCAGACTTTTGGAGAAGTTGAAGAAGTCCAGGGAGGGACTGAAGTGGATTGCTTGCATTTCTTCCGCGGCTTCATGGTCAGGGCTCGGGGGGCGGCCTGAAGGGACCCAGTTGTCAACACTGTCCCATACGGCGGTCATCTTGTGCCATTCACCGATTGCGGTTGGAGAGTTGAAAAATTGTCGATAGCGATTTCGGTCCTTATAGAGACGCTCGAGTTTCATTACCTACACGTGTTAGACCGGATGCAAGGGTTTGCGAAGGAATGGACACACCATTCGTGTTGAACTTTCCCAGTAATGGGACAACTCCCCCAAGAAGTTTCGACACTCCTCGTAATGCTGGATCGATGCTGTGCGCACCTCTTCGTTACTATCAGACGAGAACAGTATGTGAATTGACCCGGCTACCATGGCACAGTAGCCTCTAAAGCAAGAGACTGTGATGTAGCCAAGGCTTTGCGTCTGTTGCAGCATAGAAAGCGCAATCGCATGCTTTCTGCCCGATGCCCAAGCTTTGCCCAAGAAATAAGCAGGCGCTCTGCTAGCCATATCCCCTAGTCGATGCTGAAGAAGAAAAGGATGGTGTAGCAGACAGCCTGCAAGGTGATAGATGGCTCGACTATATATCAGAGGGCCTGCGGTTCGCATGTCTACCACCCCTTCCACATCAAGTGTCCGGTTCAAGATATTGCTCAATGGGACTTGCATTCCAAAGTTGAGCTCCAGCCGACACAAAGTTGATTCGAGGGCTGAGTATCGAGATGCCGCCGACCATGGAACGGCATCACCAAATTGTGTGTCCTCACGTAGAATATAGTGTACTACACGATTAAGTGTAGCAGCCATCAAGATGATCAGACAAAAGTGACTTTGGGCTGGCAGCGTCGTTACCTCTGGGGCATCTCCAATGAGTTGGTTTAATGTTGGAGATTGTGTCTGGGAGCATTGTCGGAATGCCCTCTCGTTGCATGGGAGGCGTAGCCTGCAATCCCTATCGCGAATGGCAGGAGGTCTTTCTCTGCCGCACGAGATGAGCCTGTCAAGCAGGTAGATGGACCAGAATGTCCTTCGGTACACTTCTTTCTCCCAAGGCTCCAGACGCGAATCTGGTTCATCATTGAAGTGGTAGCGCTGCGCTATTCGAATAGCAAGCCCAAGCTTGATCCAGGCGGCCGTGCATTTCCCGTCTTTACAAAGTTAGCATCATGGTAAGTGAGTAGGCTATGATAGACCCTACCTGAGTAGTCGATGACGCAAAGGAGGTGAATCGTCTGCGCGATATACAAGGCGTCGGCTGGGTCTGTAGCGACTGCCGAATGCTTGACGACCAGAACCCAGGCTTGGTCGGCGTACATTGACAGTACCCCGGTCGTACGATGGACATGTCCCAGATGGGAGAATCGGCTGGCCGTAGCCAAAAATGCGAGGCGCAAATATACTGGAAGTTCTTGAGATGCTAGCCGCTGTCGAAAGGTTTCTTCGTGGAACAATGAGTATGGTTGGTTGTGACAATACTGGAAGTAAAGATCGGCTGCAGAAATAAGGGCACCGGCAGATGTTACAGATGACACCTTTGGATCTCCTGGGGGCCTCGTTTGGTGTGGCAGAACGAAATCAAATCCGTCAACTGGTTTGGGGTCAGCTAGACCACGCTCGCTGGTCAGCAAGTGTATGAGACTGATCTATTAGCGAATTGAAATGAAACTCTCTTGGCCCTACAAGTGCTCACCTCTGGACACTTGCTTCGAGCGAGGACAGCCGGCTCTCAATAGAAGACATGGATAGGCCCTCATCCTTGTAATTCGTTGTTGGGTTCGATACGGAACAAGGCGCCGGATCAAGCACCTCTGTTTTCGATGTATCATTGTAGGAACATTTCTGACGCAGTCGTGAACAGTATGTACATGTTGGACGGTCCCCAGAACATCGTACTTTTTTGCGCCTGACAATACCGTGAGAATCTCGAACTGAGCCTATTGGTGAATGCACCTTACCTGCAGTTGACACACGCCTGCCTTGTCCGTTTCAAAAACCTATGCTCATCTGCGTCTTGCTCCATTGTCATTCTTCACAGCCAAAGCGTCAGAGTCTCTCGTTGCATCGAAAGAGGGTGCCGAGGAAACGGTCCGGGACAAGAGAACTGGGGCTTATCTTGCATGGCGCCATTTCCTATCACGTGGAGTTGAGATGAAGTTTCCGTGGTAGAATCTGTTGTTATCTTGGATGTGAATCGTTGAGGCTCTAATTCTCTCGTCGGATCCGTAGCCAATCAAGCATATTTCCGAGGCATGTGAGTCAAGATCTATATCCTTATCTTGGTCCCTCGTTGGGTCATCTTCCGAAAGATAGGGTAGACGGACCGTGCCCACTTTTATGTGCGAATGGAAACCGACATGGAGACTTGGAACTAGAAGCCTAGCCCCCGCCTCGGGGGAAGGGGATGAAGCTGTGAAGAAGCCTAGATTAGTTACTGCCAGAGAAGCTTGCAGGGCTCAGACCAAAAGTAACCGCCCAAACATTGGGATCCATCGCTGTCGTTCAAACGCATGGTGGTTTCTGGACCTTGGGGACAAGAGAGTCAATAAACGCAAGTGGAGCTTCAGAGAAAGCCTATATATAAAGAGAAGTGACCTACTCTGAGGATGCCAAACATTTGAGTACAGAGCTTCACATACCATTGCAACACCACAATACTTTGCATATTACCTTATCAAAATGCCTATCTATTTGAGTATGCAGCGGGTACGCTTCTCCAGTCCCGACGCATATGAAAAATTCAAGGTTCTCTTTGCCGATACACGACGCCACCTGATGACCCTCCCTGGCTTCCTCCACCTGACGTGGTGGGAACATCCCGACGATCGGAGCTGGTACAATGAGTGCAGCTTCTGGACCAGTCGCGGTGCCCTATATGACTGGCACAAAGATACATACCATAAGTATTGCAAGTCATGGGCGGCCAACGGCGCGATAATGGAGGATATCATCACCAACTTCGAGCTTGTGGGGACGCGGCTTCTTCGCATCTGCCCTGTCTGTAATCACACGCAAGACAAGAAGTACGATCTGGCGAGGGAACAGGAGGTACTACATGAGCAATGTCCGCAGTGTGGTTTCCACTTCCCTGTCTTGGAAGAAACACCTTCCAGCTTCGCAGTGTTCAAGGACGTACCAGGGTTGAATGGCGATACGGGCTCAAAGGATGCTGAGGAACCTTTGTGTCCCGCCGGGATGGCAGATGGGAAAAAGTAATCAAAATGATGTCGGACGCTCCATCAATACGGGAACATCATGGTCAGGGGCAGGAAGGGCGGAGGCTCGAGCATCTTGTTACAACCCCCTGCGCCTCTCACATAAACGCGCAGATGGTACGCCCAGATCAAACTCACGGTCGGACTCACAACTGGCCCGACTCGCGATCGTGAGCTACATTTGTGCACAGAGACATGTGTTCATTTACACTTTAGACTCCAGCTACCTCAGCTTTCAATACAACTTGGGTTCTGGGAGAGTACATCAAGACTGTGTATAGATGATGAAACCGTGCCGGACGTAGACAGGGAACAGCTTACACGGTTACAAATTACCTATGCACACCCATCGTAGATATAAATCAACCTGGGCAGAAAGTGACTGTTCTGATTTGATCAAGTGAAGAAAATATTCAAGTCGCATTTCATTGCAAACAGAAGTGAAACTTGTATTGACTTGAGAGTATGAGGGGCGATTGAGTGGAAGGGCTTCATGGATAGAAGTTTCAGTCAAGGGTAGTAGATAAAGCCACATACATGAAGGCTCTGACTGCAGTGAGAGAGTGACAAGCCTGAGAATTTCGAGAAGTAAGGTTATGAGCTCTTGTTGACGGGACTCGGTCTGTAGTATGGCATTTCAAACGGTTGTGATCGTGGTGCGATCAGTAGTCACAGCCCCTTGATAGCAGCCCTCTTTCCAGGGCCCGGTTTGCGAGGACCCAAGCCCAAAGAAATGTTGATGCGAACTTTCGAAAGGAGTCACCCTTAGCCGATAGTGAGATCAACGAGTCATCGTGCCTGACCTCGGTCCAGTACGAAGAGGGCATTTTCCTAAGTAAGGGTGGTTTACTACCAGATCACGTTTGAACGCACTATCTGCATGTAGAAACAGGTCGGATGCAGTGGGATATCCCCCAATATGACTACTCTACTTGACTAATACCGCAGTTGTTTACATCTAGACCTGCCCTGGGGACCATCTCGGGGCTTGAAACCCAAATCTATGACGACTTCTCGTTCTACAGATGCCCTCCTTTTCATCTCGAACATGAGCGAGGCGATTTCATTTTGTGCCCCCCGAGATTCAAAGCACAGGGTATCCCTCAAGATTTGGACCCGGGAACGCGGTGCTGCAAAGATCCAGGGACCCATCACTGTGACTAGTTGTTGGTGCTGTCGGTTGTCGAAGAGTGTGCAGGCCAAGGCCCGCCTACCGGAGCCGATCTCAGTAGCCCCGTGGGCTGTGTAATGAACTGGCCCTCATTTCGACTGCAAGGAGGCGCCGATGAATGATATCAATTACCCAAGAAAGGAATAATAATTACGCTTTCCGGCCCGGGCCGCGTTCGGGCCGCGTCCGGGCAAAGGGGTTGAGCCCAAGGTAGGCTTACTGATAAGCCCGTGACAAACGTTCGGACAAACCAGCCATCAAGAGACTAGGAGCTGGAGACGGGACTGTAGGTGCTTTACAAGGCTAGGCTGGTTCGCCGAGTCCGACCTCGCAGCACTCTTGCGAGCCGGACACGGCCTGAGAAACCCCTCCCTGTTGACTCTAGCTCGGCGGCGAGATTGTAGAGATCTCTGGGACTCGGAACCCAGAGCGTCGTCCTAACTATCGGGTAAGAATAGTGCTGGTCTAGTTTGCCGACAACGGGATACTTGCTCGTCCTTCTTCCGAAAGCAAGTCCATCCCCTCCCACTCGACAAGCATCGCAGTACTACATCGTAGAGGGGGCGAGGAATATCAAGCTGCAACCACCCCCAAATCTTTTATTCTCATCCTGACGTGCTATTAGAATCCCTTCTCCTTCACCAGACACTAGTCTACTTCTTTTTCCTCCCCACCCTCTTATTCTCCATACTTGCCCACCATGTCTTTCGGAAACAAGGCTACTCTCAACACTGGCGCCCAGATTCCGTTAGTCTGCCAGCAGCATCCTTTCTGATCCGACTGACGCCTCGCAGAACTCTGGGATATGGAACCTGGCAGTCTGGCCCTGGTGAGGTCGGCCAAGGCGTCTATGAGGCCCTTAAGGCCGGGTACCGCCATCTTGTGTGTCTCCATCTCATCGAAGCGACGGTGGCTACCGCGCTGCAATATGCTAACTCAGGCTCCCTTAGGATCTAGCCAAGGTGTCAGTATCACATCTAGATGGAGAGTCACGAGCGGACTTGAACTGACTGGATCAACAGCTACGGAAACCAAGTCGAGGTCGCCGAAGGCCTGCAGAAGGCTCTTAAGGAGATTCCCGGCCTGAAGCGTGAAGATATCTTCATCGTGAGTGCAAATCGGATACTGATTCATCCTAAATAGTCCAGACTAACTGAGCTTCTCGTAGACCTCCAAACTGTGGAACACGTATGCGTAGCCGACGGAGTGCCCGACATTACAAATTACTGACCAGGCGACAGTCACCACCACCCTAAGGGTGTTGAGCCTGCCCTCGACGACACTCTCAAGGAGCTCAAGCTCACTTACCTCGATGTATAACCCCCGAAACCGTCTTCCAACTCGCCCGCTAACACGCCCCCCCAGCTCTACCTCATCCACTGGCCCGTTGCCTTTAAGAAGGTCAATGAGACCGAGTTATTCCCCAAGGTCGCTGAGGGCATTAACGAGGTCGCCATTGACGACAGCGTCTCCCTTGTCGAGACCTGGGAGGGTGAGTGAACGTCCTTTTCTCCAGAGCGCTGTTAGTTCTGATACACGCCAAGCCATGACCAAGCTGCCCAAGTCCAAGGCTCGCGCCATAGGCGTCTCCAACTTCACCCCCGAGCACCTCCAGACCATCACCAGAGCCACCAATGTCGTCCCCGCCGTCAACCAGGTTGAGCGTCACCCACTGCTCCAGCAGAACGGCACTCTAATCAACTACGCCAAAGAGAATGGCATCCACATCACCGCCTACTCGGCCTTTGGTAACAACAGCATCAACGAGCCTCTACTCATCGAGAACGACACGATTAGGGAAATCGCTGCCAAGATGGCCGCCACCCCCGCTCAGGTCATCCTTGCGTGGTCCCAAGTCGGTGGCCACTCGGTCATCCCCAAGTCGGTCACCCCCTCGCGTATCCGCTCTAATTTTGAGGAGATCAAGCTGTCCGAGGAGGACATAGCAGTCATTAACAGGCTTGGCGAGAAGCCAAAGCGATTCAACGTTGCCACAGACTGTGAGTGCACCTGTCGCGCTGATTCATGTCGATTCGCTGAAGAGGACGATGTGCTAACTGGGCGGTACCACAGACGACCCGAAGTGGGACATTAACATCTGGGACGAGGCCGCCGAGCAGGGTGCTAAGTACAAGGTTATCCAGAAGAAGTAAGCGGCTGTATAGAATAGCTAGATAGGGAAAGTATAGTAAAATATACAGTAGGGAAGTTACCAACGTCAACCCGTTGTTAAAGGCTAGCGAAGCCGATTTTAGTGTCTGATGTTTTTATTAAACTGACAAAGGCAGCTTATTTATTGTCTGTGGTGATGGCAAGAAGCAATAATCCACAATGGCAAAAAAGTACAGTTATCAATACATAACGGTATTAAAACGCAATACCATAAAGGCAACTTGTAATGACCTGTAATAATAAGCATGATTAAAGGGGTATATAAGAAACAGCTTATTTCAGTTATTGTTTGTATGGTTATTAGGTATTTATATGTAGACACGGTTGTGAGTTAGTATGCTTCTATACTCGTTAAGAAATAATTAATTAATTAATATTAATTATTCGACTTGCTCGGTAATGATACAGATTGCCCTACTCATACCGGTTCGGAACTTCTCGTCAGCCGTTGTTGGGAGATACACATGGACGAAAGACTCAGGTTCCACTTCACATGCCAAGGTGGCCGTACCAAGTCGGGACTCCCCTGCCATTTGCGGCCCGGAAGTCAATGCTTTAGTTGCTATGTCAGAGCTAATAAGTTAGTAAAATTTCCTTTGAACTAATAAATCCCTAGTTAAAATCCTATCCTTCTCTCCTTTATATAATTTCTCTATTATACTCTTCTTTTATAGTGACTTTTAAATGTTTTCCCTCAGTACTCCAAGGCTTACTGCAAGGCTTTTTATGCCTGAGGCAGAAATGCATCGCCGTAAGATCAATATGCACAATTTTCACTCAGCCTCAGCTGCGCCCTCCTGTTCCCTCAGACCGTTTTTATTATGTATACAAGAGTGCCCTCATCGCGCAACTCGCACTCTTTTTATGTCCTTTTCTAATTCCAGGAACCTATAATAGCATTACCATCAACACCACTCGAGTCTTGGTCGAGTCGTGGCTAAGGCGTCGGACAGCTACCCCGCTTCCATGTCTCCAGTCGAAAACTCACGCCACGACGTCGGGACCGGGTCAGGATGTCCAGCAAGCGGCCATTTCTGTCCGATCTTGTCCGCGACTCCAAGATAAACACTGAGTTCCTCGAATCTTGCATCCAGCATGTTTTCCATGAAGCGGGACGGTCATTGCAACAGCGGCTGATCCGGAGAGAAGAGCGCTGGGTTAGGCAGAGACCTCTCGGCCATGGCGCATACGGAACTGTGTATCTCGAGAAGAGGGAAGATGGCGGAACTGGAGAGTTACGGGCGGTGAAAGAGCTCAAGAAGTCGATTGTGGCAGGACATGAGTTGGACTATGCTAGGGAGCTGGAGGCTATCATGAAGTTCTCACATCCACGGGTCCGTGTTGTTTCAACTCTTTGGGCTTGAGCTGGTCACTGATAGTTGAGCAGTATAGGCACTGCTTCGTGAGCTCAAAGGGTTGGTATGAGCACCAAGATTCTGTTTTTATCACGATGGAATTCCTTGAACTCGGTGATCTCCAGCGCTACCTCACACGACCACTACCCGAATCCCAAGGGCAAGAAATTACGAAGCAAACCCTCGAAGGCTTGAACTTTATGCATGACAATGGCTTCATCCACCGCGATCTGAAACCGGCAGTGAGCCAAAACGAGTCTCTATGTACGAACATGGGAAGGCTAACTCAACTTCAGAATATCATGGTCGTCACCAAGGGCCCAAACTGGTTCGTAAAAATCGCAGATTTTGGCATCAGCAGGCGCCGACATCAAGGCGTTACCACCCTCCTTACATTAAAGCGCGGGACACTGGGTTTTGCAGCCCCAGAAGCTCTCGGCATCGAGTCAGATCTCACCTACTCGTTCTCAGTCGACATGTGGTCGTTGGGCGCTGTTGTGTACAGGATACTCACAAACGCTTCTGCTTTTTCGTATCTGTCCGACATGTTCCGTTATGCCGCTGGCATGTTGGAGTTTCCGGAAGAGAAGCTCAAGTTACACAATGTCTCAGAACTTGGACGCAACTTCATCATCGAGCTCATGCAGCCTACTCCCGAGGATCGATTGTCCGCGGCGCAGGCGATGCTTCACTCGTGGTTTACTACACCACTTCCCCCCATGGTTGAAGGTGCATCGGACATGTGAGATAATTTTCCTTGTAGAAAGTCCCTATGGCTAACGTTACAGGTCCTATTCCACAATAGAAGAGGAGGAGGATGACATCACAGATGTATCGATGCCCTCAAAGACATGGAGTAGTGATGGTGAAGCCACGATACGAACTTCTGTTCCTATCAGGACTAAACAATATCACCAAGCCACGGACCCTACAGCGGCCCCAAAAGCGCGATATCCTGACGATCGAACGGCGATACCAGCGCATCCCACTGTCTCTGAGTCTAACTACAAACCCCCATCAGTCGACGACTGCTCAGACGACAACCATGAGAGTGATCCACTCCCAAAGCTCCCGAGTGATTCAAAATGGGTTCTAGACCTAGACAATGACCTCGAAGACTACAACACCTCCGAAGGAAGCACGACAGAAAGCGAGCAAGACAGTACAGAGGACAGCATACCAGAGGGTCAAGATTATACGATCCCGATACGTCACGCTCAACCTATCAATACTGAGGAGAGTTCCGGGACAGACTGTACGGACAATGAATCAGAATACGAAAGCGACACCGACTCAGACGTCGAAGCGGAAGATACTGCGACGCCCCAAGATCCCGTGGAAGACACCCCAAAGTGAGTGCTATTCACGTCTCCTTCAATATCTTCGTGTGATTATTTAACAACAAGCAGAGACTCGGTCAAGCCGGCCATCATGGTCGACTGCAAAGGTTGTGGCGTTTCTTACGAGTGGGAGGGCGAATATATTCAACGTCTCCCATGCCAGCACTACATGTGCCATCTCTGTCTCTATCAGTACCTAGCCCTGTCTCTCATATCGCCCAAGTACATGTCAGCTCGATGCTGCGATAGTGACAAAGGAGAAATCGGACAAGAATCCTTTGGAAACATTATCGTTGACCCATGGATCACCGCCGCCTGGAAGAAGTATGAGCAACTAAAGGACAACGACGACTGGAGATGCCTTCGCGGACATCCAGCAAAAGGCGGCTCACTCATCGTCACTGTCGGATCACGAAACTCGCCCCCAATATGGAAGGAAGTGGTCAATTGCACGGGCTGTCTTACCCAAACACGACACATCGACGGCAGTGTCAAAGAGGTGCGACCAACCTCATTCTGCCTTCTATGCCTCGGAGAAGTTTCAGGGAATGTATGCAACCTATGCGAGCAGAACTCAGTCGTGTGGCCGTTTGTCAGCTATGTGCAGGACAGAATTGACGCTCCCGTATGCTGGCTGTCATCTGTTCTCAAATTTGCTTGTCGTGACAGGCTTACCATCAGGAACGGGGGCAGTCAGCTACAGTTCCAGACCTTGGCGGAGTTGAAGGGACTACCCCCTCCTGATGAGGGACAGTCTGGGTCCGAGGAGGAACATCCAAACGGCGATGTCAATGACGACTCCGCCGACGCACAGAAGCCGGAGCCACAGAAGCCGGAGCCCCAGACGCCGGAGTCTCAGACCCCATCTCCAGACCCCGGAGTTGTTCCCCCGGAGCGACCGAACTCTTCTACTCCACGCACATCTCAGTCGGACGTCGGCGGTGAGGCCGGTTCGCGCAGATCCCGCTCAAAACGCAAGCAGAGCCGCCATGGTCGCCGCGAATCCCCCAAACCAACACGTGCTAGGACTCTGTGGGAGAAGATGACACCACAAATGTTCCATTCCACAACGAAGAAGAAGAAAAGAAAGTGAAAGAAACTATTCCTAGGAGGACTGGCTTTGACAAAAAGGAAAGGCTACTCCATATTTTATGAGTGATGCAAGGAGAGCGGCCGCGAAGTCTTCTGCGCAGCATTGTGTTGTAGTTAGGTGTATTTAAGCATGCTTAAACCATCCACAAGGCAATCGAGGAAGAGGAAGTTAATACTACAACTGATCCTTGAGACAAGAATATCTAAAATCTAGTAGCAGCGTTCATTGGCTTCAAGTCCAAGCCAACGTCCTGGCGATGAGGCCATGAGAGTAGTAGCGACCAGTGCTGGCTCGCCTGTGGCTTGCGTTGCGTCTTATGATACCACACAACTTATCCAAACCTCCCGTGGAGAGTTTTAAGCAAGTAAGCACCGATGACTGCCAAACCACCAAAGAGAATCAAGACTTGGTAACCGTACTTGTAATGGGGAGCGTCGTAGGTTGGGAAGAGGACCACTACAAGCAACACATTAGTTCCTGGCTTACATAGTTCTGGGTGGTTGGGCGGTACTCACAGGGGAGCCATGTCGAGAAACTGTAGGTAAAGATGTTGCCGGTCGCAACCAAGAGCTGACGAAGGTTTGGATCACCAGCGTTGAGATGGTGGCCCCATGACTAGGAGACGCATTGTTAGTAATCTTGGTGGGAGGGATTTTGGAGGATTGGGTATTCTTACAATGATAATAGGCTGAGCTGCACTTCCGACGTAAGACAAGAAGTAGGCAAACAACTTTGCGCCGTTGGGAATGTACCAGACAGCAAGCAGGATGTTGGACACGACAACAGCCAGTTGAATAATGACAGACATTGTAAGACGAGCCTGAGTGGCATCGACGATCATGCCAGCTGCGAATGCGGCTACAACACTGATGGCATTGCCAGCAGTAGGCAAAACGTTGGTCTGCACCACGCTATAGCCCTCGGCTTTGAGGTAGAGGTTGAAGTAACCAGTACCACTGCCTGCTTGGGCAACCATTCTGAAAATATCAGCACCTAATAAAATGCAAGGGATAGTTCTCACTTACAGATATGGCAGGATGAAAACCCAGAGCCTCCAATTGGAAAAAACGCCCTTGATAGCCCGCCATGTCAAGGGCTGGGGGGCAACGCGCCCATTGCTTTCAGCCCGTTGGATGCCGTATTCTCTATCCTGTGATTTGTTAACCCCGAAGCAGTTCATAGAATGGTTGTAGTCGACCTACATCCTTTGTCCAGTAAAATGCTCGGGTGGTATGTGGAAGATCGGGGATCGCAAAGAAGCCCCAGACGGCGATCGGGATTGAGATAATTCTGGTCGCATCAAGCGTTAGTTAACATGACTATACAGAGAGGATCTTGGATCATACCCATCAAAGATAAACAGCCACTGCCAGCCAGCGAGGCCGTGTCGCCCACCAAGGCCCTTGTAAAGGGCTGCTTGCAAGTAGCCACTGAACATGGAAGCGATACCACTTGTTTGTTCAAAGATGGCCATTCTCTTGGTCAACTCACGCGGTCCATACCAACCACCAAGCAGAGCGGCGTATCCAGGGAAAGCACAGGCTTCGAGTAAACCAACAAAGAATCGGAGGGCGTAAAGCTGCAGAACGGTGGGTTAGCGAGCACTCCTGGCCGGAAGACACTCTCACATACCGTCTCCACGTTCTTTGCAGATGCCATAGCCATCACCAAAACCGACCACAAGACCTCGCAGAGAGGAATCCAAATTGATGGTCGAACATATTTGAGCTGGACCATCTGCGTCGGCACAGTACCGATCAGGTAACCAATGTTGAAGTAACTGTTCAGCCAGTTTCGCTCGTTTCCGTATAGACCAAGCTGGGATAAGAGTGTTAGCAATGGGTTCTTTTCCGCCACCAGGTTTACCTACGTCTTCTTTCATCCCACTGACAAACGCATTGCCTGAAGATTGTGAGCGAAGATCTAAGTACCATAGACCAATAATTGCATACTGATGTTTGTCTGGTCAAGGTATTTGATGAAGTAACCGAGACAAATATACGAACTGTACTTATCAGCAAATTTCCCGCCGTGTAGAGACGGTTGATCTTACAAGAGGAATGTGTCCAGCTTCTGGATGTACCTCCTGTCTCGAGGATCTCCATCAACAGAGTCCCAGAAGAAACCCACCAGTCGGCGCCATAGAGGTCGCTTAGCAGTTATGGGTTCGATAACATTTGTCGATATCGGGACCGCAACATCTTCATCGGTTGAAGAGGATGAAGAGTTGCCGACAACAACCACAGCTGGTTCTTTGAGAGTAGACATTGTCAGAGCAAATTCTCGATGGTAGCCAAACTGTCCTGATCAGATATCAAGTCGGGCATTCTCCGATATCTGCCGCCCTCTCTTTGTAGCATCTGACGTTGCACTGCGTTATCTACATGTGGAGTCGTCATAAGCTTGATATATGGCGATCGAGTGAACTATGCGACGCGGTTAACTGCACCCGATGCCCTATCTTACAAGGGACGAATGAAAAGTGAGGAAATAAAGTTCGTCATCGCGGGAATTATGGCGAGAAACCGGGGATAAAGACAAGGTCGGGGCAGATGCGACACTCGGAGACGTCACATCAACCTCTTAGGGGATGTCGCAATGCCTTCGCGAGGTCGCTAATGGCTCAAGGCGCATTTTTCCTCGGAGGGATGGCGATCCCCCGCTTCATATTACCAAGCATGGACATTCCGAGAATCGGAGTCATGTTGATAAATGCTGGGCATGAGACGTGGGAATAATCTAAGATGATCAAGCAGATAACGTCAGACAATCCTTGACTCTACCATTGAGAACCATGGCTACTCAAACCGCGACTACCACTACATCCCAGCCTTCGGAGACAGTGTCTCAGCTGAGGTTTGATACTTCAATCAACTACAATGAGAACGAGGTTGGTAGTTGTCCTCTACTCTAGTCTATCAATATTCACATAGCTCAGTACAAATATTCCCACTACCTTCCACATTCCAAGCCAGGTCTACAGCCGCCCCTGGAAGAATTCAAGCACACCGACCCAGGCCTTCGTGCCGATCCTGCCAAAGCTGCCCTCCTGAATGCTCCAGGGTCCTCGTTCCAAGAGATCACCCCAGCAGTGGGCACCGAGGTCCATGGCCTCCAGCTCAGCTCGCTCGATTCCAAACAAAAGGATGAACTCGCTCTTCTGGTAGCTGAACGCGGAGTTCTTGTCTTTCGTGGACAGGACTTTGCAGACATTGGCTTTGACAGGCAAAAGGAGTTTGGTGCGCACTTTGGCAAGCTACATGTTCATCAGCATGGAGGGCATGTCAAGGATTATCCTGAGTTATTGCCAGTCTACCGAGACTTCACGTAAGTGCTGAGATATCTCACCCTGATGCCTTGTACTAATATTAACGACGCTTCTAGGGCTGGTGCGGTAGACAACGAGATCAAGAACAATGTCAGCAGCATCAAGTGGCACACTGACATGTCTTATGAGATGTGAGTCGAAGGTCCTGCAGTGTTAATCACTTGACTAGAGCTAATTACATGAAGCAACGGCATGGGAACAACCATCTTCTTGGCACTTGATGCCCCTCCATCAGGAGGTGACACGCTCTATCTCTCAACAGTGGCCGCGTACAACGCGCTTTCGCCACTATATCGTGAGAAGCTTCACGGCCTGGAAGCCACGCACTCTGGGTTCGAGCAGGCTAGGGTTGCTGATCACAAGGAGCGATACATCCGCGAACCGATTGAGACGATCCACCCTGTTGTTAGAACTCACCCTGTGACCAAATCCAAGTCTTTGTACGTCAACCGTCTGTACACGAGACGCATTCAAGGCTTGAAGGAAGAAGAGAGCGGTAAGTGAAACGCGAAACCCCGTCCAGTTGCGATAAGGAATACTGATTACTGTATAGCGAACATCCTCAACTTTCTTTACGATCACATCGAACATGGTCAAGACTGGCACATTCGAGTACACTGGACACCAGGCACAGTTGTTGTCTATGACAACCGGATCACTCAGCAGTAAGTGCTCGTGAATATCCAAGACCTGCAAGCCAATGTTGACACTATCTAGCTCTGCCCTCCGCGATTTCCAGGTCAAGGAGGGTCAGACCCGACGACACATGTTGCGCATCACGCCCCAGGCGGAGAGGCCATACTTTGATCCCGATGCCTAGAAGGGCCATCAGACCCCTGCTATAGACATCTCGTTTTGCCTGCTGTGTCAGTGGTCGAATCGATGATATAGTCACTGAATGTTTATACCACGAGGTGAATGCTAGCTACCATGACAGAATTGGCCTGGGGCAGCACTTTTCGCGTCGAGAACAAATGTTTGAGATATCATCCGTAGTAATAAGCAATTGCCTTGACGTGCCCATGCTAAGACTCGATTTCGTAAAACCAAGCCCAAGAGCGCTCTCCGCCGTGTGACAGTCTCCATGCTATCCTCGCCCTGTTGTAGATAACTATTCTATGACTTGTTTGCGCGGCTCAGCACCTCCTCTGCCTTGTCAAGCCCAGCCAATCTTTTGGCAATCCCATCCAACCATCCAGTGGGAAAGAAACTGCCAAACCAAACTGACCAGGCCATCTCACCACGCCAGATGACAGGCGGCGGGTTTTTCTTCAGCAAATCACGCACAACAGCGTCTGCCCAATCCTGAGAATCCGAACCCTGTCCTTCGTACCCTTCTTGGCGCATGGCTGCTTCCAGAATATCCCTGGCGGGCTCATAGATGGAATCCTTTGGTAGGATAGGTGGCTTCCTTAGTAGCGCGTTCTGGACCAAGTTGCTCTTGACGATGCCGCTTCTGAGATCCACCACTTTGATGCCAAATGGTTTAAGTTCTAGACGTAGTGTGTCGGACATCATGGCCATAGCTGCTTTTGATGAATTGTATATAGCCTGAAAAGGCACGGTGGCAACAGCGCCGATAGATGTCTGATTTACCACCATGGCGTTGGATGATTTGAGAAACAATGGTAGAAATGCCTGTGTGACAGCAATATGAGACCATAGGTTCAGATCAAAGATATTCTTTGCCGCAGCAATATCCATGTCGACGATTGGCATGATGAACTGAGTGCCAGCGTTATTGACGAGGATGTCGAGAGAGGGAACTTGTTTGACGCAGTCGGCAATAGACGTGTCGGATTGCACATCCAGAGTGAGGGTTTTGATTCCGAGAGACGCCAGGTGCTTCATCTTGTCAGGATTTCGAGTGGTTGCGTAAACGTTCAAGCCCGCGTTGTGAAAGGCCACAGCGAGGGCGGCACCTATTCCGCCATCGGAACAACCAGTTATCAGAACCGATCGCTTGACGCTTGCATTAGTGGAAGCCATTTTCGTCCAATATTCTTCGGTGGTGAGAATTGGTGGTGTTGATGGTAGACCTCTGTCAACAAATATTCTAATAACAATCAACCCGTATGGGGAAACAAACGAGGAATCGAATCCACAGAGACCTTTAACCCGGATTCTTAGCTACTTATATCATGCCAATGCCAAGTCTCACCGTGGTTCCATATCGGACGAACAATCCTACCGGGTCGGCACGGAAAGCGGCCGTTTGGGGTCCGGAACCCGTGCTCGGTGAAAGCTGAGTGGCTGGTCGATCCGCGGATTAATCTTATGATCCCAAGCGGTTAGTCGACGAAAATGAGTGGCTTACTAGGTAAGACGGTATGGATCTTTGGACCTGGGTAGTGAAGCTGACTGCTTTGCCAGTGCGACTTGGCTCTCGTAATCCACTGGTCAGCCAATACGGATGGGGCCAAGGTCAAGGCATAAGCTTGTTACACCTAGCACAGGCCCAGTAATGAGTGACAATTGTTTTCCTAACAATCTGAAAACGACGTTTCCTAATACTTTGATCATTATTTAATCTTATCAGAGGGATAATCTCTTGACCAACACGACTATCGACAACGGGCGATCAAACACAATGATTGGAGCAACACTAATAGTTTCACGTGATACAGCAATGGTGACATCCCCATCCATCATGACGAATACAAACGCATATTATCTAACGTTGAGAAACGTTGACCAATTTCTAATCCTCCATCCCCGCAAGAGATGGCATCTTAGAATTCTGCGTCCGCAAATATCGTGACTTTTCAGAACAGAATGAGTGATAACAACAAGATCAAGTCGGTCGCCATTATCGGAGCCGGAGCCGCTGGTATTACTATCGTACCATCTATCTCATGTACGCGGATCTAATCAGTGTTACTACAGGAGCAATTACTGCGGCAGCTTTCAAGGCTGAAGACTACTATGATCGCATACGCGTGTTTGAGAGAAGAGAAACACCCGGTGGAACATGGTAACTTGAACTCTACCCATGCGAAGAGGAAATTCTTTGCTGATACGGATGAAAGGATATACGACCCGAATCCATCAATCCCCCCGATCCAACCGGGAGGCCTGCCCGCAGATATAGATAAGCCTTTGGACATCCCGACGAATCTCCCAACGACGGCACCTCCAAGTCAACAAGAGAGATATACGCACACTCCGATCTACGACAATCTCACGTAGGTTGAACAACCCACTATCCAGATGAGATCACTGACAGAGTGAAGAACCAATGTCCCTGATATCGCCATGTCATTTTCTGACATTCGATTCTCCTATGGACCATTTGTTCCACACTATGTTCCTCGCCAGTACATTGAGAATTATTTCTACCTTCACAAGACTGACGAGTACCTTTCGCTGAACACCACGGTGGAGGATGTGTCTCAGCTACCGCTTTTGCCAGCTGCGAGTTTCAAGAGGTGGAAATTGACTCTCCGAAAGTATGAGCCCTTGCGAGGGGTCGACGTTTGGTGGGAAGAGGAATTTGACGCCGTCATTATTGCCAATGGCCATTACTCGATTCCTTGGGTGAGTGACTCTGCAACATCTCTCTCTTATTCTTACTGACTTATCCAGGTGCCGGTTGTTGATGGCCTGGAAGCATACATGGAAAAGTTCCCTGGGCGTGTCGTGCACTCCAAGTTCTACCGCTCGCCACATCTCTACACCAACAAAAAGGTTCTCATCATCGGGAATTCGACCTCAGGACATGATGTTACAGTTGATCTGCTGCAAGCCGTTCATCTCCCCGTCTATCAGTCGAGAAGATCAAAATCGAGATGGGACGGTGATGAAGCTCCCCAGGGAGTCGAATGGAAGCCAATCATCAAGGAATATCGTCTCGACGGCACGATTGTGTTTGAAGACGATACTACCTTGAGCGATATCGACCAAATCATTTATTGCACAGGCTACAGACCCTCTTATCCCTGGTGGAATAGCAAGGTCAACGGTCGCCCGCTGTTTGACTACAAGGCAAACAAGTTGATCAAGACCTATTGGCACACCTTTTTCCAAGACTTTTCGAATCTTGCACTGGTAGGACTCCCGCGGGTTCTAACGTTTAGAAGTTTCGAGTACCAAGCAGTCGCCCTAGCACGACTCTTTTCTGGTAGAAATGCCATCCCGCTTCCTCCCCTAGAAGAGCAACAGAAGTGGGAAAAGGATAGAGAAGAAAAGGTCAAGAGTGAGAGACGCAAGTTTCACGAGATTAGGTGGGAGAGAGGGGAGACCCAGGAATGGCTGAACGGGTTCTTCCAGATTGCAGGCATTGGGAGATTTACTGGTGAAGGCAGGATACCCCCGGCCTTGACAAAGGAGCTCGTCTGGGCTATTGAGCATCTTAAGAAGTATCCAGAGCCAGGAAAGGGGGGGAAGAGGGAAGTTGAGGCTGGAGAGTTGGGTGCTGACGAGTGGGTGTTGGTTGAGGAGCCCGTTAAAGATCTGCTTGCGTTCATATGAGTTGGTCTCCGTATCTTTCTTAGAGTAGTAACACGGCCTAGATTCATGTTGTTTCGTTTCTTTCATACCATGAGTGTCTTGCGTTTTCATTCTTGACTATCTACATCTCAAAAGAGCGCCCGCCGCTTAATGACTGTATGAACGCCTGTTTTCCACCACCGACTCGGAGCTCTTGCACAGGCACATATTCAAGCACCTTCTCAAGAATCACGGCTTGCCATTCTACCTCCGCACGTAACCCCACAGTCATAGTTTGGCCCTCTCAGCATTCTAAAGATGGCCCCCTGTGCTCCTCTAGGGAGGTGAAGACTGCCTATCGAGAAGATGATGCCGCTCAAGCGCTCGTGCAACCTCCGATCGTGATTGCGGCCGAAGAACAGAGCGTCTCTTGTGTTTCCGAATATCACTGCTGGCTTCAATTCGATCCGACTAAGCTGCGAACCTCTGGAGGAGACATCGCGGACAGCGCCGTGGTCATGTGTCGTCCCATACCAAGCTTCACGCAGCTCTAGCGCCCTAGTATTATTTTCCCAGTAGAGTTTTAATGTCTCCAAGAAGCAGCTAGCCTTCTTATGAAACTTGAGAGTTGGCGATATCCCATCAGCGCATTCCAACAGCGCCGGCAGCCGTACGTCATCTAGGTCCATCACCAGGACGTCAGACCCTTCGTAGAGAGGATTTGGGGGGAGGAGCTCGGGTTGAAGATTGCTCAAGTCAGGATAAGTTACTCCCTGAGGTGGGTGGTTGTAGACAATGGCCGAAAGTCCAATGTAGATGACGTGGATTGGTTTTGGAGGCGGCTGGTCAAGGATACACTGTTTGAGGCATTGCAAGCCCTCCACTGTAGGCCAGAGACACACCAATGCCTGGATATCAATAGGCAACGAACATGCCCGAGAGTACGAGGCTGCGGTCAGTGGCAGATAAACCGCCCTCGGGCGACGATCAATCCATACTAGGCTTTGAAGCACTGGATCTTCTGTGGGATTGCTGGTGAAGCACCCATTGTCGAGAGCCACCCTGCGAGATTCGCGACAGGTAGATAGAAGTGCCAAAGGAGGGTCGTTCGCCCAGACTTGGCCAAGTTCTGATACTTTCTGCTCGTAGGATCTAGGCCCGATCTTAAGGACGCGACACGGGGGAAGCAGCTGCTCCCAAACGCGCAGGCGCAGCTCCAACGGAAGGCGATCAAAACATTTAAAGGAGGGCGTATCCGAGTTATCCATGGTGAAGTGAGAATTTACCGCTGAAATCACATGCAGGAGTGTTCAAAGATAAGGTCAGTTGAGGAACAGGTGCAGGATTTGACCTCTTTAGGCAGCCATCCATGGATGCATGGGTGAAGCCTGGTATCTTTCGGACCCTGTTTATTCCGAACTCCATCCCAAGGCATCACCAACACCCTTTTCATTTCAATCTTGACTTGTTCAAAACAACTCATCAAATAACTCTCACCATCGTTAATTCATCAAGTATTGCATCTTCCATCAACTCATCCATCAATCATGTCCCACCAGTTCCGCCCCGTTTATTGGGATGCCGAAGACAAACGCCCCATCGTCGACGGAAAACACAATGATCCAAGGACCGGCGAGCTTCGTACGTCTACCGGAGCCGCCTACTCGGGTCCTCCTTCGGTTGACATTATTATCATGAACCTCCACGAAGACTCAAATGAGGGGATCCTCCGCGCGACGCGATCTTTTCCTATGGAAAAGCTCTTGTTCCATATGATGCGAATAGTTCATGAGCGAAACCTGCAAGTCGACTCGGTCAATGCGACGCCATATGCTATTCGCATTATTCTTGCGCATGAGCTTAAGAGGGAAGAGTTCAATGAGGCAGCACGCGCCATGCTGAGTGCGATACGGGACGAACCGTAAAAGAGAAACTGCCATGTAAATATGTTTCTATCTCTTCAATCAATTAATCATGGTATATCGACAAAACATCCGTCGTGTTCTTGTAGTCCACACCACACTTGTCAGAAAACCCAGCAAACATGTCGACCCTGTCTTGCACATAGTCCTCAAAACCCTTCCTCGAACAGCTCGTGCCTGGTCCATCAACACAGTCTGGCAGAGGCTGAGGCGCGCTGTTGACCAGCACGCGATAGTACTCCCCGTCGTCGTATCCGTAGCTGCCCGTACAGTTCAATCGCTCAATGGCAATGTTGCTGAGGAAAGGCAAGACATGGGAACTCTTCCAGGCTCGTCGGTAGTTGATCCGGCTCAGTGGCATCGTGTCGTTTATCTGAGACGGACCCCCAAACTGGGAGTTGTTGAAGAGGCCCATTGCGACCAACACCATGGGAGGCAGTTCACGGTGAGTGAAACTGACATATAGGTCCTGGTCGTCTGATTCCTTGTTGAGGAGAATATCGGCAGTCGCATTAAACCAGGGAAGGCCGACATAGCCCGAGACCTGGTTGCCATATCCGACGTTGTAATGGTATCGAACATCTTCCGAGTACTCCCAGCCAAGCCAATCATCAGGTGAGAATAGCTCCAGGTTGCAGAAGGGAGACTTTCCATGAATGACGGTTTCATATCCACACAGCTGTTGCATCCCAAAGACATCGTTGACGGTAAAGTTAAAATCCGGAGCCAGGTCGTTTAGCCGTGCAATGATGGGCTTTGCGTACTTTTCCTGGTACACGGATGCCTCGTCGCTACCAGCAGATGATGAGTAGGCCGGGCAGGCGCTATAGGGCGTCAGGCTGTCTGCTCCAGACTCTTCAGATTCGTAAATGCTCTCGACCTTGATGGTCTGGTTGTCCATCTCGAGCCCACGGACGAATGACTGGGCAGACTTGAGAGTTCTCTCGGCAGACGAAGTCCATACTCGCTTTGGGAGCCTCAACTTGGGATACCGAAACTCGAGATCAACACCCAGTTGCGTCGCTTCCAATCTGCCCACTCGGGTCAAGAGCTCGGCCTCGGCATCCGAAAATGGGGCGGACCAGTCGGCCAAGAAGTTGAGGTAGGGAATCTTGCTCCAGTCGATCTTGGTGTGGTTCTCTAGCTTCTCAACAAACGGCTCAATGTACTCTTCATAGTCAAAGTCATTAGCGTAGATTGCGGCGTGTCGCACTAGGTAGGCGGCACGCTCTGGTTTGCAACCCTGGGGAGCGTCGGGGGAGGTTGGGGGGTCTTGGGGCTCGAAGTACGGTGAAATTCCGCCGAGGTGCTCAAGGGGATTGAAGCTATAGGTAGAATAGAGAGTGGAAGCTGAAGTATGGGCCACCAATGGCAAGAATTGGATGAGCCGGTGGCTCAAGGGAGCTTGTTGTTGAGGCATCGCGACCAAGGATGGATGGATGGATGGAAGCTACGGAGAGAGCGTCTATTCTGACTTCAGAGACTTCATTTAAACTACTTATTTACTTTCACGAAATGGATCGTATGAGATCATTGGTAACAAACAGTCAAAAACATCGTGTTGCCCCAGAAGACCCAGACTAATTCCCCGTATCCTTGACGTCACCTCTCATGGCAAACCATGATGACTTTCTCCACAATGCAACCCCCAAAACCGGTCTGTGTTCCTGAAAAGTTGGTAAGGAAAAACATGATTGGAACGGAGATTTGCGGCGCCATCTTGGACGCGTTAATCCCGCCTTTTGTGTCAATGCCACGCGGGCCGTTCTAGCCGGTAAGCACGCTTGGCGTCTTCGATCCTCGATCGTTGAATCCGACTTGATGGATGCATACATCAAATCATCAAGACCTCCCAGGACGCACTTCTCCCCGCTTCAGCTCCTCCTGTACAATTATACCCCAGTAATCCCACCACCAACCAATTTGGGAGTCCCTCCTGATATGGAAAGACGTGGCATAAATCGCCATCAACCAATTCCGCGCTCGCTTCTCAACGTCGGGAGTACGGTCCTGCCAGTTGGCAATCATCTCCTCGGGAGCCTCGTCCGTCACGTCCAGGCAATGAGCGGCCCATTTGCCGACTCTAAGGAAATGACGTACTTCTTCCTTGCGTAGATCCGTTTTAAATTCTAGGTTACCGGCCTCGTCCAGTGTAAAGTCCCAAGGAGAGTCCCCCGTCTCTGGCTCGTCGCTCCAGTCGGGCACCGGGTTTGGTTGACGGCCATTGTAGTGAATAAGCCAAAAGAGGAGGATAGCCAAGTTCAGCCAGCCGTGCCCAACTAATGTCGCTATGGTGCCGGATTTCTTCTTGATGAGCTCCAGGCGTATGTATTCTTTTGCGGTATGGTTGCGGAGGTAGCAGCCGGCGCCATCCTTTAATGCATGCAGATCAAGACAAGACGCCATCCGTGAATGAAGGTCCTCAGGGATGTCACTGGTCGAGATCTGCCTCCAGAACTCCATCATGACAACATGGTACTCGGGAGACGAAGCTCTCTCGGAGCTGGCGATTTCGCCGATGACCCAATCTCGGTACCATGGACTATCCTCTCCCGGGGGGTTTAATCGTTCCCTTGAGCATTGCAGTTCTGGTACAACTTCAAATAGAGCCTGTGGGAAGGACGTGAGCCATGCCGCCAAGCTAATGATGGGGGTTCCCGCCCAAGAAATCTGTTTGTGCCTTGAGCTGAGATGCTCACGGATGGCTGAAACAGTGTGAATCCAGAGGCGCTGCGAGCATAGTGCGACAGCCATCTGATCCGTGATTCCTAGCCCAGAAACTATCTCGCGGAGGATCTCTGCCGGAAGCTTCTCCAGGGAAGATGGCCTGGTTGAAGGGCATCGTCTAGTAATCCAAGAAAGGTCAGCTGGCCTGTGAACAAGAGTGTGTAGCCTGTCAAGGGCACCAAAGTTGTTGCTGCTGTTACTGTTGTTGGTGATGAGGGCGAAATCCAGAACGTTCAGCCAACATCTTTCATGCACTGGATATCTGAACTTTTGCTTCAGCAAAGGGGCCAGGATAAACCGCCCACCAAGCGTGTTCTCAGCTTGAGCCATTTCCGACGTCACTCCCAGTACGCCGCTACATCGCCAAGTGTCTTGTGAGAAAGAATTCAAAGATACTTGGTCGGATTAGCTCACCGTAGGTGTATGTTGCTGTCAGCCTTGTTTTGAGGCGCAATATGGGGGGGGTAAGTGTTGATTATGTAGCCAAGGTATTGTATGCAAGCCATACAGGATAACGATTCCTACTAATCGCATAATTGTCTAGTATACGTACATACTGCAGTGTTTATTCATTTACTCCCGAATGATAACCCTCAATCCTTGGCTGCCCGGGTACTGACCAAATGTCACGTAATCCGAGTAAATGGCCACATCCTCCTCCTTCGTCTTATACAGCTCCATCGTCGGACCGCTCTGCTTATCCTTTGACGCAACATACACGTCGTATTTGCGAAATATGCCAGCGACAAACGTCTGTAGTTCTTGATATGCCAAGTTGATACCGATACACTGTCGGGTTCCCTTGGAAAAGGCAAACTGGTAGGCGGCGAGACCAGGGTTCTCGAGGTACCGGTCAGGGCGGAATTCCAGTGGATTGGGGTAAAGATCGGGATTGCGGTTGACCAGCGGTGCCGTCATTCCGACGCCTGTCCCAGCAGGTATAACAAAGGTTTGGCCGTCCGGGCGCTGGTAGACGAGATCTTCGTCGGGGGCAACTCGATCTTGGCGGTGGGAGGCGCCAGGATAGAGACGAATAGCTTCTTGGATCAAGGCGTTGAGAAACGGTAGCCCATTCAGGGTGGAAGGATCCGGGATTTCGTTGACGTCAGGCATAACTCTTTCAAGTTCAACTCTCAGTCGTGTCATGAGACTCGGGTCAGCGAGCAAATGGTACGTGATGGCAGCCAAGGTAGAAGCTGTTGTCTCTGACCCGGCAATGACCAAGACCATGGCCTCGTCCGCAAGACGTAAGGTCTCCTTTTCAGAACTAGGGATGTCGCTGCGAAGAATCTCGTGGAAGATTGTCTTGCCCTCTGGCAGCTTGTCGGTTTGCTTAATCTGATCGATCTCTGCATTCAGATTCTATAGATTCATCAGTCTATGAAACTTCAAGGGAGCTGCCCACACTTACAATCATGAATGTCGCAAACACGCCAACTCGAGGGAGAAGGGTAGTCATAATCACAGGAGGCAGATTTGCCATTAGGTACGCCAACCAGAACGCATGAGTGCCCAAATGGCAGACCCGTTGCGGGGTGAAGACGTCGAAGAAGGCTGCGTTACAGTCTTCCATGTCAAGACACATCTCTCCATCTCCGAGAGCATAAGCTTGGATGACGTCTTTAGTAGCAGCTCTGTATGCGCTGTTCAGCTTAACAGGCTGCCCGGCTTTAGCCCAGCCTTCCATTCGACGTAAAAGATTGAACAGGATGCCATTGATGACCGGAGACAGACGTCTTACATTCTGGCTCGAAAAGAATGGATTGAGAACAGCGCGACGTCGACGATGGAGGTCGTGGTCCTTGGTTGCCAGGATAGAACCATCGGCCTGCATCGTCCCCAGAATGGTACTGTGTCGTTCCCGTCGGTGCTTGGGCGATTGCGAGTAGAGCTTCTCTATGAAGGCTGGGTCGTTGACGTGAATCGTATCCGGGCGGGTTCGTACAATTGGGCCATACTTGCGGTGCATCTCCTCGATGACCCAGATGTATTGACCACCGCTAACGAGGTCATGATAGCCGTTGTACCATGAAGTGACAGCTATCGAATGTCAGCGTGTTCCAAAAGTGGTAGTGCAAGTGATTTTTCTGACCAGCAATCTTGGGTCCTGGAAACTTGGCCAGCGGGCTAAAATAGAGACGATAGACGCAAACCACGACGCCATAAGTCACGGCCGCGGCGACCGCAAGCACAAGATAGCCCATCTCGACGCCAGCCTATGTCTCGGCTCTTTGGCGCACACTCAGTTTGTGTAGCTTGGTAACACACCGAAGTTGAAATGAAAGCCAAAAATTGGAATTTATCACTTCTGACGAAATCAGCCGCTGGGCTTGGATCTCTAGGGATGGCGTCTTAGTGCTGACGGTCAGCAGATCGAGAGAACTGTTGATTCGTTGGCTTCAGGGCTAACATGGAATGGGCTTGGTCGTTATCTTGGTAGTGTTGGCTTTGGACGGACTACGTGAGTACCTCAGCCCTATTCTTCAACCCGGGTAAACAAACATGCAAGCTCGTTCTCGCCAAACCAAGATCTGTTCTTCTTCCAGGCGTTCACAATAATATCTCTTCCATGCCTTGCCACATCCTCAGCTTGAGCCGGCGTGCCCCCAAACGTACCAAAGCTCAGCAGATGGACGCCCACCTGCACGGCAAGCCTCCAAACAACGTCCGTCGGTCTTGGCCCAAGTCCGTCGGAGTATCCCTGCACCAACCAGAGCGCCGCGTCCATCTTCTGAGACAGCCACAGGGCGTACAGCTCCCCTATCATTTCTCCATGGTCAAGGTTCTCTACGCCGAGTTGGCCGTTCTCCCAGTCGACGACGAACAAGGAAATATCGGTTTGAGAATCAAGAGGCGCGTCGGCAAGGAGAATGCTGTCAGGTTTATGAGTGTTTGTCCCGGTCTGTGCACTGGATGCACTCACTTTTGGGGGCAAAAGTCGCCGTGTATAGGTTTATCATTAGACTCGAGCAAGGCCTGCAGCTTGACCTGGTAAAATACGTCTCTCGCATCAGACAAAGTGTCGGGGAACTGGTCAATTCGCTGCAATAACCAATCATAATTGATCATGTGCTTGAGTGATTGCATCTGCTCATTGCTTCGAAGCGCAGTAAATGACTTTCGTGGAGACTGGACCATCGGTCCGCTGGCGAGGTGGAACTTGGAGATGTACTCTGCCAGTGTCTTGCCGATATTACGGCATGGCAGCTCAAGGTTCTTGGGAGTTGGCCATGAGAAATGGTTTTGGATGTACGTCTTGAGATCAACCGTGTTAGGGAGATACTCGTGGATCTGAGTTTTGGTGTCATCATCGTAGTAGAAGCACCTCGGCGTACGGGCAGTGCAATTCGCGCCACCAAGTTGATCCAGATACGTTTCTGCCGAGTTGAGCTCCATCAAACACTCAGCTTCGACACACTTCACACTATTAGCGATATGTTGGATCCTGTGATCGTGAACCCACGCATCGATGTGTTGTGATCTCGTTAGTAGGATGCCTTGCCATAAAGGGCTCCCCGTGTTTGACCACAACTTCAGTAGTCCCATCTTCAAGAGGAGTCAAAAGTTTGGCATGGTAGGTAAAGTTTGCCTGACCTCCAATCAACGGTTCGAGTGAAGATGCTGCATAGCGGGTGTTGTTCAACCATTCAAACACTTTGAGGCGGGTATCATCGAATGTCTTTTGATGTGAGGACATGATTAACGAACACCAAGTTCTCATTAAACGATTCATAAGCTTACATTGGGGTTCGGTGGTTCTGAGCAGCTTTAATAGTCCAGTTAATTCAGTTGCCTGGGATGCCTTGGCGTGATCAACCTGTTTTATCTTGGTTGCCTGGCGTATGTATCAACTGGATTGATGCCTTTTGTAACTCCCGATTCGTTCTCCCGATTCTCTCAATGCAGTTGGTTAAGTGATCACATCCCGATTCAGAGTCCTTCATACAAAATATAACCGTCGTGGGTGCAATGAGCAATGACGTCATCCAGACACGGAATTTGGTTCCGCTGAATGAGGCCATCGTCAGTCATGTCATCCACTGCCAAAGACCTAACACTGCGACAGTTTCCAAGACAGAACACATCGTGAACTCAATAAAACACCCTCAAATACTGGCTATAGGCCTAAATATTTTTTACTTGTTCACGGCACCTACCCTTTGTCTATTCATCCTGCTGCTGTTTGTCTCTAGGGTATGTATAGTTAAGATAGCATCTACCCACCTCAACAGCCTGCTGGCTGTTTTGTTCATCTCAGGAAGGAAATGAAGAGTGACAATATCCTGAGCTACTAATCGCACCGAGCATATCCATACTGTGATTTTGACGATGCTCCCCTCGTTCGGGCCATTATAGGAAGAGAACAATGATGATCAGGTATTCCCTCACTTCATTCTCACAGTGAAACAGATCGAGAGTTGCCGCCTGGTGAGTGTGTCCCTCCAGCTCATGATCAATAATTGCAATCCTTCTGCATCTCTCGTAAAGACGGACGCGCCGAAGCGTTGGAGCCTTCTATACGCGACCTGCGTCCAAAGTCGTGAGAGTGCAACTGAGACATTCGAATACGACAAAATGCAAAGGGTTCCATGCCTTCTGCTCCATGGGCAGAGTGAAACGGTCTGGAACATGGAGAGGCTGAGCCTGCAGAAGACAGTCGAGCCCTACCCCACTACGAGGCCATAAGCATCAGCGCCAAGATCGACGCATGGGTGTTAGGTATGTCGACGGGCCGCCCCAGGGCAGATGAGAGACTGCGGGTATGCAAGTAACTTGGCTTTAGACGTAACCGTATCCCGAAGAAGCTTACTTCTCGCAGCCACCCATCGGGGTCACGATACTGTCGCGACCTAAAAATAACCGTTGGGCTGAGATGCGTGCCCTTCTAGACTCTGGCGATCCGGGGCATCGTATCCACCCCTGATGTCGGCCCATGTAACCAACCATCCATCTGCAGCTTGATATGGGGCCACCCAACCAACGGCAGCTCGTGTCCAGAAACAGCCCTGCATCATGATCAGATCCTTGTGAGATGTTGAAGTTACGTGCAACGTTGTCACTTGATGGGAATGAGTGAGGCTGAGATCATCATGAGAACTCGGGACAACATACAGAAGAGCAGGACCTTGTTGATGGTGAGAAATAAGTATAAAGGCATCGAATGCGAACTTTTAATCAACTATTCTCATCACTCCAACACATCAGCTCAACACACAACGACAGCACTACAACACCATCACAACAACACCAGCTTCACAGCAACACACTCTTCACAAACCAACTTCAATACCAATAAACAACCTTCAACATGCAGTTCTCCACCATCATTGCCACCATCGCTGCCCTCTCCATGGGCGTCTCTGCCTCTCCCTACAAGCCCGTCCCAGAGCCCGATGACACCATTTACCTCAAGGGCGCCATCTTCAGCGACCACAAGTGCACCAAGAGCACCAAGCTTGCCGACTGGAAGCTTCAGAAGGTCGAGGCCAACCGCTGCGAAAAGTACGAGTTTCACGAGAACATTGGCGACGAGTTCTGGACTGTCCGCTCCGTCACCATCGACGAACTGAAGACCGGCTGCGTCCGTAAGTCTCACTTACCATAATCTTCAAGATTCATGCTAATCTAGTGCAGTCCGTGTCTACGACGATGCCGGCTGCCACTTTGGTGGCAAGAAGGTCCAGCCCAAGACCTGTATGGGCGACGACAAGTACTACCGCACCTACTACCTCTCCTGCAACGAACTTGCCTAGGAATTTTAAGATTCACTTTGGGACTGATAGATGTATAAAGCATGGAACAACTAGATGATTGGTTATAGACTTGTAGATACGCATGAGACACGATCCTTACCTACCTAGATAGATAGACGTACATAATATCAAACATTCATTTTTACACCTTGCTTCGAGTCAGATTACCACGCCTAGCCTAAACTCCTGCCATTTATGTCAAATCATCCACTTAGCTACACAGCCCAGAGTGTATTTAGAAATCCCCGGCAGTATGCCTTGTGGGCAGCCCAACACCATATTTTCCCCACCTCGGCTGTCTCAACAGGCTTCCATCACGCATCCGCCCTTTGACCTTCCCCTATTCTTGGAACTAAAGGATTTGCTTTGGTTTTATGGCTTACTGCGGTAGGCTTTCTCGCACAAGAATGTTATGTCAAGTTTGCATTTGATTGGCTAGAAGAGGCCTCCGGCATGCGCGCGGCTAAATGCCAAGACAAGCTGAATGTCTGCAACTGCAAATATCCCGCTCCTCAAACAGGCAAGCATTAAACATCTCTCCAACTGAAACAAATCGCAGCGATATCATGTCTAGACATGAAGAATTAGTAGACCTAGGCGGTCTTGATCTTGAAGACCTCCCATCGCCACCTGTCAAAGAACTCGTCGACGAGCAACCAACAGCACATGGCTCAAACTCCAGTACCGCGTCATTAGACGAGGAGGCGACAGATTTCCCCAGAGATTCCCCCGAGCCTGACAAGGGGCGCACCTCGTACTATACAGGAGGAAGCTTCTACCTAAAAAGGCGCGAATGCATACTTCTGCAAGACAACGACTCTAGCTCAGGTGCGGATTCACCGACCATCTTGAGGCCGGAGAGCATATTTCTGGTCATCGACGATGAAATCCTGGAGGTTGATAGATTACCTTCTTTGGTCAATCAGCTCGATGAGGTCCGTCGAATAGCCCACGACATTATCAAGGGAACAATGCCCTTGAGTGAGGAACGGGCTATCCGCTTGGGTTATCTTAGCGATCAGTGTCTTGACCTTTCTGAGTTACGGAAGAGATGCAACGACGCCCTTGAGAAGGCTTTCAAGGTTGCAGATGCCGCAGTATGGGAAGAGGAGGGAGGCTCCTCTGCTGGTGAGGTAGATGAGAACGCCAAGGACGTCGGAACAATTAAAACCCCTGCATCATCGCAAGACCCAGCTCAGGAATCAAACGAAGCATCCGGCGAGTCTGAACAGGGTTCATACTGTTGTTACATCGCACTAACCATGGCCGCACGTGTACTCAAGGCTCCAAGCACGCAGAAAATGCTCGAGGCTATTCGCGAAGGCGCCGACCTGGATGACCTCATCTTGAACATCGAGTGCGTTAGGCCTCCAACCGAGAGCGAGCCATGGGAGCTCGATATGCCGGATAAGCAGGGATACGGCCACATCTATGCTTTGCTTGGGTGCCTCATGGCCACTGCCTACGTCAAACAGTGTTACGCCGCTGAAACCATCTACCTCGATAAGGCCATAAGCAACCTGGACGTGGCCCTTCTTAAAATACCCGATAGTCCTTTCAAAGGCTTCCGGGAGTATCTCAAAGGAGTCCGCAAAGAAGTCAGCCAGATTCAGGTCCTCTTTTATCGCATCGAGTTGGAGGATGATCCACGGAAGGATGGAGTCTTTTGCGCCATCTGTTTCGAATTCAAATCCATCGTTGGCATCCACGAGACCGAGTATCCGTCAAACAAGATGAACTTTGGCAAGCTGTGTCGGAATGCTTCACTGCGATGCAGAATCTGCACGCTGCTGAGGGACGCTACGGCCTCTTTGTACCCACTTCTCGACACCTCTTGGGAAGACATTGCAGAGATCAGGTACGAGAATCGTTCTGTTGGGAGGCGCTGGTATGATGGTGAGACTGACGATATTGCTGAGTTGATATGGGGGCTCGATGGAGCTCTTCAGATTCACCTCCATTGTCATTATATGGGTTGCGAAGAGTCTTCGATCTGCAGTTTTGAGCTTTACCATTTGCCAGGTAATTATACCTTGACCACCAAAACTGAATGGAGGGCGCAGATACTGACAAGCTTAAAGAAACAACGCATCCCTGGGATATTGTAGGTACCGGGACTCATGTTTGTGCTGAAGCCAACTCACCCGAAAGTTGGGACATGGTTCACGGCTGGATTCAACAATGCGTCGATAATCATAACGAGTGTCGACGTGGAAGCGAAGACCGACCGTTTCCTACACGTATCTTGGATGTCGGTTCCGAAGGTAATAGCCCTCGTCTTTGCGTACCCAACTCAGATGAACGCGGTAAATACGCCGCTCTGAGCCATTGCTGGGGAGATGTGATGCCTCTCAAGACCACCAAGAGCACCCTTAACGAGTTTTGTCGAGGAATCGACCTGTCCAGGTTTCCACAAACTTTCAAAGATGCCATAGTCGCCTGTCAGAAGCTGCAAATCAGATATCTCTGGATCGACTCCCTCTGCATTATCCAGGATGATGAGGACGACTGGGCCGTCCAATCACCCAAGATGAGCGACGTTTACCAGAACGCCTACATCACCTTAGCCGCTGCAGCAGCCCAGAACAGCACCGAAGGATGTTTCGTCTCGCGTCCTTTCAGCATTAGAAAAGCCTTTACGGCAGTTGCAGAAGTCCAGGGCAAGGTTGAACAAGTCGAGATATTTGCACGACCGTGGCAGTCTGACTGGCACTGGACCAAAAACATCGGAGACGGCCCCGGGGATCGAGCTCAGAACCCCCTTGAGACACGGGCGTGGACCCTTCAGGAACACATTCTATCCAGAAGAATCCTTCGTTTCACCGCCCACGAGTTGGTCTGGCACTGTCGTGAGGTCCATCTCTGCGAGTGTCGTCCAGGATGCGCCCTTAGCAAGGAGGCCCTCAGGCTTATCAACCTGGACAGAATGGCATCCGATAAAGACTGCTCATTCGGAATGCGCTCCAGCGATCCTCGCATTGTCTGGCCCGAGGTCGTCACTCCTTTCACCCGTCGTGCCATCACCCACGAGTCAGATCGACTTCCCGCCATCTCGGGCGTCGCCGCTGCACTCGCCGGACCCATGGGTATGGAGTACATCGGCGGGATGTGGAAGGGCATGCTGGGTAGTACGGTGTGCTGGCACGTCGATGAACTTGGGACCTCCAGGCGCGAGACATATTACGCACCAACTTGGTCATGGGCTTCTGTCGTGGGACCTGTGGAGGCTGTCTGGAATGCAAGCACCATCAAACTCCCACAGACTGAAGTGATTGATGTGCAGTACACTTTGGCCACGCCAAACCCCTATGGGAGACTATCTGCAGCAAAGTTGACCATTAAGGGCCTCTTACTCGACGTCTCCATGCCATCGCCGAATGATCTGCAAGCGAAGGACAAGAGTCGCAACATCTCCTTCCAACTGCAATTCCACGACAAGTCAGTCACTGAAACAGATATGAAGCTAGAGATGATCTGTCTTGCTTTCCCGGATATCGTAATGACGTCGGGCGAGGCCCCAGAGTTACGTCTCGGAGAGCCTATCCGGCTCCTACTCTTAGCCTGCAAGGTCTATGGGCAAGGGTTCGACAGCATGCCAGGACTCCTACTAACGGAGGCATCCAACACTCAGAATGACACGAATGGACCAGTCTATCGCAGAGTAGGGATGGGTGAGGTTAGGCTTCGAACAAGTGAGAGAGATCAGGGCGAGTTCAGGGGGAAGTTCGAGGAAGGCCTTGGCTTGGCATTTGCGAATCACTTGGCTGCTAAGGGCTGCTTATCTACTGTAACAATTGTGTGACAGTTCTTCAATCTGTTGTGATTTTCTTTCTAGCTGGATAGTCATGGCCTAGCGAACAAGACGAATGTGTGAAAGAGCAACTCCGTAACCGATTAATGCAAATTCCCTGTCTCCATTGAGCCCTCGCACGAAGCCGACGAACTGCGTATTGCGGCCGCGACTGCTTTCCACGATCAAGGCGCTGGTGATCAGCGACAAGCAAGCTCAGCGTCTCGGGGTTCAGTTCCAGAAGGCAACTCAGCATCGTCAACAAGGAATTCAGAGCCTAAAAATGGAACAGAAACCCCTGGGTTGTTGCACAACAAGGAAACTACTTCTAGTAGCGCTCAAACACAACCACACAGAGAAAGTTGGGTGAGGAAGACTCTGAGACAATTGGGCTGTTTCAGCAAATAGAGGCGATCATGAAGAACGGGATGGACAAGATACGAGCTGGAAAAGCAGCTTGTAGGATGACAGATGTAATATTAGAACTGGCCAATGATTCTTCTTCTACTCGCACGCTTCCCTATTAGATAGGTAGCCAATGAGGTTGAAGCGCATTCGCACCATGTTACATGTAGCACCGAGATGCAACGGTGACATGACGGGACTGTTGGTCGATAGACTTTCGTCCATGTCTAGGGTGGCACGTTAGGATGTGAGAGGGTCCGCAGTCTTGGCCGAGATGGATGATGCACGACCAGAGACAAAGCGCGGGGTTGCGTAATGACAGAATTGCTCATCGTCATTGGATACAAGACTTTGACGTTGAGCGACCTATCTTGCCGGTAGCCGAAGAGTTTAAAACTGTTTTCGGCCATTCCGGTTAACCGGCAGAGACAATTACGACGACGGTCAGCTCCAATCTCGAATGTCTTGGCTCGTTGACGTGGAATGACTGATAAACTGGCACACATGTCAAATGTTGCTGACGAGGGATTGCATCTGGGGGGCAAATTCCCAATGCCGCTCTTGGCAATGCCGAGGCCAATCAGCTCCGCCTCCTTTTTCCAGAAGAACAGAGAGTTCGTGGTCCAGCCCTGGTCTTTCTTGACCCAAAATTATGCGGTCCACAGGGGGGGGGGGGGGGGGGGCGGACCATCCATCTCATCTCCAGGGCTCGTGGGTGATGGTGGTTGGTTGGGGTACGTTTGATGGACAGATACGGCATACGGTGCGAGGCTTGCTTGCAAGTAATTAGGCAGCTGAAAAACATGGCCCGATTGAACAAGAGAGTTTCCATCATCTTGAACTCCTTCAGTTGGACCTGGGGAACCTGGTGTTGCTGGTGGACTACAGCCCGCCCGCGGACTGCCGAAATGAGACGGAGATGCACACTGTGTCCTGATCGACAATCAGACCATGTAATACAGTGTTGATACACAGTAAGAATGGACCTTGTTCCAGGCGGTCGGGGCCTTCGAATGCATGGAGTTTAGCGCATACGCAGGGGCGAGTCGCATTGGCAAATGCTTGATTACAGTGGGTGACGTGCTAAAAAAAACATGGAAAGAAAAAAAGCTTGACCAAGGAAGGTAGTGTCCGACACCGACACCGACACTGACGCTATAAGACTAGGTTGTCGCCCCCCTTGGATTCTGGTCTCAGATGAAAAGCCCCCTTCCCACTCGCTGCCGAGACATCACCACCATCTGTTGTTGTTCAACCTCGATGTGAGGGCGCAATCGCTCACTATGCGCTTCCCTCACCCGAAGCGCGTAGTCCTCTACGCGGCAATCGCTACTTTCGTCGTCCTAATCCTCGGAACCCTCCACCTCGAATCCGACTACCTCTTCCCCTCGGGGCCCAAAGGCTACGATGCCATCCGCAGCCGCACAAACGATTACCGTCTCCTGACGAGTACACGAAACAACCTTGGCTTCTACAACACCATCAATGTCAAGTCGACAGGCCACAAGATTATGAACCCGACCCTGCTCGAGCTGCCCAAGGGGAGCAAGCACGACTTCCTCGTCATCGCCCGCGCCCCCCACGTTGATAAGGAGATCAAGGGGAAGAAATACAGACTGGCGCGACAGGTCGCTACCTTTGTCAGCCTGACCTACGATAACTTCGGCCGGCCGGAGCTGACGGCGAACGACGACTGGTCCAAGATGCTTGTCGAGGACTTTGCTGGTCCTGAGCACCACTGCAGGAGGGAACCCAGCATGGACAAGTACATCGGTCCTGAGGATATGAAGCTGTTCTGGACCAAGCATGGCGCTCCCATGCTCATCTTCACCCACCAGGTCGATGACCCCATCCTGTGCGAGGGTATGTACATCATCGACGCCCGAGCCGCCGTCCCCGAGCTCGTCAGACAGATGGGCAAGCACGCAAAGAAGCTGCCCCCCATCAAGTTTACCGAACCCGTCCTACTCCGTCGCCAGCCCCCCGAGGGCTCAGACTCGGATCCCCGATACCAGCGCGAAAAGAACTGGGCACCAATCTACTCCCCCTTCAGTAAGGATGAGGACGAGATGATGTTCATGGTGGAACCCAGCCAGCTTTTCCGCTTCAACGCAACCGACCAACCCGTGCAAGACGTCAACGCCGAGCGCAATTCCGCTGTCCAGGAGCCGTTCCCTCCCGGCAACGAGAAGAAGACATGGCACAGCATGGAGAACACGTGCATTCACGATGTGATGCTCAGCGACCGACGGGTGCATCAATCGACACCGATGCTCAGCCTCACGCTGTGCAAGCGAGGCGAGTGCGAACCGCACGAACACAATACAGTCATGATTGGCATGGTGCAGATGCGCTACGACCCGCCCGAGTTTACGAATACGTGGTATGATCACCGTATCATTGTCTACTCGGCGGTGGCGCCCTACACGATGCTGAGCGTGAGCAAGAAGCTCACATACCACGGCGAGACTAATAGCAAGTACATATGGACGGGCAGCATGGTGTACCACGGGAACCAGCCCGAGCAGAGGAGTCACGGATTTTTGGACGACGAAGTCTGGCTGAGCTTTGGCATCGGCGACTCGGCGCCCGGGTGGCTAGATGTGCCCGCAAAGGAGTTGGTGTCGGATCATTATTTTTGCCAGGGGGCAACGGATGCATATCGGGAGTGTATTAGACAATATCTTTGACGAATTTTTAAAGTAAAATAATAGATTTGTTTTTCGCAAGCTTCATCTTGATTAGCTCGCACGCAATAATTGACGAGGGGAAGCCCCTGAAGCCCCTGGACTGTGACTGCGACTCTGATAAACCCCGCGGCTGAAGAAAGCGACGAGGCGCAATTGAACTCGTAGACGAATCTGGCAAATTAAGGAGTCACCATCTGAAGGGATCTCTCCCCTCTCCTTGGCTCCCTCGTAAAGCAAGCAAGCAGGCGAGCAAACCCGGCGGGGCTGTGCTATGCCAAGCTTTGAGGCTTGGCAGGGGCGCATCCAGGATCGACCGCGTCGCACTGTGTCAACCCGTCAATCTCGACAGACGCGCTAGAATGAGAGATGGTGATTGGCTGCGATAACGTTCTTCATCAATCATCCAGTCTCGGCTGCTCTTCTCCCCACGTGTTGGCCTGTGATTTGCGTTGCCAAGTCGAGAATTGACTCAGGTAATTATCGGCTATGAGACAGGCAGACATGGTCGCAAGCGATGGATCAACGGAGACGTAAATCCTCCGACGGGGTCAACGGATCTGCTTGAGCCTCACGTCCGACAGTGCAAGTCTTCCAGGGTTCTACAACCTACACAGGGCTGAACAAACCCACACAGTCATGTATGCCCAGCCTGCTGTGTGACCAACAAACCAACAAACGATGCACCCGTGCTCAAGACATGTCAGCTCAATTGCCGGCATCAAACAGATC